AAATAAATATTGAAAGAATGCAGAACACGGTTCTCAAGTTTGGTTTGAAAAATATTTTTAAATTTATTTATAAACATAATCAAATTTTTCTGAATATATGAATAGTAAAAATAAAAAAAATAAAAAAATCTCTCCCCTCTGATTTTACATTTTCGCACAATTTCTTTCACCAACAACCACAAATCTAAATTTGATTTTGTGAAATATTAGGTAAGAGTCATTTCTCCCTTTTCCCCGCATTCTTTACAAATTANAAACGAAACGAGTATAAGTAATTAATATATGCATTTAAAAAAAATCATACAATAAGCTTAAATATTAACTCTTCTAACTTTTTTTGTCACAAAATCGTTCAAGGCATCCTGAAAGTTAACCTTTTCCAATGCATCATTTTCATTTGCCATTATGACCAATGAATTTAAACTTCACATTTGTCAAGTCCTGTATTAGGTAATAAAATATGAGAAAAATAATAAAACTTACGTATAGTAATTTTAACTTCAGTTTACACTACACGGATTTTTACTCGTCGTTTCACCGATTTTCTCAAAGCCCGAAGCACTTCTGCAGTCTTCATAAATAAATATCCAATACTTAGCTCTAAATTCGTAAGTTTTGAAACACAAACTGTAAAACTCTCTTTTTATTCACAGCCGTAAAACTCGCAAACAAATTGCACGAAGTGAAAATTCAACTATTACATTAAAAATGTTTCAAAAATGTTGTCTATGAAACAATACAACGTATGTATTTACCCGATCGGGGAATTCCCCAGTCATGCGACGAAAGAACCAGTACTGCCAACCTTATTTTTACATACTCTTTGGTAGCTTGGCCATAGAATATACATACCTATGGTAGGTACCAGAACAGTAACTGTGCATTCACAACGTAGAATTTTGCGCGTTTTTCAAGCGTGTTGTGTTAAAAAAGCTGCTCTTGCTGTATAGTCATCTGATTAGTCGGCGTTAAAATAACCGCGATAAAATTACTTGCGATTATATTACTCCGTTATATATGAACTAACTACCATAATATTAATATCTAATTTGGAATGCGTTCAGAAATGTACTAAAATAGCGTCGATGTAATGTACAGAGCAAGACAATCGTAATTGAAATTTCGAAAAGATTTTTACTGTTTAAGAAACATTGTAAATTTTTTTATCTGTATCACAGGGCCCCTGAACATTGCGGGGCCCCTCGGCTGTTGCCTACAGTGCCTAATGGATAAAACGGCCCTGCATGTATAGTAAACTCGATAAGTAAATCAGATGAAATAAATATTGAAAGAATGTAGAAAACGGTTCTCAAGTTTGGTTTGAAAAATATTTTTAAATTTATTTATAAACATAATCTAATTTTTCTGAATATATGAATAGTAAAAATAAAAAAAATAAAAAAATCTCTCCCCTTTGATTTTACATTTTCGCACAATTTCTTTCACCAACAACCACAAATCTAAATTTGATTTTGTGAAATATTAGGTAAGAGTCATTTCTCCCTTTTCCCCGCATTCTTTACAAATTAAGTATTAATTTACGGTAATTTCTTTTAGAATGGTTAAAATTATTTCTTTCTTGATTTCCACTAAGTGAAATGCGAACGTAATTTATTCAAAATAAATATTTGTGGAGCACCATTTCTGATACTCACTTTTACAGTCTTGCAAAATTGATTATTCTTCACAGCGTGATAGATCTATTAAATCGTATTTTTGTGTAAATATCTATTAGATACATAGATCACAGCCTGTCATAGATATTTGATATCTCTTTATCCTTTTTTTCTATCATGTAAACTTAACATTAGCTGTCATTTCTATCTCTTTACTAATAGGTTTTAATATTTATTTTACAAATCAATTGTACAAAATGTTCCAAAATCCTCGCACGAAGTATGTATTACTAAATTTAAATTTAAAAAAATGAAGTAAAAAAAATGTATGTTATAATAGTTGCAATTTGATATTTCAGTTTCCATAGGCCCATACTAGTGGTAAAAAGGTTCTTCCCATTATTTTTAGAGATGACCAAGGACTAAGATGTCATTTTCTTACAATTCCAACTGTCAACTGTTCAATAAAATTCCAAACTAATTTTCAAAACAGATAGATATCATTAACAGTCGCTGTTCGTAAAGAGAAAAAGTACCACACAAGTTATAATTCTGGTTGACTATCAATCTGTCTTGCTGGGTTCTCTTTTATGATGGTTACGTTAGTCCCGGATATACCAGATATACTATGATTTTGAATAAATTTGTGTCGAACATAAATGAGTGCAAAAACTCGTCCAATTATCCTTTCGAGACGGCCCTGACTCAATACTAGTTAAAATTGGTCGTGTCCGGGTACCAAGTAGTGAAATTTATTTTACCAGGTCCGGGTAAAAACCAGCTGAGGAAACTCTGGCTAGTTCTCGGAACATCCACCGCAACCACATCGGATAGGATCGGTTTTTAATTGTCATGCCAAAAAGTGTATAAAATGCGTCAGTGATACGATTTTTAACTGTCGTTTTGGCCAAAAATCGCCTTAAATGCAAATAATAATTTGGTTTTCAAATGTCTTAAAAAGCCTATCTTCATGCTCGCCAAATTGATCAAAAGATTAGTTGCTTAACGTTTGTGTCTTCACCTATAACTGCATACTAGCGTGGTTTTTATTAACATGGATAAAAAAAAATTTTCGGTGAATATTTTCACGGCACCCCATAAAAAGATTCCATTTGGTATACAACTAATATTTGAAAAATCAACTCAGTAAAATAATATCTAGACTCCGCTCCCTCGGGTCAAAGTTTGACAAAAATGAGATTTTTCTCAAAAAATGGTTCATTGTTTTCTATAAAATCCGAACAATCGATTGCTAAAACACAAACATAAACTCATTTTATAGATAGTGTTTTTGATTTTATCTTTTATAATTGAAAATCGTTTTTTAAACAAATAGATTAAAAGATATGGGAATTTTTTTATAATCCTTTTTAAATAAATTTTTTAAAGAGTAAAGAATAAAAATGGGTATTGTTTTGTTAAGTACCGTGAAATTGCTCAAACAAGACAGATACTAATGATTTTATTACTTATACTGGTAAAAATCTCAGAAGTTGATAAAAAGAAGTGAATAAAATCAGATTAAATTGATTTTTCCATTGTATTATCTCTTTCGTATATGGATCTTTTAGCTCACGGATTTAGTATGACGGATTGAGTCAAATGAGATCGATATAAATTAAATAAATTATTACGATTTATTAATCATCTTTTTATTTCAAAAATTAATGTTGTTTCCACAGTGTAATAGAAATAATTCTGCAGGTGTCATTTTCGAGAAAGGGTTATATTAATGTTAGTGTCTTCTTGTCTTGCCTAATAAACGAATATCTTCTTTCTGTGTAATATCTTGAAGAATAATATCAGGAAATTTTTTTATATTTACTATGAAATGAACAGCCAAAAACTTAAAAATTGAATTTCAAGGTTTAACTATGATTGTTTAAAGATATTCATGCTAAAAAAAATAAAAAGAAAGAGTAAATAAATAAATCAAATATAGAAAAGTTAGATAAAATTTCTTTTAGTCATTTCACATGCATTTGTCCAGTTACGACAAGTGAAAGAAATTAAGTGTCTTAATTTCTGTGGGCGAATATCGTGTATTAAATTTGAATGGTATATTTCGCTAAAAAATTCAGTTATTTCATAATTTTATTCTACGGTACCAAGCGCACTGACAACTATACTCGTACAAATGCAGTTTTTGTACGAGAAAAGGGTTAAATTTCTCGTAAAAAGGCATACACGAAAATTTCTTTGCTTTATACAAAAATTTCTCATTTTAAAATAAATAAAAAATGAAATACTCATATTTTAAAAAATACATTTAAGAAAAACTGTTTGGATTGCTTCAGTTGCTTGAATAATTTAAACCCCCCCCCCCCTGAAAAAAAATATTTACCTGTATATAAGCCATTAAATAACTGTGAATAGTTAGCCATCTGAGGGACAAATTTTTAAAAATTTATTCTAAATCAAGCACCTACTAAAATAGGAAACAAGAGGTTGAGAAAAGGTTTGCCATCTAGGACTTTTTTGGGGGAGGGGAGAGTGGAGAGAAGACAAAGATGCCTACAGACTCAATTAATTCAATATTATTAGTTTCGCGATTTCAAGTCGTTTCTCAAGTCAGTTTTTGCCGTGATTTCCAATATTATTTTTCGCTGGTCACTTTTTTGAAGACCTAGTCAACATATACCAGAAACATAATTTCAAATAGTTCACTTGAACTATGATTTTAATTATTATTTCGGTTTTTCATTACAATTTAAGAGTACCAATCATTCTTGTTTATTTTCAATCTAAAAATCCAGTATTTTCATTAAATAGCGAAAAGTAAGTCTTGGTTTGAAGTAAAACCGGCAAAAATTCAAAATAAAAAATTTAATATCATCCCTTCACGTGCCTGTGTCTCCTTTCATTAATGCGTGAAAAGAAACTGTTAATGCTTCTTAAACTAAGAAGTTTTGGTTCCAACATCATTTTGGTTAAAAGTTTCAAAAAATCAATATTCATAAAAAGATCTAAATCCCTATCTATATCTTTTCATTTTTATGTAAATGTTAAAAGAAATTATTCTACAGTAAAATATTTATTATTTACAGTAAAATATTCTTAAAATATTTAAATTTTAATGATTTAATGAAATTTATTTGAAAATCTTAACCATAATTTATTTATTCTTCATAAAATAGCTTGAATAGATAGATGCCTTAAGATTTCATTTCGTTGTTTGAGACAAATAATTTTTCTAACCCTTTAATTTTTATTTCATAATAAAAATAGTACCAATACATTTGAAGTTTTAGAAGTTTTCAGGGTATTCAAACAATCAATTTGATCAGATTGGAAATCTAATTTCATTAGTATTTTTAGCGCCATCTATGAATTGAGAAGCCTTGTTTTATTTGTTAACTGAACTTGCTTTGTGCAACTCAACTTTTAAGTCTTGGGTTGTCATGGTGATCACAATAACATACCGGTGATTTGTTTTGTAAATAATATTTTTTGCATTATCTATAAAGGGAATTATACATGAAAATTATGCGATTGTTTTGAAATTTATGCATCGGTACTTCATCTTTTCCTAATCTATGTTATTTATTCTATATGAATGTGTAAGCTTTTAACGCCAGATAAATTTGTTTTTGTCTTTGTGTTGATGTTGCTTGATGTTGATTTGTTTAAGTTTTTCATTTCCTTATTTTTTTTAAATCAAAATTAAAAAAATAATTTTAATTGTTATGTGTAGGGGAAATAAATAGTTTTACTTTGTAAAAATGGCCTTTTTTTCAGAGGCTTAAAATGTCCTCGATACCGGAGGGAAAGATTGAAGCTACTGTAGAGGTAAGATTTAGTTATACTTAGGTACTTTCATGACTTTATAATTAAATTTTTTTTGGGTCAATAGGGTAATTTTTATTGATATTAATGTTTCTCTTTTCAAGTCCTTCTTTTGACATAAGCATACATAAATATTATTAGTTTATTTTTCATGTTGTTTAAAAATAGTAATTTTTTTCTGGTTAATTTTTTGGAATGTAACTTAATAGGCAAAAAATATAAGTCTTTCTGTTATGACTATCCTCAATGTAGACTTTTTGAATCCTTGTCTATATGAAATGTAAAATATTATTATATTAATTAAGATTTTAAGGGTTTAATTAATATTCAAGCTATTAAAGAAATACCACCAAAATCTGTCACCATTATTGAGCATGGCTGGATTAAAAATATCAAGACCACTTTGACTGCCATATGAAACTCAGAGGTTTTATTAATAATCTCACTTATGGTGTTTCTAATTTCTCCTAAAGTCATTATTGACTAAGTTTTACTAGTATATTATTTTCTCTCTTGTATATAAATAACAGTGAGAAGCATGAAGAAAGAGTACACATAATATCTTAAGTGATAGACTGGTATTGTAGTAATCAAAATGCTAGTTGGGGAAGCATTTTACTGGCAGATTTGCTGTTCATCTACACCAGTGATTCTCAACCATTGTGCCGCGGCACTTTTGTGTGCCGCCAAATTCTTAAAATGTGCCGCCAAATATTAGAAATGATACAATAAAAATTATAATGCTTTTTTTATTACAAGTAAAGTTTAAATTAAAGAAAAGTCTATAGATATATATTATTATATATATACTTTTTATAATTTTTCCGCACTTTAACCGCGTGAACATCTCTTTGTGGGCGATTGTCTTGTCTCTGACAATCTTAAAATAAGAAGGAAGTGTTTAAATTGTGTTTGACACACAATTTGAAAAAATGTTGAAATTAGTAGGAAATTTAATGACTATTAAAATTATTAATTAACAAAGGCTAAAACAAGCTAAATACTAACTTCCAAGCGAAAATGAAAGCTAATCATTAAGGTAAGCTATGCAATTAATAGTTATAAAAACAAATTAACAAAGGATGACTAGCAAAAAAAAAAAAGAAAAGCTAGCAATTAATAATTAGCAAAAAACTAACTAACAAGAAATCGCAAAAAATAATAATTAATGTAAAAAAACTAACAGTTAATAACTATGGAAAACAAGCTAACAATTAATAACTAGCAAAAAAAAGACTGTTACTAACTAATAAAAAATTAGTCGAAAGAAATAATTAATCCCTTAATAAATGTGCTTTTGTAGTACATATTATTTTATTTCACAGTCAAAACTATTATCACAAACTATTTAACACAGTGTATTATAGGTAAGTAAACAACTTTTAAACTAATTTTTTTCATTGTGTGCCGTCAAATTTCGAAATCGTTAAAAGTGTGCCGCCACAAAAAAAAGGTTGAGAATCACTGATCTACACTCTCGCCTCGGACCACAAAGTCTGACAGTCATATGGATATATTTTTAATTGTTTGTAATAAAAGAAACATATTCTCTACATGTCTCTAGACTCTGACATTCTTGATAGCAACCAATAAAATGTAAACATTGTTTTGTAAGTAATGAAGATTATTTTGTAAGTTTATGAGTTATTTAAAAGGGGTAAAAACTTTGACCTTAAAAATTATTCGCTTTGTTTAATAAGTCTTGAATGACTTCACATGACTTTTTGTTGTTTATTTGTTTATAAAATACAACTGCAATAGGTCGACAAACATATTTTCATTTTATAATTCTATGAAAAATAAGAAAAAAGTTTTTTTTAAATAGTTATTTGAGACGTATGTATTTGTTTGGTATATAATTCTATTTCTCTCATAAATAATCAAAGTACTACAAAATTTAAGGATTATATAGGGATATCTTTCGATTTTAACTTTATTGACTTTGTATTGTCCATTACTTAGAAATTATTTTTACTATTTCCCGGTTACGAATCTCATTAAATATGTGTATTTTTTAAACTACGGCAATTGTCGTTTTACCTTATCACAAAATTAAACTTACTTCAATGTTATCTTAAACTCATACAGTCATATACATGATTTTAATGCAACTTTCATTAGCAATTGTTTTATTTCTGTCTTAATTTCAAAAACTTTTTATTTTTAGGTAACATCTGAGCTTTCTGAGAGCTTGAAATTAGAATTGAAAAAGAAAAGAAGAAAACTTAAGGAGGTGGGTTTTAATTTTTTATATGATTATAACAAATATCAAATTCAGCTTTCAGAAAGTTAAAATTACTAATTAATGTATATTATTTAACATGGAGCAGGATTTTAACATAATTAGGAATATTTATTCTATGTAAAAATTACACTATTCTTATAAAAATTAATTTATATTACCATTATAAACTTTTTTTATTGTGTCACAGATTTTATTTCAAATTGTTAATTTTATTAATTAATTCTCTTATGATTTTAAAAATTTAATTAACTATTCGAAAAGTTAAATTTTATTTTAGTTACTTCTAACTTTTATTAGAAACGGGCAAAGTCATCTACTGAAGAACAAAACTTTGATTTTGAAGCTATACAACCTGTGCCGGATGAAGAGTCAATCATTAAGCAGGATGCAGCTAAAATGTTACCTAAAATTTTGCCTAAAATCACTGAGCGGCAGTTACCACTTCCACCTTTAGATAAAATTTCTTTGCAAGATTCTTTGTACAAGCAGCGTAAGTCATACATTAGTTTACTCTTTTTTATCATTTGATTCCAAAGCAATTATATTTTTGATAATTTTAATTAATTGGAGCATTTAGGATGCAATAGGGTCATTTTTTATGTATATAGTTTTTAAAATTATTTTTTTATTATTATTTTATTTATCTTACTTACATGTGCTTTGAATTTTTCATATTAAAAAGTAGTATACATGATCTATGCTTTTTATAAATTGCAATTGTTTTTATTTTTGGTTAGTTTACCTAAATATAATTACTGATTTATATTTCTAATTATGTTATGTCTGATTTTTCTTTCTTTATTTTTTGTGTGGTTAGATATTAGATGCAGAGTTACTTTAACCATTTAGAAGCAAAATCAGTACAAGTTTTGTAATAACTCTAATCACTCCCTCTCATTTTCTGCCAATATGCATCCAAAATAATTAATTGTTTCAAAATTTTTATGTTTTTCAATTTAAAAAGAAAACACATTAGTTTATGGCTTCCTTTGAAATGCTAGGCACTCAATTAATTTAGCACCAATTAACTCAGGAGCTTCTTGAGACTGAGCTCATTATGTTTTCACCTTTCACTTCTCCAGTTAATTTTCAAACAGTAATCAACACTTAATATGAAATTTTAGGTGATAGTGTTCATGCTCTAAGACCCCTCCCACCACCTAGAAAAACCAAAAAGCTTTATGATTTAAAAGAGTCAACTTCACATGACCAGGTATAAGGTTATTCTAAGTATTTTTTTAGTATAATGGTTTAACTCTAAATATAATTTTTCATAATAGAAGATTTATAAATTTTGTTTTTAGATTGAAGAAGAATCTCCAGTTAAAGTTCCAACTTCTACTATTGAAGATGTAAGTCTAATTTATTAATTTTTGAAATTGAATAATTTTTGCTTGTCAAATTGTATTGTGGAAACCTATAAGATGATTATTTTCCTTTAAATTTTCCTCGTTTAAATAGGAAGCTGATAAGATTATAGAATTGCCTCCTGAAGCTGATGAAATTGATGAATATGATTTTTTCGTACGAGAATGGGAAGCTGAACCAGAACCAAAAATTGTGCCTTCTGAAAACATTGAAACTGATGGAACATCACAGGAAGATACTGGTTTGTTAACTGTCATGCAAGAGCTGTTCATTAAATTTAGATTTATTAGCTTAACATGATTTTTCGAATCTCTTTCACCAAGGAAAATAAAAAAGGCCATAATTTAAGTGCCTGATACTTGAAGTAAAGCTATAATTTTTAAACTATGTATAACATCTTGCAATGAAGAGTTATCTGGGCTTTTAAACGGACAAATAACTTAAATATTTTAAAAGTTAGCAAACTTTTTTAAAAATCACCAATTTGGTGGCATTTTTATATGAAAATTATCAAAATAAATGCGTTATTCTCAGTTTTTAAAAAATTTTATAAGCCCAGATAATGCAGCATTGGATTTTAATTATTAAAAACTAGACCACAAATGCTTTTCATTTTTGAAAAACTGTGGCTTATCTCCATATCGACGTTTTGTGCCATTTTCAAAATAAGCATAGTCAAAGATAGGGAAAAGTTGACCTAACAGTCACGAGTAACTGTTACAAGCTCGCAGCAATTAGGAAAATAGTATATTAATTGCTAAAAAGCATCAAGGCCTTCAAAAAACAGCCATAGGCCATAATTTTGTTTACTGTAATTTTCTTAAAGTTTAATCCAGTAGTATGATAATTTTTTTTAATCATTTATTTAAATTATTATTTATTTAAACATCATTTATTAAATATCAGATGAATTTCTGAAAATTATTAATGCTTTTGTTATTAACTAATAATCATATTATATCATGTATCCCATATTGTACTTGGCTTATATGCAAATTTTTGTTTATTTAAAATGCATTTCATTTTTCATTGTTATTTATCTCTACTTGAATTTTTCATCATTTCTTCTATAAAAATTATGTATTATGCTTTTATCAATGTAAATATAATTTTCACTGAACATTCCATTCATTAATTTTATATTAATGAAACAAAGATCTTATCAGCTTTGAAATTTAAATTATGCTTCCCAATAATTTATCGAATCATTGTTGATCATTTAATGTTTTAATTTAAATGAATTTATCTAGTGTTGAATTGGTTGTCTTTTATTTATAGTGTAAATATTTTCAATAATTTATTAATCAATTGAATCAGTATACTTATAATAAAAAAATAAAAAAGTTAAACGACTATACAGCTCAGTTTTTCTTAAAAATAAGTTAATACAATCTACAAATATGTGAATCAAGTGGTTGTTAAGCTTATTTAAATTATTGTTTGGTACAGATTAGTGTAAGCCAATTAGCTATTCAAAAGTTATTCATATTATTTTTCTTTTATTGTTCAAAATGTTTCTTAGTAAATTAAAGGTTAAATTTTGTGTAATATTTTTTACTTCATCATGTTTTTTTTGTTTTTCATCAGAATGTTAAAACATTTTTTTCCCTTTAAACAGATTCCATAAATCTCATTCAAAGAGAATTGCAAGAAAAATTTCAAATTGTTGATATAGTTGATCATGAGCGTCCTTCATATATTCCCTTCACTCTGAAAATTGAAAAAGAGAAGAATTCATTTTTTCACCCTTCATATAAACCTGGTATGTTTTGGTGACAACAATGTTCTTAAAATATTAATATTTTAAAGGTCTTTGATATTTAGTAATATAATTTTTTTTAAATATTTTCATTAAATCTATAATTAAAAAATTGAATTCTTTTAATTAAAAAAAAAAAAGTAAAGTTGGAAATTAAGTTATTTTTTTAAAATATAATGTGGGTGAATTATTTTTTATACATTATAGCAAATTTTTTTTCTCAATGGCATTTAAACAGTCATTTTTCAATATAGCGATAAATATTATTGTAATAATGATGTTATAATAATGATGTAATTTGCATTTTTTTGTAGTATGTTTTAATTTATGTTTAAATTTTATAAGCTTTTTTTGTTAATATCATGCTGAAGTTTTGAAACTTTATATTGTGAATTGAAAATCTTTCTGGTAAATGAATTCAGCTATATTTTATTACTGCATTCTTTGTTATAATACTTCGCATAGAATCAACATAAAGAAAATCATTATTTATTGTTTCTTCAATCATTTTTCTACTGAATTGACTTAACTGTCAGGTACCTTAAGATTTTAATTAAGTATTTTATAATTGATTCACATTTTTATTACATTTCCTTATTGAATATCTTTTTCATATAAGGCAATTTATTTCGAACATTTTTGAAGCATAAATGTTGAATTTATTCTTATTTCAGACACTAAAGATGCACAGTTTATAGACGCATTTTTGGTGTCTAGAAGAAAACAAATCATCCTCTTTTTGTTTTAAAACTATGAGTAAAAAAATAAAAATTTCTGAAACTATGTGGAATTTATTTTTAAATTTGGAATTTCATGCTTTGGCAATCATTTTTCTAAATAGTAACTCATTCCTAGTTTTTGAAAAAGGGGGGAAAAAACCCTATTAGGCTAGTTAGTAATAATAATAATTAAAAAAATTTTTTTTGTCACATATTTTTACGTAATGCTCAAATTTGATTAAAATAATTCACTTGAATATCTCAAAAAGTAAAACTAAGGAATCAAAGTACAAAACTTCTTATTTCAGGGAAATCTCTCAGCAGCGACCACTCACTGTTCCACAGTAAAATTATCGTTAATGGAGGTTGGTTGTTCTTAGTGGTTATTTTATTGACTTCAAAATGTTAGCGAAAGTGATTGATATGATTTTTTCAACTGATTTTAATTTTACTCAGTGTCGTTTTTGGCGTGAAAATGCCACTTTAGAAGCCATCATGAATACCGGATCAATCAGCATCAATTATAATCAGCCCTATTGATATAATTGTGTGTAAATTTACCAATTGTGAATGATAGAACTATTCTACATAAATAAACAATTATATTTTTTATTTAAGTTTGCATCATATCATGAAATTTAGGTTACATAAAAAAATGAGAGGTTTGTTTGAGACGCTTAATGCTTCCTAAGAAATTTTTTTTTTCTTATTTAACTTCTAACTCTAAAGCTAAATCAGTGATACCTTTGTCTCTAGTGCACTCTGGCTGTAACACGAGGCTGTCAAGCTCTTTCTACAATCGTCAAAAAGGGCTCTGTAAATAAGATAACTCACAAATACTTTGAATACATTTGAATCTACTTGTTTGCTTTATTAATATTTTTTATTTTTGTAATTTTTCTTGTTACCATATTTGGAGTTTTTACATTTGATGTGGAGGTTTGTCCGGCAGCTGGGAGAGGTTTTGATGGTCTCTCCTAAAGGTTTTCTTCAATGCAAAGTCAATGTAAAAGTTCCATGCCTCCCAAAAGTGGTCGTAAATAGAGGTGGTTGCTACAAAGAGGTTGCCTTTCCTGGCTTCACTATGTTTTAAAAGGAAACATTATTGTAATTAACATTATTTAATTAACATTAATTATTTAATTAATAACATTATTTAATTAACATTATTTAATTAATATTTTTGTGTTGTTAAGACCACGTGGCTTATGTCAACTGCAGGTATTTATTATAACAAGGAATTTTCCTGTAAGAAAAAAGTGTTTTTCTTTGGACAACTTTAGTAAAAAAAATTTATAATATTGACTATTGATTTACATCTGTGAAACGTTTTGTAAAATAAGCTTGTTTTGGCATGTTCTATGCTACCTGTTCTTTTCTGAATGCCCTATACACCTGCCTTTAAGTGTCTTATTCCTTTTTATCAGTATGAATTAATACTGATTTAAACAAGTTGTGAACTAATATAACTGTTGTTAGATTATTAACTTAAAAATGTTTTTATATTTTTTCAATTGATATTGAATTATCTGTCTTTAATATATTTTCTGACTATTATTTGTTTCAAAAGCAAATCTTCATCAACTTTTCATTGTTACTTTGTCCCTTTTGCTGCTTCAATTTATACAAATTTCATGACTCACACTGGTAAACTTTTTCCTTTATTGTCTTTGTTTCCCATTTTTTATAATTTATTTTTACATCAGGCTTAGTTTATGGTTGCTTGTGATTTTCTTATTTTGAGTATTTAATGTATTTTAAGTTTTAGACAGTATGTTACTTTTGTATCTTGGGTCATTAAACTTTATTATATTCCATCAATCATGCTGTATTTTAATCCATTTTCTAATGTAGACAGTTAATAATGTATGCTATTGTTTAAATTAAATACTTTATGTAATTTTATGTATTGATAGTTCCTATAAAAATGAAATTGCCTGAGGGTGCTGAAGCCAGAAGTTTGGCAGATGAAGGTTTCTTCTTGACTAAAAGACCAAAAGTACCTACACGAAATGTTAATAAATTGGAGAATAGATTAGTTACGCAAAAGGTAATTTTTGTTATTCTCTAAATAATGTACTAAAATATAGTTTAATTATGCAAAAGATAATTTGTGATATTTTTAAGTTCCACTTAAATATATTAAAATAATTTGATGTAATAGCGTAGTCCCTGCTATGTTAAGTGTTTTTTCTCATTTCTTAAAAGAAAGGTTAATTATATAAAAATTTTGCTTGCATTGTTTGAATTCTTGTTCTTAGAAAAACTCATTACTGAAGAATAAAAGTATCTTGGATTATATATTATACACTTCATTTATTATTTCTGTTACCCCTTCTTATTAAAGAAAGAAATGTATTTGTATTCTTTTATGTTGTTTTGAGTTTAATTATCCTTTTTTCTTTTGAGAATGTATGCATCTAATTCTTAAAATGCATCTTCTTGAAAAATAGCTTTACTTTTTTTAAAGATGCTTCAATACTTTTTTCTTGTAATTTTATTGTGAGGAAAATTCATTTAAATTTTTTTATTATATGAATATAAAGCTTATGTTTGTTGCATTGAATTCCCCCCCCCTCTATAACTCCAATCTATTATTCTTTACTAACTATTTTATAACAATTGTATATATATATATTTTTTGCATGTGTGCTGAAATTTCTCCTTACTGATTTCATAAATTGTATTATAAATCGTTTTTTGAAATAAATATTCCTTGTTATAGAGAGCAGAAGCAGTAGATGTTTGGCAGAGTAAGATTAAATTAAATTATATTAAAATGTAGTTGAGTTTTATTTAAATTTTTTAAATACCAAACTGAATAGCAATAAAATATTAAAATTGAGAGTTGTTAAATTTTAGAGTTATATACACTGATGTTGTGGAAAACTGTTTTTGTAACAACTGTAACATTCCCTCCTTCAATGTTTTTCAATTGTCATTCAGAATGATTTTTTTTCAGTCATGCTCTTTTTTTCCTTAATTTTTTTCATTGCAATTTATTTTAAGAGCATTAAAATGTATATTTTAATTTTTACTATGCCGAAGTTAAAAATTGATTTGTTTGTTGTATTTATTTAGGAGTTCCAATGGTTTGGAGAAGATGGTTGCATGAAAATGTTGTCTAATCCTGTCTACCAAAATCCAATTCGCCCTATGCCTACTGATAGTATTGACTCATTTCCAGATCTGGAATACGTTAAGGTGAGAGCTCTCTGAATAGGAACATTTTTTTAAATACTTTTTTGAAAATTTTTTTATCTATATATCTTTCTTTATAACATTATATGTATCAGAATATAAAAAAAATATTGTTAATGATTATTAAAAATTGCAAATTTTTTTATAGGTTTTAAGCAATAATTATTATGCTGAAATAATTGTATCATGTTTTGTTAATTCTAATTCTTTACAAATATTTAGTTTATTTATGTGCCGAATTATGAATTATTAGTTATTATTATTAGTTTAAAAAAATATCTTTCTTCTACTAAAAATTAAACTTAATAATTTTTACAGTGCATTTTTTATTTCTGAATTTAAAAATGAATAGTTATTTTGTTTTGAATAGCATGCTGCTTTAAATTTCTAATAAAATTGCTTTTTTTTCTTTGAAAATAGCATTAGTGTTAAAAGCATTTTTCTTTTCATTCAAATTCATTTGTTCTATATCATAGCAATCTTTTATATTTTCTTTCTAGGCCTCACTCAGTATAGACAAGCAGACATTGACTAGTCAGGAAAACAGAACTTCTCAACTAGATTTAGATATTTCATCAATCTCCTTTTTACATCACCCACTTTTTAGCACTGAACATGTGCTAGAGGCTCGTTTGGTTCAAATGTATGAGAAACATTTAAGCAATGTGAAGAAAGATGTTGTAAATGTGTTGAAGCAAAAGGTTATTTTACTTATAATGTGAGATATATAGTTAAGATAAAACATATTTAAATTTGTTATAGTTTTACACCCTTAATAGTTTAACACCCTTTAATAGTTTTAATAGTTTTATTGAACTGTCAATGTGAAGGACTGAAGTTTCAATTCCCAGAGGTGGCTTGAAGCCTTCTCAGCTTCAGGGTACCAACTTGTCTTGGAGGTAAAAGTAGCCTGTGCGCAACGCTGATCATGTTACCTCAATCATGTTGTATGTCATGAAAATGTAGGGCCTTAACCTTCATGAACCCCTGACCTACAATGGCCTGTTGCCTTACTATTTTTGTTATTTGTAATTGAAAATAATGTCATTAGTATTTTATTTAATGTTTTTTCTAATTGTCATTATACTAAATTAAGGTGATGTAAGTAATAAGTATTTATTCTTTAAAACTGCCTTAAATGTTTTTTGTTTTTTAGTTGAAAGCCTTAAGAACTGCTGTCACAAATTTAAAGAATACTATGCAGAAGGACATGCAGGAGACAACTGTTAATCAGGAGAGACAACTGCGTTTGAAGCAGTATGAGAGAGATATAAGGTATAGAAGCTTTTAAAACTTTATAATTTATTTTACTTTACATTGTTTACACTATCTCTATATTTATATTTCTTTATTATACCTGAATTCTGTATTTTTAGTGAAGAAATATAATATACACTAAAGGGAAGTAATTCTGCTGTTACTCTTTCATTCGTTTTTATATTTAATAAATTTTTGAAAATATCTTTTAATTTTTACATAAACTGAAATATTCTTTAATCTACTATAAATTTAAAATTCAACTAACATGCTAACAAACATATAAAAATATTTCTGTTAATTTAAATTTATTTTTATTGTGTTAAATGTATCTAAAGAAAGAAAACAGAACTATACAAAATCAATAAGTTTTTTGAGTTCTCAAGTAAGCCATAGAAATTGGAACTTAATTTCTAAAGGAAATGAAAGTATTATAAATTGGTCACTTGATTATATTTAAAAAAACTTTTCTTCATAATGTAAAGAAGCTTTTATCTGGAACTATAAGTTCTATTTTGCTTATAATTTGTGCTTAGTAAATTGAGATTGAAAATTTGAAGTCCTACTATACTTTACTAAAAAGAAATTTATTTATTTAATATGTAAAAGGGCCAAAGGAATATGTTGTTTTCTAGTAAAGTTTTCTAGAACAGTTTTCACAATTGACTGTATAAGTTTGTATAGTTACTGTATAATTTTTTAAGTTTAGAACTTTAAAATTCATGTTAAAAATTTATTTATACAGTGTGAAATCTTGTAAAAGGATACTTTTGAATGTTTTAAAACTGTTGCATTCTGTGTTGCATAAAATAATTATGTGTTGCATATTATTATTATGTTGTTATTGCTTATGTGTTTTAAAAATTATATATGTATCATTTATGTTAATATACTAGATATTCAACTTGATTTCTAACAATAAGACTTCATATTGACGTTTATTTTATCTAAATTATAATTGTTTTACTATCTTTTATGTTTAGGCAAACAAAGAGAATTAGAGATTTAGCTGAAGTTGAGCAAAAAACTTTATGGAAAAGCTTATTAAATATTTGGGAAGAATTAAAAGATTGTCGGAAAACTCAGAGATTCACTTCAACTTCTTTAAATCTCACTGTTCACGAGTAAGTTTTTAGTTTACATTATCAGTGATATTAAAAAGTCTAATAAATAAAATCTAAGAAAGTTCTAAATGAATAAATTGGTAGATAAAAAATATCTGAACTTCAGAAGTCCAGATTTACATTTCATTCTCTCTATTTTGATTGTAAAATCATTAAGTAAATTTTGATTTTTAATGTGTGTTAAATAAAAAAAACTTTTTGGACTTAATTGTAGAAATTGTATAGTTTTAAGAACAAGATCTTTATACACATAAAAAAGGAAGTAAAGAAATTTATTGCATATTTTGCAATTAGGTTGAAAATATAGTAAAAGAGAATATTTTTATGCAAAAGCATAACTATACTTTGGTGTTAGTAAGATTTGGTAGATAATTTTATTATATTTTACATTTATTATATTTTACATTTATTATATTTTACATTTATTATATTATACATTTATTTTATTTTAATTAAAAACCATTTTTACTTTGCTTTTCTTNGGAAAAGCTTATTAAATATTTGGGAAGAATTAAAAGATTGTCGGAAAACTCAGAGATTTACTTCAACTTCTTTAAATCTCACTGTTCACGAGTAAGTTTTTAGTTTATATTATCAGAGACATTAAAAAGTCTAATAAATAAATTCTAAAAAAGTTCTAAATGAATAAATTGATGGATAAAAAACATCTAAACTTCATAAGTCCAGATTTACATTTCATTCTCTCAATTTTCATTGTAAAATTGTTAAGTAAATTGTGATTTTTAATGTGTGTTAAATGAAAAAAAAATTTGTGACTTAATTGTAGAAATTGTATAGTTTTATGAACAAGATCATTATACGCATAAAAAAGAAAGTTAAAAAAATTATTGCTTATTTTGCAATTAGGTTGGAAATATAATAAAAGAGAATGTTTTTTTTGCAAAATAATAACTATACTTTGGTGTTTGTAAGATTTGGTAGATAATTTTATTACATTTTACATTTATTATATTATACATTTATTTTATTTTAATTAAAAACCATTTTTACTTTGATTTCTTTCAATTAAATGAAGGAACTAGATAATTAAATGTGGTGTAAATTTTTTAATGAGTGAAAACACTTTTTTTAAAACTTTCTACATAATTAAATTGTTATGTGGTATGTATCAGTTATTTCCTACAGTTATGTGGTATTTATCACTTGTTGCCCTCAGTTGTTATGTGATGTGTATCAGTTGTTATCTACAGTTGTTGTATGGTATGTATCACATGTATATTTCATGAATTTCTTGATGAACACTTAAAGCATTTACTTTTCTGCAATAGAAAAACTGTTATTTTTTTGCTTGCATATGAAGTTTGGTTTCCTTTTTTGTAGACTCACATTTTACACACATATTGATGCTCTGTTGCATACCAACCATATCAAAATGTTTTCCTTCCTCTTTTGGTATTATATGCCATAATTACCTATAAGGATATTATGTTTTTAAACTTAGTTTTTAAATGTTAAAATTTGATTACTGATTATTAAATAACAGTTGTGTTTAATGAAGTTCTTAAATCTATAAAATTTATAGTTATGCTAATGCTATATTACTTTATGTTATTCTTTTTAGCCTACAATTTTATTAGCATGTTGATATTGATTTTTCATAAATATTTATTTCATGTTAAGTTATTACAATATTTTAGAATTAAAAAGTAATGCTATTTTATGCAACTTATTTATTTAATGAAAGTTTAAATTTGTAATACAGTGATAATATAATTGCTTAAAATAATAATATAATTATTCAAAATAATTTAACTATACAAAATATAATTATATTACATTTATTCATTCTCTGTTATTCAATGCTACTAAACCACTTGATAAAGTTAAAATTAAATTTTCTAACTTATTCATTTAGTGAAAATATAAATTTTTAATTCAATGATAGTATAATTATTCAAAATATTTATTCAAATTTATATAACTATACAAAATATGATTATATTACATTTTACCTTCTCTGTCATTCAATGCTGCTAAACCATCTAATAAAGGTGAAATTAAACTTTCCAGAAATTGTTTATCTGTTGTTGTAATTGTTTTTTAATTAATTAAATATGTACTAATTTTTTACCACCAGAGAAAAACTCAATAAATCTGCTGAAAAAGAAGAATTTGAAAGAGAACTGTTAGATGAATTAGAAGAAGAAATGGAAGATTATGAAGCTAGTTCTGGAAAACTGTTTACTGAATATGAAGAAGCATTAAGCAAGTGGAAGCAAAGGAATAAAGCAATGGTAAATATTTCATGAATTTCTGATTTATCAAGAATTTCGCTGATTTTAAATTAATTAATTTTTTAATTATTTGTAATATTTATTTATTTTTTTAATTTTTTATGAATTATATTTTTTTTTGTACTTTCATAGTTGGATAAAAGATAAAATCTCTGAGTGCAGTATCATTTCTTGCTGCTTTGTTGCAAGTATATTTAACGCAAAATATCAAAACTGTCCTCTATGGATCCACATCTACAATCACCCTTTTATTTTCAAGGTCATGGTGCAAATTTAAAAGAACTAGTTTTCTGTAACTATTTTATTTAATATGAATTAAAATTAAATCTGAAAAATATAACTTAAAAGTGGTTATAGTTTTATAATTTAGAGAATTCCACATTAAATGTAGTTAGAAGCAAAAGTTTCCGTAACATTTCTGCATATTGTTAACAAAAAGAAATTTATAAAATGTTGGAATTTTTGGCATTTTCCCACTGGAAAATTTCCCGATTCAGCACTGCTTGTACTAGATTTTGATTCTACTTTTAGAATATTCAATAAAAGATGCTTAATAGACATTAATAGTTAACTCAATTTTTACTTAATCTACAACAAATGAGTTTTTCTTCGTTATTACATTAAATTATTTAAAGAATTTTACTCCTGGTTCACCTAAATATTTGTGTAACTAATTTTTTTTGAAAAATAAGTTGTATAACTAGACGATTTTAAGTTTTTCAGAAGAGTGTATTTATTCTAATGGTATATTTTTGTTGTGGTTTTAAGTCTTGGGAAGTTGAGAAGATGTTTTTAACAGTTATTTGCCTTAATCTTCATTATAATACAAAGTAGTGTTGCGTTAAATTTGATTTGAAAATGGTCATAGTAAATTTCAATACAAGAAGAAAAGGTAATTTATATATTTGTAGTTATGAACTCTATCTTAAACACACATTCTAGTTGATTGTGCATATCTTTAATGTGCTCCAAATACTTAACAACTGAAAAATAATACACTTTATTAGTTTGGAAAATGGTATATTTTAAAGGTATTGGTTCAGAAATAAATTAACTGTATATTACACTGTAGTATTTCTTTATTAATGAGTTTGACATCAAATAAAAAATTTTTTAACTGTGAAAATTCATTTTTATATTTTCAAAATGTTTTTATCATACTATATAATTATGATGTAAGTTACTAATAACTAGATATTGTCTTTGTAATTTCTATATAGTACTTTTTTTATTATTACTGAGATACAGTATTTTCAATTTAAAACTACTGATGCAGAAAATATCTATTACCATAAACTAGTTAAGTTTCACCAAATCTTCATTTAAAATCTGAAAGTATTAATTAAAATGTCAAATGAATTTTTGAATACTTTTTTAAGGTAACTGCACTCTTTGATACTATTATTTTATAGATTGAGCTATTTAACAAATTTTTTTAATTTATTAAAAATTTTATTGTGAAAACTAACTCACTCTTTCTACTTGGGAATAAGGAATACTGTTTTTCTTTTTATGATATTTAATTTGATTGATTTAACATTGCTTGCAATTTCCACTTAAATTGTTTTCCTTCTTCTAATTTGGATATTTTTTTTCTTTTTAGAAATTAGCTACCAAAAGACAGGAAATGAGAGAAAAACTACAGTCTGATTCACAACTGGAAGATGACAGTGAGATGGTTGAGGATCTAATGACAACAAAAGCTGAAGATGAAAGACTTTTGTCCGAGCCTGAAATTCCTAAGCCAAAACCTGTTCCCAAATTTAATTCTACAACTACCTTAGAAAAACTAAGAAGCAATGCTGTTAAAATGAGAAGAAATCCAGGTATTCTCTTTTGTTCGGGTTTTGTATCTAAACTATGTTTTTATTTGCTATTTCAACGTGGTACTTTACTGTGTATCAGAATTTTAAACAGTGCCGCCCTGGAATCAGAAATCTGTCCAGGACTTTTTAAAGCTTGTCCCACGCTAGTTCAACCCAAAGTAATCCAAATCATTCTTAAATTTCTAAAGAATTACAATGAATTCTATTATATTATTAAAGTATTAAATGAGATTTCCTTGGTTTTTTTAGAAACTTACATATGTAATTTATTAAGAAATTATGTTTTCCAGTATCATTATATTTTCTCTTGAACCTTCCCTATTTACTTCAAAATCATCCCACTGGGAATTCTTTCAATGCTTTAAATCGTCAGACAGACATCCAAGTCTGAAAGATTTCTTTTTGAAATACCCGGCGACTGTAGATATATCTTCATCAACTCCAACTTATCCAACTTGTTTACAATTTAGTTTCTCTTGCTCCCATAACATATGGAACAAAAATTATGTATTGATTAAATTTAAATTTTATTTTCAGGTGAACCAATACTGCATTTAACTGTGGACTATGATATACCTATAACACCAGAAAATCAGTGTCCAAGGTTTGTTTATCTTTCTTCATAATACATTCATGATGTCTCCTCTAAGTTCATAATACTGAATATTTTGCTTTTAAGATAGATATGAAGTTCAACGGAGAAGTGCAGTTTCAAAACAGAAAATATACTTTAAAATTATGTTTAATGATAAAAAAGTGTTAGAAACTTCCGAAAGGTATGAATTTTTTTATTTTACAAAAAATTGCATGATAAAAAAAGTTTTTTTATACTCACAGTTCTTCTAATGCTTTGTTACTTTTTCTGTAGGAATTTAACTCAAGATTTCAAAGCTGTATGGGGACAGATATTCAAAATTCAAATTGTACATTATCCTCAAAGTCTGCGGATAGAGGTATATTGTTTTTAATGCAGTGATATACTATGGTTATCTTATAATACTTATTGAATACTAAGATTTAAATACTGAGTATTATGAATTTGTTGATTAAGTTGACACCCAGACAGATTAGAAAATTTATTGTGTATTTAAGAGGCCTTGTAATTAACCTTTTCTTTTTTACATAATTAATGTATACCTTGTTAATACATTAAATTGTGTAATCATTTATGTATGAATTTTTCTAATATATTAAATTACATGATGATTTGACAGAACATAACTGAAAATGCATATTTTATTTTAAAGTTTCAAGTAAGATGGGATATTTTTTCTTTCTTTAATTATGTAACTTTTTACTGATTTTAACTTCCAAACATTTATTTAAATTTAAAGCATGATACTTTAAAGGAAAATCAACATACCTGAGTGTTTAATCACTAAATTGCGTAATCATATTCTGAATATTTATAATTTTTTTGAATTACATGATATTTTATCAGAAATAAAAATAAATATTTTATTTTAAAGTTTCAAATAAAGTATGATTTTTATTTTTATTTCTATATAACTTTTTACATGTTATAACTTCTGAAACATTATTCAAATTTAATACATAATTTTTAAACAAAAATCTTCCTACTTGACTGTAATGCTGTATTCTAACTTTAACGAAATAGCTGTTATTCATATGATATAATATCTTTTTTGTTTTTTTGAACGATAAAATTAAAAAAAAAATTAGTTAACCTTATATGGGATTCATATCTTATAAAATATGAAGCAACTTTATGTAAAAAAGTATGCTAAAAACTTTATATGTAATAAATGAAATTTAATAAAACAAAACTGAGAATGAAAAAACCAAAACCTGTTTGATCACCTAAAGAAACAAAGAAGAGCTGAAAGTCAATTTATCTGTGCAATTATTAATTTATTTTTTGTTAATTTAATTTATGTATTACTTTCAAAGTATCAACTTTTTCTTCAGGTATTTGAAAAGAGCTTTTTGAATAGCAATCAGTTAGCTGAGTTGTATGTACCTATTCCTACTCTTTCTCAAACTGCCTTAAATGCTAAACTTGTGGATCACCAGTTTAGCTCTGATAAAGTTTATCCTCCAGTATACAATGCTCTTGGAAGTGGTAATTTATTCATTAATTTTATTGTAGTTTGTAGAACCAATTTTATTACTATATTTTTAAATATTAACTTCTTTTCATGTTTATAACTATGTAATCTTCTAATCAAAATTTTGATCCCTTTCCAATTTACTAAAATACTCAAATTTTAACTGTAGCTTCGTTCTCAATGATAGTTCAAATTTTAATCGTTTCCTTACTGATGCACGCAAAATTTAATATGGTGTTATCACCAAAGGGATAACATCACGATAAATAAAACTTCTGCTCACTTTAAGATTAACTCGAGAAATAAAATTTTAACAGAAAGTTTATACTGGATGACAATACAAGTTTTAATTGTTTTCTGACCAATACAAATATTTTAATTGTCATCTTAATAACCATTGAGAATTTATCATCTACCAATTCTCACCACTTTTCGACTAGCTAAAGGATCCAAATTACAACCTCACCTCTTTGACAGCAATGAAATTTTCAATCATTTCCAAATAGCTGCAAGCGAAATTTATTGTCATATAAAATTCAGTTAGAAATTATTGTCCGTAAAAATTCCTATTACTTTTTGAGTAGCTATAGTGCTCTAATTGTTAATGCACCTCTGAAATTAACTTCAATGTGACTTTCAATTTTTTCCTGAACATTTCAAGCAGAATTTATTGCTTTAAAACCAAATAAGAATTATTTTTAATTTAAATTTTGACCAGCTAAAGTAATCAAATTTTGTCTGGAGCTCTGTGTCAGATAAAAATATTATGGCTTCCTAACTGCTGCAGACGGAGATTATAGCCAATATCATTGATTGAATTCCGAACTACTTTTTGACTCTTTAGAATGTTCAATTTTCTACTCGAGATCTGTGACAATATAAGTTTTAAGTGTTTCCTAAGTGGTGCAGACAAAATGTTTTAATATTTTATCACCAATCGTAATTTTGACGGCTTTTTTTTTTACGAACTACTAGGTAAATAACTTATAAGAAGAAAATTTTAATTTTTAAAATGAACTGAAAAAAGAAAATAATTCTATTTTTGTAAGACACCATAAACAAAAAAATAGGATACATAACTTTTATAAGAGTTATAAGTTTTTTTTCTCCTTTGTAGTCCACTTTAAAAACAAATTTTTTTACTTTTTTTTTAAAACTTTGTTTTGCATAGAGCTAAAACAAAAATTGACGTAAAAACATTACAAATTTTTTAAATAATGGATTTCAATTTGATTTTTTTCTCTAAGCAAACAAGGGGAAAATATAAAATTTAATTCAGAAGAAAAAAATTAGTTTTTCTCTGTAAATATTTATTAAAATATTGCAATTTCAAGGAGGGAATTTTGGTTGATTAATTCAAGTTTAAATCTATTTTTTTGCATTTGGCTTTAATTTTTACAATTATTTTTAAAAAACAAAATTTTTGTATATTTGACTCAAATAACTAAAGAAGTATTTTACTAGGCACATAACAATAAATTACATTAGTATCATAGGTTGTTAGTTCTAAATTTAGATACAAAAAACATTTTTAAAGCTCTAAAATTTATCGAAAATGAAATTTTGAGCTGCATATGGATGTATCTGTATTTTTTTCTTTAACAAGATTCATCTTAAATTTAGTATTAAAAAACATATTTATTTCTTAATTGTCTCTTTGGTCTTATTTAATGATTTAATTAAGTGTTCTTTAAAGAAATTGAAAAATTCATTAAAAAAGCTAGGTTTACTAGTTTGATTGATTGTGATATTACTTGTACTTACATTTACTTGTATTGTAATATTATTTATATTTTTGATACTAGTTTTTGAGAATAACGCATTATATTTCAGGTTTTTCTCATAAATTTAAAGATGGAAGTGAAACCTTTTTATTAACTAGTGGAACCTGCAAGTGTAGCCTTGTGTGGGGTGTCTCTGATGATGACGTTGTTTTGGCTCCTTCAAAACTTGCCAGCAATATAAAGTATCTTCTTAATTAAATTTTTTGATTTGTATGATATTAAAGTTGAACATAATCTCTATCTCTTGTTATTGAGAAAAGTTTTTTTTTCTTATTTCAATATTATGAAATTTACATGTTATTCTACATTCATTGTCTTTATTACCCATTTTTAGATTCGTTTTCAATAATGAAGTCAAGAAAGTGTACACTTTAGGATCATTATCATCCTGTGTAACTACCCTATAAGCACAGAAATGATTAGAGATATTGTATAATGTTTTTCATTTATATTATCAAATAATAAACACAATATGTTCTAGGAGTTCTTAAAATTATGTAGTTGGCTAACTCTTTCTGAAACAACCTTTTTTTTAGAAACTTTATCCAAATATAAGATATTTCATGTCTTTTTTGAGATTGCATTTGCTCAATCTCAAAAGCATTACTTTAGGATAAATATTGGTAAAAGTGTTTCACTTGTTTTATCAATAAATGTACATTTGTAGATATGAATATTTATAGAATAAAAAACACAAAATGATTAAAACAATTCTTGAAACAAAAAAAACAAAAAAAAAATCGAGCTAAAAGTGCTAATGGGATAAAATTTTGTGCTTCTGGCAGAATAAATGAATACATATTTTCTGCTGAAAAAAACTATTTCATCATTATTAAGAAGTAGCATTTGTTATTATTTACAAATGTACAAATGTGGGTGGGCCGGGATAGTCTGGTTGGTACAGCACTGGGCCCATGTCCAAGAGGTCGTAGGATCGATCCCGCCGGCCGAAGACTCGCGAAGTTCACATAACAAATCAATTGGGGGTACTGATCCAGGAGTTTCCGTGTCTTTTGGATTGGTTCAAAATGACAAGGCCACAGAGTTGAACATTAGTAGTCGTAAACCCGAATTGGGTCGATTGTTCATCGACGGATATAAAATAAAATAAAATGTACAAATGTGACTCAATATAATTGCCATTTTGATATTCTATTCATTATCCATTATGCTTGAAGCGTCAAATATTTTCTTATTAGAGCTTCTTAATTCTAAATTCTTCTTTTTTTTTTAAAAAAACTTTTTTTGCATTTCATTACTTAAAACTTACACCTCCTGTTATTTTATGTTGACCAAGTATTTTAAATTTTTGTTTGTTTGTACAAAATCCACTTGTTCATTGTATTGTATAAAGCTTTTGATATTGATAAAGCTATTTTATTTACTAATTTTTCCTTATTTTGGTTAAGATTCCTTGCTTGTTTTAGTGAAAGCAAAAAAGCAGATCCTTTATCATGCCTGAACACTGAAAACTTCTCTGACATCGATAAATTGCACAAGTGGATTAAAAAATCAAATCTGGATCCTCACAATCCTGAAAATGCTGCACTTTTTCATTTTTTCCAGGTAGTCATTTCCAACCTTTAGATTTTTTGAAATTTCTATTCTTTATTTAGCCAATAATTAATGTGTAATAAAGGTTATGTAATTCCAATACCTTATAAACAATTTTTAATCCTGAAAATTGTTTTGTTTTGAATAACAATTAAAAATTACTTTGAAACTCCAAAAAAATTGTAACATTTCTTCAGAAAAATATTTTTGGTGTTATTTTAAATTTGGATTGTGGAGATCAATTTTAATGTAACATTATTGATTGATGTTGTTCTATAATATACATGGTGATCAACAACCACCACTTTTAATTACATATATTTTAAGAATCTTTATCAAAAAGTGAGGAAAAAAGAATATACATAATACAAACAAAAGTTTAAGCCTGGAAGAAACATAAACATTATCAAATTACTAGTGAAGAAGTCTCAAAACCAGTTTGCTCACGTGCTGAAACTTAGAAGTGTTTATAATAATTTGTTTTCAACTTCTTTCTGTTTTCCCCCTTAGCAGACTTTGGCATTTTTAGTCCTTAATAATAACATTTTAGATTTTGATAGAAGTTTTGTATTTTCTTTGCTTTAACATTTTGAGAGCTCTAATGTGCATATTTTCATTTTTTGACTATGATTCTGAAGTCTAAAATAATATATTGAAGGCCGTGATTACAGAACATTCTGTATATTTGAAAATGTTAATAATCTGTTTTATATTTTTTAGGAATTAAATTTAGAAGAAGATAATTCTGAAAATAGTTTGGAATGTTTTCGATTGGAGCCCTTCAAAGATGAACTTGAATTTTGCTCCATGGATGAAATTGATAACAATAAAAGATTTCAACTCCTAATGCTGAGAAATCGCAATGTTGCTGAATATCAAAATCTGAAAATGATTCCAATTAATCAAGAAGATGTAACAGAAGATATGTTAGAGGTTTGATTTTTTAATTATTGTTCTTTCTAGCTCTTAGATAATTAGTATGTATAAATTTGATTTAAAACTATATATTTAATGTGTGTTTACGATGTATAGATAAAATCTAAATTGTTCAATCGTTTCAATGTTTTTGGCTTATTAGGTCATAATATGTGTTACTCCAGTATATTTATTCAACATGCAAAAATATTCAATCTATGAGTACTTAATCTTTAGTTTTTGCTTACCTTTGAGTTTGTAGTTTTTAATAAAAATATTTATTTCTACATCTTAGAAGTTGATTTTATAAAATAATTTCACATTGGTTTGTGTGATAGTGGCCATGCATTTATTTTGATAATGCAAATGTTAATTATTTACACTATATCTAATGTATGTATGTGAGGCAAAAAGAGACTATTAAAAAATAAAGAAAAATTCTTTGAACTTTTGCATTTACTTGTTTTCTTTTTATCATGAACTAAAATATTTGCTTATATGTTTCAAAAAATTATAGTTTCCTGTAATTTTATTTTAAGATTATTTGTTTGCACCATAATTAATTCAAGGGAAAGAACATTAATATTGATAAAGGAGTTTTAAAAATATTAAGTATGCTTTATCTAAAATGAAATCGATTTTATTTTAATATATTGCTTTTGCAACTGTTGGTACAGGATTAAACCCACATTATCCCCATTTTTTAAGCATGCACTGAACTGAATTTAAAAACTATATTTAACCTCTTAATTATACCCCAAACACTCCACTACTTCTTTCGTACACTTAATTTTCATATTTTTTTCCCTAAGCTCCTTTATCCACAATGTGAAAAGTATCTGATGTTGTGTTTATATTATTTTATATCCATATATTAGTTAAATAAAAATAATTGTTGTTCTACTTGGGACCTATCTTTTTAGAATTTGAAAGAAAGATCACAGCCCAACGAAGAATCGAGAGAAGAGGAAGGGGACCAACTTCAAAGAGAACAATCTAAAAAAGTTCTGATGAAAGTAAGATTAAATTATGATTTTACACATTGGTTTGACAAAAGCAATTTTTTGATACTAGATGTTTTACATGAAATTGGCAGCCTTCACTAGATTTTTGATCTCATGGCCTAACTCCCTTTTTGATGGTTATATATTTAGATAATTAGTTGCAAATATACACACGACAAAAGCTTCTGTGCATTTACTTTTAAGATTTTATTTGCATATGATCTAACTTTTATACTATCATAAAATTTAATTAAAATTATGAAAGTTTTATTAATTTCTTATATTTGATATCTATTAGAAAAAATAGAAAATAGCTGTGTTAGAAATTTATTAGCCTTTATATATAGGCAGATTATTTATCTTTCTTGTTTATGTAATTTAGGACCTTATAATAGTTCAAATACAATGGGCATGAAGATTTACAGTAATAATCTAATGACTGCTTGAATCAACTTGATAAATGTCTTTGATTTTATGACCCTAAATCAAACTCTCATTTCTGTTTAAAAAGCTGCCATGCATTTTATTAAATTTCATTTCATTTAATGATTTGCTTGTTTATTTGGCTGCTCTATAGAATGTTTTAAAAGTGTAAAAAGTGTATTTCTGCATTTCCTTTTAAAACCGTTCTTAAATTTAGAAGTAGAAATGCATGCCTAATTTAAAGTAATTGCATGCTTTTATGGCCCAGTAATTTTGAAACTTAAAAATGCAATTGTTTCATTTTTAAACTTTGTTAAAAAATTAACAAAAGTTTCTCTAAATTTCGCACACATTATCTAACAGCTTTTTGTTACCACAAGAAAATGTTAGTCATCACACTTCAAAACAAACTGCAAAATGGCTTGAGGATAATGGAATAAATATTTTAAAGTGGCCTGCTTCACTCCCTGATCTCAGTTCTATAGAAATTTTGTGGGGAATAATAAAAAATAAATTTGAAAAAGTAAAAAAATACTCAGTTAAAAAATGAAGAGAAGATTTCAGGGCTCGAAAAACTCAGAAATTTTACCCGTCCCCGAGGACGACATGTCCAACAATGTACCCGTCCTCATTTTAAACTAACCCGTAGCTTCTAAATAAATAAAAACATNCGTGTGACATTATCAGGTCTCTTGTAGAATCTGTTCCAAGATGGCTTCAGGTGGTTATGTATGTTAAAGGAGAAAGAATTTACTGTATAATATTATATAAAGATAAGACATCTTAAAATGCATTTCAAGTTTGGATTTTTATTATTTTTATTTTATTATTATTTTTATAAAGCATTTTTGAAAGTTTCTATTCTTTTGCTCTGTATTGTACTCTGTTTTTTTTAAATCTTATCATGAATACTGGGCTATAGCACAGCAACAAATGAATAAGAAACTGTGGTTGTTCTTTGAAATTACTTACAAAAGATGTTAACATATGTAAACCATTGAATAGATTCAACCTCTTGTAACTTCCATTTCTTCATTTGTCTGCTTGCATTTTTCTAAAAAAAATGTAAATCATTTATCAGATCTATATAAACTCTTAGCACCGAATTCATTTTTATCAAAACACATTTTTATTAATAGGTAAATGAAAAGTTCTTTGTGCAGTAGAATGGAAATCAAAATTTTATGACGCTTGACAACGTGAAAATGTTAAAAATAAAGATTCAGAAAATTTACAATGATTAAAATTGTCATTACAACCGTTTTAAAACTATGAAAAAGACATTGTGCAAAAAGCTTTAATAAAATAATTTCATGCCTATTGCGTTGCTGTTTGTTAATGATAATATGATAATGTATGTAGTATAATGGGTGTTGTTCCAAAAAAGGGCTAAAAGTTAAATCATAAAGAAAACTCAATTTTTTTTCTTCTTAACTGTAGTAGTAGTAGTGTAGTGTAGTACTAGTTGAGTAGTAAGTAGTGTTTCTTTAGTGTGTTGTTAAGGCAAAAAAAACTAGCTTATTTTTAAACATAACTAGTCTTTTTTTTTTTTTGTAGAATTAAAGTTTTATTTTTTATAATTTTGGACGAATCAGGTAAAAATAGTGAAATGTGTAAAGGAACAAATTTTTACAGATATTAACAAGAATGATTGTAATATTTCAGAGGCGATAATTTGTAAGTTAAATGCATTTCAATTTTATATAATTGATTTCTCTTTTTTTTAAAAGGTTAGGGAAGAAGTTGCCAAAAGATTTTATGTTTCTCAGCATCAAAAATGTTTAGAAGATATAGTTACAGAGGAAAAAGTTCCTACTATAGGGTATTGATATAAATATTTTTTTAAAAATATATATGTTGTTTGGATATTGTATATATTATTAAGGAAGGTATGTAATCAGTTTCAAAACTCTGCATGCTTCATAAATATTCGTTTTTATTTTGATGAAAAATAGTTACAAAGTGAGTTAAGGATTATCATTCACATTCATTAGCCATCTTGTGTAACTGCTAGATTGTAAAGTCTGTAACATAACAGAGGTTATTTTCTCTTAAACTAAAATAATCTATGTGGTGCTAGTTACTAGGCAACTTTAAATTTTTTTTTAGTTTCATAATTATTAAAATCTTAAATGACTTATAACCTCTGATAACTTTTTTGCTCTCATAAGAAAAGGGAACAGAGATGCAAGGAAAAGTTATGAACTTGCATAGTTTTTTCTTGCATATTTTTTCTTGCTGAAATAAATGTTATGATAAGTATAAAATTGCATAATCTCTGATAACCTTTTTACTCTCAAAAGAAAAAGTAATAGAGATCCAAAGAAATGTTACAAACTTACATTTTCTATTATTAATAATTTGTGTTTCTCATAACAGAAAAAAACAAACAGATTATGTTCTTATAAAATTCAGTACATTTATAGCCAAAAAAGGCTGCTTAAAATGAAATTTTTTTTTTAGCTATCATAGTTTATTTTATACCCCTTGTTTTGCTTCATAGTTTATCTATAATCAAAAAATAAAAAAAAAGTTTTATAAAAGTTAAGTTAATATGAAAATTTTGAATTTTTTTAAAATTACTCTTGTGATTTATTTTACTTAACATTTTATGGAGCTCACTCACTTTTTGAAAGTGCTTTTTTTTTCAAATGTAAGTGATTGTTACATTGTCATATTTAGAAAAATTTGGATACTAAGGGTGTGTTTCAAGAACAGGTTTGTTGAAAGCTTTTCAATTACTTGAACTTATGAACTTTTTCATCTAAGATAAATCATTAGATTTTACGAACGCACAATATAAAATTATTTGAGGCCATCTGCACTAAATGTAAATTACGTAAGTAACAAAAAATGAACCAATAATTAATCCAATATTTTTGTTGCATCATGGTTTTTAGCTGGAAGTTTCAAAAACTTCCCGCTATTTTTGTATTTCTCTTGTTATGTTTCTTCATAAAAGAAGCTTTACCTTCTATATTAACTGAATTTCTCTTCTCCCTTCTATAAATTAAGTATGCTTCTTTTTAAAAAGCAATTTTTTTACAGGACTATTGGTTTTAGTTTATTGAAACTGTTTCAACCTAGACGTCCACTCTGTCCAGAGAGAAAAGAGCGAAAAAAGATAGTTTGCTCCAATACACACCTTGATGTAAAGATCATAGTTAGAATATTGCATGCTTCGAATGTTCCTGTACGTAAAGATTCAAGACTAGAAAAAGAAAAAAATGAAGAAAAAGCTGCAGGTTTTCTTTTATTCTTATCTTTTTTGCAGTTATTTTGTTTTCATCATCAGTAGCTCGACAGTCCTCGGTGGACCCTGGCTTTCTCAAGAAGACTGCACCAGCCCTTTCTTCTGCATGCCACGGCTTTCCAGTCTCTGACCTTGATTGTGGTAAAGTCCCTTTGGAGGCAATCCGCCCATCTCAGTCGGGGTCTGCCTCTCTTTCTAGCTCCAGTTATTTTGTTTTAAAGAAAATAAATTTAAGTATAAAAATCCAACTTAATCATTATTTAAAATCAATAAGTGAATCAATTGGAGTGTTCTTATAGTTGATATAGTAAATTGATAAATTAATGCATTTCCATTTAACAATAAATGATACTTTCTGTATAAATTATGAATGCAGAACATAAAATTACAATAATTTAAGAAAACCTTATTCAACTAAAATTTTTCTTCAAGGTAAAATTCACAGTAAAGAAATTCAAATTAGTTAAGAAGGTAAATAAAAACAAATTATAATAATGTAAACAGCAAATCATTTATTTATTAAAAATTTTTAAAGATGAACTAGCAAAGATTTATTGTGATTTAAATGGAATTAGAAGAAAAAAAGATTCAACAATATATTAGAAAAATTATTCATTAAAAAAGTAAATGGGTGTTTTACCATAAATAAATTAGTTTATACAATAGCTTTTGAAATAAGAAGGGAAACATTATAAAAATAATTCATGTATATTATTGTAGGAGTACTGAAAATTTGTTGGAATTTTATATATATAATTTATGAAAAAATTAATTCATTGTTAGCTAGTTGTATTTAGAAATTTTATGTTTGAGGAATTTGCAATAATGTATTATAATAATTTTAAAGTCAGCATCATCAGAAGAAATAACGCAAAATATTACATCTTTAAAAAGCAGGTACGTTTTCTGGATTTGTTAAATTGTAAAAAAATTGGTCTACTATCCTTTAGCCTATTGTAATAGTACAAAATATATTTAAGAAAAATATTTTTCTTGACAATGGTGTATTTTTTTTGTATAAATTTAGTTACTGTATTACCTTTTATTTCTTCAAAACAATCTAAATTTATTACTGAATTTATTAATATTGAACAACTCTCTTTATATGAAAAAGCCAGATTTTAAAAAGTTAAATGTGAATGAAAATGTAATATATTGAAGGACACCACTCGTATATTACTCTGGCTAATTAGAAAAACCCTTTTATTTTCAAAGTGCCCACATTAATTTGCAAAGAATTTACATGTATTGAAATCAGTGCAACTATAGACGTCAGCAGTTGGCAATGAGCTGGATTTTTTAATTAACCTATGACATGTGCATAACAATATCCATTAATATCTCATTTAATCAAATGTGTCTTAATAAAAACATCATTCATATGCATACATGTCTACAGAATACAGTGGCCATTTTCTGTGTGCAAAGATTAGAGGGAGTCAAATTGGTCTGTCCACTCATACATGTTTTTTGTATCATAGTGTTTATTTTATACCACTCTAAATGACAACATGTCCGTCATTTTGACACCCGTTGACCATAGGACAAAACATTGTTCGTTGATTGTGTATGCATAAAGTATCCATATGTAGGACTTTTCTGTTCTACAGCATTTAAGTAAATGGGAATAGTGATGAATATTCATGCATTTTAATCACTCGAAGTATGAACTAGAATGTGTTTCCAAATGCACCCCATCCTTCTTAATTTTTCCAAAAACAAAAATTTCATACACTTTTTAATTTATCGCAGGCTATCTTGTTAATGTAGCCTACAGATGCATGGCAAAATGTAAAATTGCTATTAATACATTTCATGTAATTATATATTTTGTTTTATTTAGTAGATTGTGTATAAATTGAATTTATTGGATTTTTTTTCTATTTTGAATTGGGGTGGTATTATGATTTAAAAAATACATATAATAATTTATGTAATAATTTATGTAGTACCGAGTATATTTTTTAAAATGCACTTAAAAATTTTGATCTTTGTAATGATTTTTTAGAGACTCCTTTTAATTTTGAAAGTCAAGTGCAGCCATTTGTGGAAGTAATGTTTCAAAGGATGGCAGTCAAAACAGGAATTGCTGATGGACCACATCCAACATGGAATCAAGAACTTGAACTTCCATTTCAGTATGTCATGAGATCAATTTTCAAAATAGGAAATATAATAAATGTGGAGATGGAAAATTTTCATTAATGCTACTTTGGGGGAATAACCAAGAGAAATCTTGGTATTCTTTTGTTCTTCAATATTACCCTAAAGTTTTCTTAGAATGAAGACAATCTTAAGTATTTTATCTGCATATAAGTCATTAAAAAAAACAACCCTTCTGTAGCAAATTAAAAAAAAATCTATTTCAAAAGTCATAGTAAACTGATTTGCACTGAATAAAAACTTTGATAATAGACGGTTTTGAGTTTACTGAAATTTCTCTAAAAATATTAAGTATGCCTTCAATAACTACAGAAACACAATAAGCTTTTTGTAATTATGTCTTAATAGATTAAACAAAAAGAAACACAATAGTCATAGAAAGTGGAAACTTTGGATTTGGAGATCACAATATTAAGCCAGGAAACAAAAACAGCATGGTTGAGTTTCTAGGAAATACATCTGATTCTGTTGCAGAATTTGATTTAACTAAAAATGAAAGCTTTTCATCTGCTGAAAATAAAGATAATTATTAATTTCAAACAATTTTAAATAATTCTGTATGTATTAAATAACAGACTAACACTTTCTTTTTTAAAAGAAATTTGTTTTTGTGAATATTTTTCTCAAATGTAACTTGCTTTAATATTTTTGAACTCCATATTGAAAGAAATTATCATCAGCGCTGTTTTGGAAAATCTTTTGACAAGTGTGCTTCTCATTGTCACAACACAAAAATGATTACATGAAACAATATGGAATTATTTAAAAAGAATATGGGTATTTGATAAATGAAACACATGGTGTATTTTATAACTAAAATGTTTAGATAAGTTTTAAAAAAATCATTACTATTATCTTTATTTTGAACATATGAATACAATAAGAATAACATGATATATATAAGAGTGGTATATTTGTAGTATACTCTAAGTATAAAATAATACTTTAATTATAAAATAATTACTTCAACAAATTATAAATTGTATTATTTGAAATTTAAATTTCAGTATTTTTATTATTTTTTAAATTTCTTTAATGTTCCACAAATTACAAATAGTATTAGTTTGAGTATAAATTATTTTATTTTATTATATTTTTTCAGTTAATAGATATTACTTGACACTTATATGACAGTAATATATGATATGATATTATGACTTACATGATATTATGACAGTAATAATTCCATCTTTGAATTCAAACATATTAATTAAAATAATGTTTATGAATAGTAGTTAACATAATTGAAAAGTTATATTTTAATATGATTCCACCCAAATAAACTAGTCTCATTGGACCTTGTGACGTTTATTTTTAAATGCAGGCAATAAGTCTGGAGCATTTATAGATTTCTATATAATTAATTGCATAAAAGCAAGAAATAAGTTCTCTCAAAAACTGTATATTAAAAAAAAATAAATTAAGAAACAGTTAATCATAAATTTCCATAATCAATTTTGAATAAAATAATAAAATATGACTGATGCGCTTTAAAGTGTTCAATATGACTAATAATTTTTTGTTTTCAAATTTTTCTTGGGAATTATCAACTAGTTTTGTTTTGTTTATAAAACAAAATAATATAATAAAAATAATTAATGTAATAAAAGTAATTAATAAAAATCTAACTTTTTAACTATTATTAGTTCTAATTATAAATATTATATTAACAGTTAATATTTACTTGAATGATTAAATTGTTACTGTAATTTAAATTTCAAATAATTTAAAATTAATAAATTTATAAATTTTAAATAATTTAAAGTTAATAAATTTATAAATTTCAAATAATTATACCATAAATAAAATATAAAACTATATTTAATTCTATTTGCAAATTAAAAAAAATTATTACAAAAAAAGAAGAGAGAAAAAAAAAAGTTCCCTGCACAGTTCGAATTCCACGTGTCTTCTTATTAGACAAGTATTTTATTGCTAGGCTACTGCACCATTATTGAAGTGAAAATTTAATTAGTACATTCAAAGCTGTATTTTATTGGCTGGGAAACCTCTTGCATAGTTTAAGGTTGATAATAAGGATTTCATAGCTTTCTAATATAGCTTTCATTTTTCAAAATACTTTTTTAAAAATAAATCCTAAGTTTTGGCTCTTAGGAAATATTCATCATGGAAGTTTTTAAAATAATTCTGATATAAAACATTTTAACAATGTTGTTTTGCTAAAAAAATGTGTGATATTATTATGAGTTTATCTAATATTTACTTTTCAATGTTTCCATAATATCCTAAATGTAATAATTAAAAGAATTTTTTTCTTTTACAGAGCTCCAAATGATAATTACTTACCTGCAAATTTAGAAAGTGTGAAAGATGTTATTTATATAAATTTATTCGATGAAGTTACTGTTGATCTTTTAGAAAGCGAAAAAGAAAGAGCTAGTATTGTTTATGAGCGACTAGAAAGGAGGTGGCTGGGAAACTTGAAAATTCCATTTACAACATTATATTTAAATTCAAAGGTAATTGCTCAACAGCAATTTTCAATACTATATAATAATTAATTTTAAATGATGAAATATTTTTGCAAAATTAAAGCAATTTTTTATTTATTTCAATGGTATGTAATTTTAGGTGTGAAATTCTTTCTCAAACCTAAAATTTTTCTTTTTTCAATAGTTTTCTGGTTTTTTGTGACCATTTTCCAAGGATGTTGGAAAATAACCACATCACTAACCAATCAAAATTTTTTATTGTGTAAAAATTAATGTATTGTTTTTAAAATATTCTTATTATGTCGTGTTCTTTTCAAATTGTATTAATGCAGTAAAATGGAACTTAAGCTTCTTAGATTAAAAAAATGGAGGCTAGGGACTGGTAATTTGAATTTTTTAGTGTGGCTTATTAAGGAATCATTTACGTATTAATTTTTTAAAAGTTTCAAAGGTTATTAATCAAACTGAAGTTTATATGATATGTTTTGCTATCTTAGCTTTTTACATTTAATACTTTTGTTTTTAAGTAATGGTTAATCTTATTTAATTTAAACTTTATGTTACTGGCATTCTATTATGCTCACACAATTTAAATATCTTTAAAATATAATATTTTTGTCCCATTGATATATTCCAATTCTCTTGTTGAAAGTTTTAAAAAAATTCTGTGAATTAATATAGTAAATGTTATACTTTTCCCTCCATAAAGAGGCATTTAAACCAGTGGTCGGCAAACTTATTGGCCAAAGAGCCAAATATGAACATTACAACAATTTTAAAAAAATTTAGGAGCCAAATCTGCTTGTTTAGTAAACTTTTGTTACACTAAATAAGTAATACACTAAATAAAACTATTTCATACTTAATAAATATGTATTAATGCGAACAATGTGCTTGCATCTCCTTGGAAAGTTTGAGTAAGTCAGGTTTGTATATTGTTGTTTTTAATTTTAGGCATGATTCCAAGTTCTCATCAATAAGACGACTTCTCAGTTTACTCTTGACAATGTTCTTGTTGAAAAAGATTGTTCGCATATATATGTAGAACCGAAAAGGGCAAGAACAGCAAACGCGAGTGCTGGTCTGCGACGCCAATTTGTGCCCCCACTACTTTAGAAAAAGTATACGTGCATATGCTTGTGGTACCCTTGTATCACACCGGAGTACGCCGAAAACATACGAACAGTTTCAGCCGGTAGCTTGTACATGGTTTGTGTTTACGTTTACGAAAACTAATAAAATTAAACTCGATGTTCGTTACGTATTTTTACAACAATATAAAATTTTAATCACCTATCTATCTTTTAACTTAAACAAAAAATTATACATGTTCTCGATTTAAAGAAGAATTTTATTTTGTCAAAATAAGATGCAATTTTTTTCTTACCAAGTTTTTTTTAAATGAAGACATTATGGCACCTTCCGTGGATATTTGTGCCAGAGCCGCACTTAAGGAGACAAAGAGCCACATGCGGCTCTGGAGCCGCACTTTGCCGACCACTGATTTAAACGAAAGTGTTGTCAGTTAATAAATTTACTATGTGCACATGTTTTACAATTGCATTATTTTAATTTGCTTTTTCACTTTTTTTTTAATTTTATGACTGCTTATATCTATGTTTACATGAGTTCTAGTCTAACATAATCCAAACTCTAAGATTTTATCAACTATATTTCAAGATTATCAAGCTGTAATCGGGGAAAGGATAATAATTGCTTTTAAATCCTTTTTCATCTACACCTAAAAGGAGGAAAGAAAACATTAAATAAAGGAATGAAAAAACAATTAAAACTTGTCTTTCATTATTTGTCTTTGCTACAGGTGTTTAAAAACAACATCGCATTATTAGGTTCGGTCAGATAATTTAAGAGTAGCCTGTAGATTCTAAATATTGTAGAAACTTATAACTCTTAATATTAGGTAGTCTTATCTTAACGTACTTGAAGTAATTTCTGACATCTGTTGATTCAAACATTTTGTATCATAAACTTGGAAGTCATACAGACTATACTGTTACTTTTATGGAATAATTTTTAGTTATATTTGCAATGTTTGGACTTGGACTATGCTTTAAGATCAAATAATTCGTTTTAATGAAAAAAATCTATTCAACATTATGTTTAAAACACTCATTTTGCTTAAAGCTGCAAAATTTTACTTTAGTTTTTGATTTAATTTATTATAAGAATTTTTTTTAATATTATGAGTTATATATGTTATTATAAGGAAATAAATAGTTTTTCTTTTAGATTGAGGGTACATTTCGACTTAATGTTCCTCAGGTTTTACTAAGCTATGAAAATGAGCCTAGGCCTTGGCTCACTGGCTTATCGAACTTGTCTGGTAATCATACTTACATATCTTTCTTCATGACTATAGAGCCTTGTTTGCAGTTACCTGAAATTTTCAGAGATCAGGTGATCCTTTTTCTTGTTCATTAGAATTATTTTTAAAAATCCAAAGATTAGAGAGTTACACTTTTATAATATTTTTCTTTTTACATACACATTTTATTAATTAATTATATAGAAAGTTTACTAGAAGTCCTGAATAACTTTAGATTTTAAGTTCCGATGAATGTGAACTTTGTGGTTGTAAAGATGTGCATAAGAAATGTTATTGTCCACATTAAGTTTGTTGTACAATATTATGGGCAAGCTTCCAGCAAAATCTTTTATTATTACTTTTGTGTGTGTTACAATTGTAGCGTTATATAAAGCATTGTAATAAAGTAACAAATTATTAATTTAAAAATAGATCATTTGGGAAAGTTTTTTAATCTTAGATTACAGATAAAAAAAAAGAAATGGAGAAAATAAAAAAATGGAAAAACAAAATACATTTATTGAACCCTCTACTATGGCAGTAACAGAAAATCATGCATTGTACTATTTTACAATAAACTTAAAAACATAATTCTCATTATTTTGACAATGGCTGTTGCATTAAGATGTAGTATATATTGACTGCTATTGTAAGTTAAGCATGTTTCTTCAGCTACTATTTAACCCCTTAGATACATCCTTAATAGTCATAATGAATCTGTAATCTATGAATTATATTTTATAATTTTTTTATAGTCTGATAATTTCAGAGAGGAGGAAATTATAATTTATACAAGTATTTTCTATTAATATGCATAAAGCCAATCATGAATATGTATGTGTGTAATTTCTTTCGTAAATATGTTAATTATTTTAAGCCTAACGTGCTGGATAAAACAGTGGTATCGCCCAAAACTGTTAATGCTGCACTGCTATTCATAGGTATAATACAGCATATTAATAAACTCGACACTTATTCTTTATTTGAATGCAAAATATCATTTATTTTTATTTGAGACACATTATTTGAGGCACATTATTATCAGTTTCCATGAATAACAATAAAAATAAATAAATAAGGAAGAGGATAAATGGTGCACCTATAATTATACCTAAATATTGTTTTTTTTGTTTTTGTTTCTGACTCTTTCTCTAGTTAGGGTAACCATGACGTCACTGTTATAGCTGTGGATCATTTTAGTTAGTGACCTCAATGAGTTTAGGTGACAAAGTTGCTTTTTTGACAACATTAAAAGTAGATGACATCTTTTATTTTCAATATAACTTATAAATTAGTAGTTAATCTAAAACTTAAAGTCTTATATTTTCAGGACAAGTAGTTTCATTTGAATGTTTTGTTAAAGGAAAAATAGGATATAGTTTTAAATGTTGAAAAAAACCATAATTTAGTCTGAAATTATTGTGATAAATACTCTAAACTACTTTAGTCTAAGCTATTGTGATAAATAGTGTGTGATATTGTGATAATAGATCTTAATCCAGTATTTATAAAAAAAAAACTGTGCCAATATACCACTTCTTTATGCGCATACTTTTCAAGGAAAGGTATAAACTTAATATTATAGCTTGTATCATTAAATATTTCGTAAAAATATATAATGATACAAGTTCTGAAGTGTAATGTATTAAAACCAGTTGCAGAAATTAAAATAACCACGTCTATTTTTTTTCATTGAAACATACTCCTCACTGTAAAAAACAAAAATATATTAGAAATGCTATTTTTGTATGGAAAATGAGAGTGCTTGGCAGAGATAAAAAGATATGTATTTTATTAATTTTTGACTTGTTAGTAATTTACCTCCTGACATGCTGTGGCTATTCTCTACAATCTGGCATTTTTGATCTCTTCATCTCTGTCTAACATTGTCACTATTTTTGCTAAAAATATCATTCTAACTCCATTTTAAGTTTCTTCTCAAAAAGTTCTCTTTATATTAAGTATGCTAAAAGGTTTTGAAGTATCCTGACTTATTTTTGTAAAAAAATTTACCATTCCTCTTTATGTCAATTGATGCATAGATTTTAAATTTTTGATTCTTTTCATTGTCTTTTTGAAAAACTTATAAAAACATGTTAATGAAATGTTTTGAATAAATAGTTTGATAGTGCAGAGCCTGAGAAAGTATTATTAGAAGTGGAAAAATGGCGTCAGTCTGTCATTCCTCGATATCCTGATCGTTTAATAAAGCTTATGTCTGTTGATCTCAGTGGAAAATGGATGTTTGTAACCAGATTCTTGAGATCGATCGCTCCTCCTGAAGAACTTTTAGGATATAATAAAGAGTCAATGGAAGCAATGGTAATGTTGAAGCACAGCTATTATTCATTTTCATGATTAGTTCTTTAGAAAGATTTTAAAAAATATACTCCCTATAAAAAATTTATTATTTGATTAGATAGGTTTCATGATCAAGAGAAAGATACATAATTACTATATAAATTTTAAGGGTTTATTATTCTTTTTCAGAATTTACAGCTCAACAAAACTTTTAATTTAGAAGGCTTAATGATGCATGCAGTTGTATTAGAATTGACGCCTAACAATGCTTAGGCATTGTTAAGAGTATACAATATATAACTAATATTATTTTAACTAGTTTCAGTCGATACATGTTTTAAAAACTAATATTGCTTCTGAAAAATATTCTTGTTTGAATTTTTAAACTAAAATTTCTGATTAACTGTTACAAAAGTAGCGTTATGGAAACCACTATTTTTTTTATTATATTATATCATGAACATATTATTGTATTTGATACAATTTGCAGTCCAAATTTCGTTAAAGAAATTAAAATTTAAAAACTATTGACTTTTATTGCAAATTATTTGTTTTCAAAAAATTGTTTTTAAAGAATTTTTTTCTGCTGTATTTAGGAAATGTTGGCTCGTTTTGTATCTTTAATTCCAACTGTTTCTGATAGTGTGACATTTCCTGGATTATGTGACATTTGGAGCACTTCTGAGGTAATTTCATTTAAATTTATTGTATGTATTTAGAAATGGATGTATAATAATTTATTTTAAAATAATTATATCATTCACGACACTAATGATGATTTATGCCACAATAACCATACATAAAATGTTGTATTTTTTGTATTTCAATCAAGCGAATAAATTTTTTTTCTTCTGAAAGACTAAAAATGCAATTTCTGTGTTTATATTAAATTCATCATTATAACATTCATGATGGATTGGTTTGGTGAGTGTTTTGAATTAGAATAAATACAGTGAATATTATAAATACAAATAAGAGAATTATTGTGCATCAGTTTTCTATTGTACCATAATATTTTCTATGTATATGCAATGTTCATCATAGCATTGTTTAATTATTTATTTTCTAATTTTTATCATTGTATCTACTACAATTTTTACTCCATTTGCCACATATGCCTATTATGGTTTTAGTGACTGGTTAAGATTAAAATTTATGAGAGTTTATATGATTTCGTTTTAATAGTGTAATTTCAAAGCATCTTTCGGTAGCATACAGCAGAATTTAATCTATTTTTAACTTTTGTTATACAGAAGGATATATATATATAGTTGTAGTGCTATATATATAACATCAGATTTATTAAAAGGGATGTATGTGATGAGTATGTCCCCTTTAACAATTAGAAATCTCTAAAATCCTCCTCTATGTTTATGGTTAAATTAAGAAAATGTTCATCTAAGTTAAAAAACAAAGTAATAATTGTGCAGACATTTAGTAGACAGAAGAAATTTCTATTAGAACTCTAAAGAATTACTGTAACTTCCAAAATGAAATGACTGTAATACGCATAGGTTTCTTATTTCTTCCACATTTTACTCTACCCATGGTTTTATAAAAACTTGTGCTTTGCATTATTTGAAACGTACGAAAAAACTATTCCGGAAATATTTCAAAAAAATATTTCATTGATTTAAAAAATAAGTGATGTATTTTTCTTTGCAGCAATTTTTGCAAATGATGACTGGCGATGAGGAAGAACATGCCATCTTATTGTGTAACTATTTTCTTCACCTTGGAAAGAAGGCCATGCTTCTTCTGGGCTCTGGTATACCTGAAGGGCCGACAGCATATGTTGTAATGTGGGAATCATCTGTTAATATCTTAGTGTGGAATGCTACTACCGGAGATTATTTCAACATTCGTGACAACCACAGCCCTCTACAGAGTGTTGGATGCTTAATCAGTACTGATAACGTAAAATCATCTTTAAATCATTTCAAAACATTTTAAACTAATGATTGAAGAGTTCAGTAGATGAAGGTTCCAAATAACATTTTTGAAAAAATTGAGATTCTTCTGGGAACGATCTTATTTTAGATTTATTTAATTATACAAAAATAATTTATTTTGCCAAGTCTTAAAATTTTGTATCATTTTTAATCTCAGAGGGTAATGTACTGAGTGGAAATATTTGAATGTTTTTAGTTAAAGTGGAAGATGGTTTCAAAAGCATTATTCAACAAATAACTTATTTTTTGGCTTAAAGTGCTAGCAGTTTAAATAAGTGTTAAGAATACATAGAATTTGTCAGATTAAAGTTTGCAAATAGGAAATAGAGGCAGGATATAATCTTTATTTCTTACTGTCAACACATGAACTTAGAACCTTCATCAAATGAACTCTTCAATCAATCTTTTAATGTCTAAAAAGCACTGGAAGGCTAATTGTTAATTTATTTAATGTCTCAAGGTAAATTTATTTATTTAATGTCTTAAAGAAAATCAATTAAAATTTTTTTGAGTTAAGTTTTATGCAAAATTTAAACATATACTAACCTTGAGACAACTATAGCCACTTCAAGGAACATTTTCGTAAAATGAACAATTAGTTCAATGCTAGTGTAAATAAAGCCACATAAACCATTAGTAATTTTTATTTTAAAAAATTTTTTTTTATTAAAAAATTATTAAGTTAATCAAAAAATAACCCTTAAAAATATCAAATAGATTTTCTATTTTGTAATGAAAAGGAGAAAGTTAAATCTGTTTTATAAACATTCTATAAAAAATAATTTTTTAATAGTAATCGATTTTAATAAACATTAAACCAACTAATTGAGTTAACCCATGGTTCGTTGGCACTACAAAAAAATCAGGAATCTGCGAATTCTTACATATTCTCATATATATCTCTTTTTGGATTCATATCTTGATCAACACTCTTGATCTAAGACAAAGACACGAAAGTGAATGTCACACTTAAAAGTAGTTTGAAATAGTATATGCTTTTATTTGAGATGTAGGTTAGTATACATTTGAATGCATTTAGGTTTGTTTTGTTCAAAAGTAACTTTTGGCACATTCTTGATTTTGGCATAATGCAGATGCATATTGTTGTCAATTCAATAGTATTTAAGTACTATAAATAAATTATTAAATAACTAATAATCACTAAAATGCACATCATTTATTATAAAATGAAAATGATCTGAGAAAAAGAGTGTTGTGAAATTTTTTAAATCTGTGTGTTTGGCATGAGGATAACTTTTAAAATAGTTACTGGGATATTAATAATTCCACTGATAGATTAATTTTTTTCGTATTTAGCTGAGTTGAGTACATATATAATGTTTCAAACTGCCTTTCTGATATGAAAAAGTTGATTACAATTAATTTATTCAATCATTTCAAATAACTTTGCCCAATTTTAAACTACTTGGACGCTCGAGGCTAGACAAGTGTTTTTAAGGGTTATGGAGATAAAACAGGCTCAGCATTTTAGAGAATTCATTGGACTCAGGCTTAAGATAAACTTTTCTCATACTTTCAAGCTGAACAATTATGCATAAATTCGTTTGTTCAGTTATAACACTTTAAGAAAAATTATTAACCCTTTGACACCGATGTCCTTGTTACATATAAATTTTTATGGTGCTCTAATTACAAGTGGAAATATATTTTGCTATTTTTTAATCATTAAAAACAGTCCAATAGTTACTTTAAAATAAATCTGGAATTGTATTACATTTGTACTAAAGTATAGAATCCAAGAAAGTAGTTCGAAATCCCCCCCCTTCAAATTGAAAAAGATATCAATAACTGATTTTGTTAATTAAAGAAATTTCAATGATGAATAACTGTTTCTCATGTATCTAAATAGTTGCACATTTGAAAAATTATTGTTTGGAAAATTTTACTTTTGATACAGAAAAAGACACCAGCATTTAATGCTGTATTTCATAACTATTAATTATTAAAATGCTAAATATTATATTTTTTACTTATTTTGACCTAAATTAATGCAAAATAATGAAAAAAATATGAAAAATACGTTCAATAAAAATTCGGAAAGGAGTTAAAGGAATTTTTTTTTTAATCTGTAAATAAGTAACCTCCATGATGTTATATGTATATTTGGTTTTTTCTTCAAGTTTTTGGTTTTTAATCTTCGTGAATTTAGGTCTTAATCACTCATATCAAAGCTCGAATTTGAGCAAAAAAATAATTTTTTTTTAATCTCAGGATTGGATGGGCTTTGATTTAAAGTCTTTGGTTTTGAACGTCAAAATGTGAGCCTGGACACATCTCTTACAGTTAAAAAAATGACTTTGACGCTACCATATTTTAAATTCAGTAATTAGAAGAGGAACATGTTTCCTTTTGAAATGTAGTTAATCTTTACATAAGGCATGAAGGCAATTTTGCGCAGTTATTTCTAGCATAAATCATTAATATGTTATAATTAAGTTTAGAATTTTATTATGTAATGTTACTTTTTCAAATATGCTTAAAAAGGTTGCTTTTCATGTTTAAATAGGTATGGGCCAATATTCAGAAAAACAACCATCCTTCTAGAATAAATTTTGATGTAAATAAGACAAGCGACTGGAAGCCATTTTTCAGCAGGAGTTTTCCCAACCCTGGGTTAAGAAGCATACAGGTAAAAATTAATGTATTTTACAAGTTTATTATTGTTAATGTGTATGTAACAAAAGATCAATAATTGCTATTTATAAAAATATAGCGAATGTATCTTTAGGCCTACATTTTTTTCTTGTTTTTCCCCCCGCCGAATGAATTATCAGATTATTATTAAGAACGCATAATTAGTTAACAGGGAAAACATTTTTATTTCTAGTAATTGCTAAGTACTCAGATTAAAAATGGGCAAATCAGCTTGTGGCAGAAGCAGCTAATATGTAGGATAGCCCAGAAATATTGTGTTGTGAAATAACTTTTAAATAGATTATAGAATATAGGGTTCTAATTTATGAAAATGATTTATGAATTTATGAAATTTTTCAAAATTTTTTTTCTCTTGAAAGATTGCAGAATTTAAATTTCAATGTGATTTCCAAAAAAAAAAAAAGAGAAAGAAAAAGAATAAATGCCACTGTGAAAAATATTCATTATAAATCAATAAAAATGATAAAAACCATGATTTTCAAATAAAAATCTGAGATATAGATTTATAAAGTTAATAAAAAGTTATATAAAGTTTTTTTATATCTAATATTAAGGTGTCATATTTTAGCACACTGAAAAGCATGTTTTTTGCAACAAGTACATTATAGAAACGATACATCTTTATTCTATGTTGGCTTTCTTCAGAAATGTAACAAAATTGTGTTTGTTCCATGATTCTGAAAAGATTAAGAACCACTGACTTAAAGTTATAGATTAAAATTTTAAAAACGCATGTATAAAAGATTACGTTTGTCAACAAGTAAAAAGATATGTTTAAAACTTTCTCTGTAAGATTATTTTGCAGTCTTTATTAATCACACAATTCAGTGTTCCGTCATGATAAATTTTTCAAGAACTTAAGTTGAACTATAGGTAGATATTTTTAAATGCGTGCAACATGTTTTCATTAGAATTTAAAATATTTAATTTTTTATACTCTAGCCAACAGCCTTAGCTTACACACCTGCAGATATTGAAGCATCCCAGATTCTTCAAGATTCTTTACAAAATATCTTAAAAGAGAGTATTGAAAAATGGAGACAGAAAAGTACAACTGTAATATGGAATAGTAACTGCAACAAAATTTTGTATAAAATTCTAACAAGGTAAGAGCTAATTATGAATTAAAACATTTTTATTATTGATAGAATGCTAATAAGTAGTAAATCATTTATGTATAGTGCACATAATAATAATAATAAAAAAACAAATCCGGAATAACTTTTGATTTGTTGATTAGATTTTCCTGTGCTCTAAATCTCTCTTCATGATTTAAGACACCCCTTTAAAATATGCTATTTGTTTTAACCTTGAATAAAGTTACAAAATCGAATAAAAAGGTGTCTCAAACATGTAGCAACAAATATTTAGGAGAGGCAGGGCAGATGATAAGGATTGACAATTGTGTAACAACCCAAAAACTGGAAAAAGATTTTTGCAGCATTAGAAAATCTTAAGGGACACAAGGGAATGATTAATTAAAAACTTTATTAAACATTCTGAATATTAATGAAGAGATTATTAGTTTCTTATGTTACGATAAGTGCCAGATGCCAGTTGAGTACTGATTACCTGACACTTCTTTGATTACAACAGCATAGATGATTCTTGACACAAGATTTATTGCTTATCATACGCCACAGAAACATTAAAAGGTTCAATGAACTGGATAAGTGTACAGAGCACCTAGAAGCACTGAGGTGCAATAGTATTTAAGAAGCGAGATGCAAATCAACAGTGAATTACATTTCTAGTCAACCCTACCTTCCCTAAATGCTTGTTGCAACTTTTTTGTGACCAGGCTAAAAAATATTATTTCACTAGTTTAGCAAGATGCGTTTAGGGGAATATCTTAGATGCAAAAAGATTTTAGAATAAATAATTATAAAAATTTATTTGTCCTGAAAACAATTCATACAAAAAAAGTTTATTTGCTTAAATAATAAATTTAGTACATAAACTTGCATTATTGCTTAATAGTTGAAAGTTGATATAAATTTTTTAAAAAATTGGAATTTAAAGACATATTATTATTAATAAAAATATGTGTTTTTAAATTCTTTCTTATGAATCATGCAATCTATTTAGATTATGGCGAGTAAAATATTTATGAATGTCTATAAATAAACAAAAAATAAGTATGCTTTGGATAATTATTTTGAATGAATAATTGGGCACGCAATATTATATGCTAAATTACAAAGTTGTTTAATAGCTGAAATTTTAAATAAATTGTTTGAATAATTCAAATTTAGAAAAAGCTTTATATTATGTATTAATAAAAATTTTATTTTAAAATAATTTGATTAGAACTATTAAATCAATTTTAGATTTTAGCATGTTAAATTATGCAGTTAAATATGATGTAAAAGTTAACAAAATTATATTCTAAAAATTAAACATTAAAAATTAACCAAGTATATAATTCTAAATTTGTGTGCAAGAATACTTGATTCCTGTTACGTCAGAACTGTAAAGAAAGCAAAAACTAATAATATATAATTTCTTTTCAATATATTTGTTTTAGTGTTATGTCTAGCTTTGCATTAATTTCATATTAGTTTATAAAATAAAATAAATTTTTTTAAAAATGTGCAAATTGGTCGTATTTGCTTATTTCTCTCTCATTTGAATAGAAAACAAAAATGAAAACATACAAAAAAATTCTTAATGAAAAAATACATATATAATTTAGAATCTGTTTTGTAGTTACTACTTTTTGCAAACTAAAAAAAAAATCAAATTTAAACGAAGAATTTTTTTTTTAAATATTACAATTTAGTTTTAAACATACATTTAAATTATTAATAATTTAAATTTATTGTTAAATTTTTTATTTTCTTTATAGGCTTGAAAGAAACTTCGGAAGAACTGCCAGTGATGACTCTTTACAAGAATTGGAACAGCTTTTAAAAATGTATAAGGTAATTATAAATCTAAGTTAACTTATTGAGATCTTTGCACTTAAAGTGAATTACTCATACCTAATAGTCGTTTTGTTGGTCTTTTAGATTGATGGTTTTCCTCTGTCAATGCCTTACACAGATTTGGATGATGTTGTGGAAACTGTTTTTGCAACAGGTGTTCATCTCAATGAGGACCAAAGAGCAGAATTTTCAGTCGCTGTTTATATTCATGCATATCCTAGTTCTGTATTGGCTGTGTGGGTCTATGTTGCTGTATTAGTTCCACATAAAACTCTACATGAAGAATCAGTGACATCTGATTAAAATTTGTAAGCAGTACTATTAGTTGTAACATCAACGATATATACTGGAAGAGTGAAATATTATTTTTAGAGATTATTTATTTTCAGATCCTACACTAGCGGCTGCTTACAGCGGAAGAAATATGCACAGTGCGCCAAAAAAAAAAAGAACCATCCCGAATAACTTTTGATTTAATGATCAGATCATATTCTGGGACTCAATATTAATGGTTCGAGGGGGTGACCTCAAATATGCTAATTAATAAGTGCAAACGATATATTTAGTTATGAAATCAGATACAAAAACGTACTTTCTCAGAATAAACATACCTCTTTTTTTTTTATGGATTCTGATTTTTGACCCCCCAAAATATAGGGGATTGCCACAATCTTTGAAATATGGTCCTGATGGTTTGGATTCCATAATGTTATTTTTACTTTTTGTGCCATATTCCCAGAACTTTTTCAGCGAATTGAAAAATTTTTGCACACAGTTATATAATTCACTTATCCAAAAATAATTCTGTACAGAAAATAAACTTTAGTAAATATTTATTATTTTACTTAATAATAGTCAAAAAAATTTTGGATTGTAAGGTATGCAATTTTTTACATCATTAAAGTATGTAAATTTACATGGCAAAATTTGAGTGAAATCGGTCGAATAGTTCCTGAGAAATCAAATTTTAAAGAAGTAATTTATTTAAAATTCAATTTACTCAAATTTTGTATTTTGCCATGTAAAATTGCACACTTAAAATTATGTAAAAATTTGTTCACCTTACAATTTAAAATTTTTTCGACTATCATAAAAGATAATAATAAATATTTACAAATTTTTTGTTGTTGTATGGAATTATCTTTGGATAACCCAGAATTGGTCTTATAGTTTTGCTAGTCATGTAAAAGTTTAATTAATGCTGTGAGAATACAGAAAAGAAATATTTATGTGTTTTACTTAGGAAAGTGTATTTCCTAATTAATACACATATAAAATAAACCGATCCGAGTCCTACCGATCCTCTTCGTGCCTCATAAGGCCACAAGTGCCTCTTATGCATTAAGTTTTGCTTTGCACAGATCTTAGGGCATGTGCCTTTGCCAAGTAAGTCTTGGCCGTCCTCTTTTTATTTTCTACAGTGAGTTTTTAATAAGGTGATAATTAAAAAAATTTATTGATAAAGTACTCCAGATTCAAAATGTATAAATACTTTTTGTTTTTAGGCACTAACAAATATCGTTAGGAATTGTGGAACTCATATATTTGTTATTCAGTTCCATGTTCTGTAATGATATTTAGCCTTTTGTTTGTTTAATATAATGCTGCTTGATTTTCATTTGTTTGGGTGCATAATATTGATTACTTTAGCATCGTACAGGTGCCTTCAGCTCTCTTGCTGTTAAAATCAACACTCATTCTAACATATGGATTAAAACAGGTGTCTCCAAATTATGGTATGCCTACATCCCCAATCTGCCCATGAAGCAGGCTTGACATGCAAGGTATCTGACTTGCTCGAGTTAATTTTTATTCAGTTCTAAAATTTACAACATGTGTTAATCTACTAACACAATAATTAGTCAAAAGAAAACTGATGAGTATAATGAAACTGAAAATTTTAACAGTAATTATGATTAGGGATATAACGAATATTTGGCCCTTTTGCGGAATAATTCAGCTGACCAAATATTTTTGGCAAAATATTCCGCTAAGTATTTTTTGGAAAAGTGTTTTTCGACTAAGTTCTTTTTTGGGGAGGAATTTAAATAAATTTAATCAAGAATGATCTAAAATCATGTATTTTTTGTTCGTACACATATTTAAGTTCTAAAACTTGTTTATTTCTGTTCTGAAAGACAAATGGAAAAGCGAAACTTGAAACTAGATTACTTTATACTGAACCATAAGTTTCGTACTGCTGATTTTTTAAAATTACAATCAGGCAAGTCTATTTCCTACTTTTTTCAACGCTTTCGTTTCCTTTTCAAGAATTATTATTATTATTTTTTTGTTTGTTGCGTCTCAAAATTTAAAGTTTCATTTCAGAACTAAGAATAATTTATTTTGTGTTTCTCTTTTTTTATTAACTTTTCTTTTCATCAGCGTTTTTATTATAACAGCATTTTTTAAAGAACATTTCTAATGAACGTTCATCTTTTATGGTCACTTTTTTCTAAAAATACGGCAATGTGAAAAATCTAAATTAACATTTTAATTTTTGTTTGAAAAGTAAGAAAATTTTATATTTTGGCTTCTATCTAGCTTTTTCTTTTTTTAAACTTTTTATTATGACGTGGTAATTAAGGTTAGACTTTATCTTCATTTTTTCTTGAAAATACACAAGCTTATTGGAAAACTGAGATGTTTAGCTTCAAAAATTAGGATAGATTTTTATTTTCCCCCGATTTGCTTTTGTGTATAATCTTTTTTTTATGGATGTTTTTATGATAGCACTGCATTTTTAAAAGCGTTTTTGATAGACTATAATTTTTTATGGAAAATATTATTAGCATTAAAGTTTTGTTTTAATAATTAAGAGGGCATTTTTTTAAAGTTCCCTTCTTTTTTCAACTCTATAACTCATCTTTTACTAGGGGTTATTCAATTTCTTTTTCCTTTACCTTATACTAATAATGTACTGAAGTTTTGATTATTTTTCAATAATGACTTATTTATATATGTAACTATTTATACTTATTTATATATCTATAAATAATCATTAATAATATTCATTAATGATTTTTTTAAAAATGTTGCTATTTGGCCGCTGAATATTTGGTATTCGGCCAAATCACTATTGCTATTCGTTACATCCCTAATTGGGATATTTATCTTAAACTTACAATAACTGTCATAATCTTGTATCCCATACCATTGATATCGAAATCATACAATTACATTTTAAAACTACATTATGTTGGTAAGATGAGTTAACTTGTGGGAAAATATTATACCCGGAAAGAGGCTGGAGAATCCCCCCCCCAATTTAATAGTCTCAAAACCATGAAAATTGGGTTATTCTTAATCTCCCAAAGATAATGCTTTTGCTAGGTCTTGTTTAAGTATTTAATGCCACTCTTAGACTAAAAAATTTGGAGTCCCCAGTTTCAATAGGTCAGCTTTGTAATGAATTTTTTGAAGCTTAACATGAACTCTGCCTTTTTTTGGCCTGTGACACCTTATTGTACTTCAATGCATTAGTGAAATATTCACCTAAAACACACCAATTCATCTGTAATTTGAAGAGGTCATTTGCTTCTATCTGTGATTGAAATTGTAATTCAAATCTTCTCCATAAAAGTGACTCAAAAAAAAAAGTAAAATTTTATAAGCATGTAGAGGAATTTCTAACTAATTAAATATAAAAGGCAACATTCATATTAAACAAAGTTCAACTTCTTGTACTTTGAGATCAGTATTTGGTCTATAAGTAATTCAATTCACTTATTTCACTTCACTTATTTTCATCACTCAATTTCACTTATTTTCATGACAATTTGATAGTAACTAATAGAAATAAGCTTATTTTTAATTCTGTCACTTTTTTAGAGGAGATATATGTTTCTTTTAATGCCAATTGCTGCAATATATTTTTGACAATTCTTTTAGATTAAAGAAATTATTTCATTGCATAATAGTATAATTTCATACTACAATAGTTGATTTATTATGAAATACTTTTAAAAAGTGACATATTGTGAGTGTACATGAGTTCATATTGTAAAATATTTTTGTAAATAAAATAATTTAAAGATATTTTTGTTTGAAAAGATTTAAAAGAAAAAAGACATTTTCTTTATTTTGGAAAATAATGAACTATTTAAGAAAAAGTTTTATGGCAGAAGAGACAGCCAGGATCAATTATTGTACTTGTTTTTGGATTTTACATGATGAATTGAAGTATTGATATTTGCAAATAATGTTTTTTCTTTTTAAAGAAAGACAGACATCGTATTGCTCAATTTTAATATAAAATTTAAAACTCAGCAACAATAACAATTCTATTTGAAGTGAAAGAGCAAAAAGTAAATACTGAAAACTACTGAAATATTTAATTAAACATAAAATTTTATTGCATTTTTATAATTATCTTTCGACACCCTGTAACTTGAAAAATTAATTTCTTGATACATAATAAAATATGTAGAAAAATTAAAAAAAAAAAAAAAACAATTTTAAAGGAATTTCTTACATTTTCCAATGAAAAATAACATAAAATAATTTAATACAGATTTGGATTGGCTATAATAAATTAAATGTTCATCAATACATTTTGAAACTTAAGACTAAGTAGAAAAAAAAGTATACATACATATAATTGTTCCCTATAATATCTGTAAAGATGTCTAATAATTTTTTTTTTTGTAAAACAATCTAAATGATTAAAATCAGATAACTACTTATTTCTTGTTAATTGATTTCCTATAAAACAAGTTTAATACAAAAAGTTACAATTTTACAAAAAATTAAAATCCTACAAAATATTCTTTCGAAATTTTTTTTTTTAATTTCACTGGTTAAAACTTTAAGAATTTGAAATTCAATTATTAATTTCAAGAGATTAGAAAAGTGTAAAAGGTCATCAATTTAACTTTATATTAAATTTACCTCATAAATCAATCTTCAATCAGCGAATGATGAATATTTTTTAAGTATACTTTGATTATCCTTATAAAATAGCCAGTATTTAAAATATTCAAATTTGGCAAACGCATCAGCATTGCACATTTAACTTTTTGTTAATTTATTTATACTGTTTTTTTTTAACGTTTATTTTTAGAAGAGTTAGATGCAAATATTTTTTTTTTTTTCAAATCATAAACTCTAAAATGCAGTATTAGAACTGAAGAAAACTTATTTTATAAGTTACAATAAGCTCAATATTAAATAAATAAGCTACAAATTACTGTGTAATCAATACCATATTTTCTTTACAATTGGAAGCTAATTTTTTAATTTCTTCAGTATACAACTAGTCAAAATGTGATAATTTATATGTTTAAATTAACTACTATATAAATATATAGGCTAAAACGAAATTTGCACACACACAGCAAATTTAAGTAAAGTTGTTTTTAAAGAGTCATAAATAATATAAGTAGAGAAAGGCATTATTGTATCTGTTGAAAGCCAAAACCAATAAGATAAATAGTTTAACACAGAAACATATGAACAACATTCATAGGACAGACATTTACGAATAATTAAAATTTATACACATTATAAATAACACATACAGAATATAAATAATACAATAAATATATAAAGCTAGATGGTAAAGCTTTTGCAATGGGTGAATAGAACTGTTTCCAACAGTGGAAAAAGTAATATGGAACTATACACAGTATTAATACATAGTATTTTGCTTGCAATGCATAGCTTTCCCCTATCGGGAAAGTTAAAATTTATACATATATTGCTCAAACACAGGTTGAATATCTAATAATTTTCAAAATCAAAACCAAGAAGAAATATAACCAAACATTTCATCACTCATAACTATATATATCACATTCCAATAAAACGCTAAATGCTTTATCTGAAAATTAAATTTTTGTAGGTCTAAAATAATTTTAATAGGCTCTAAAACTAATTTAGGCAAGAATATATATTCAGTATTGGAAAAATAATTTTTAAGCTAAGTTAATTTCTTTATCCCAAAAGATTAAAATAATACATATCACATATACATGAAAACAAATACATAAAAAATATAGCGTGTTCTCACTGCATTAACATACATCAATTGGTGGGCCATGTTAAACTATCAAAATTGTCAGATTCCTAAGAAAAAGCATACATGGGATAAACTGTGGAGTACAAAATAGACCAGGAAGCAAACAAACAAGAATTTTAAACCACTGACTGTTTTGCATGCAAAAAGTTCTATTTTAACTCGCAGTTTTCTCCGCATAGCAAAACCGGTTTCTCCATGTTATTAGATAGGGAAGTAGTGTATTGTGGAGAAACATTCTCCCAATTTCGTCCATTTACTAAACCGCCAGTGGGTTAATAAACTATAGTTTGTAAATCATTATATTTATTAAGAAGTGATTATTTGTAAAACATTACATTTACTAAAGTAAGATTGAATAATGCATTCAACAATTATAGCCTAATACTAAAAGTTGACTTAAAATTGGAGATTATTACAGATGCTGGATTGGCATAACGCTAAATTATATAATCCCAAAGTAAAGGATTCAAAAACAAATTAGAATAAATTCAGTTCTTTAAACTGCCCATCATTGTAAAAAGCAAATAAAGTTTTAGACATATTAGTCATTACAAAAAAGTTTAATGCAAAAAAGAGCTAATAACAGTAAAAAAGGAAAAAAAAAGAAAAAAAAGAAGAGAAAACCAATTTATAAATCATTTAAATATACCATCTTATGAACATTAAGGGCATATTAATGAAATAGTAAAAGAACAAATAACAAAAGTATATAGATATATTTTTGCAATAAATTAAAACACTGGGAAAGTAAGTAAAAAGATCACAGAAATCACCAAAAATATAAAATAATCTTTTACAGATTTCTATCCATAAAGTGGTATATAATGTAATAATATATACAAAATAAAAAAAAATAAAGTTTTTACCACCGAGAAATAAAAAGTGCAAACTATCACTTGCAATTAATTATTATTAACATACAAACATAAGGAGCATTCAAAATATAATGAGCCAATATTCAGCATTAGACACCATGTATGACACAATACTAACAAAGTGACAGCTTTCATTATGATGCTAACCAATCATCATTTAAAAATTAATAAAAAAGGAGTATCTGTATTAAATGGCTACATAAAAAACTAAACAGTGTAATTCAAGCTTAACTGTTAAGCTATAAACTAAGTAATTATTATGCTTCTAGAGATTGATTGGTAGTACCAAGGCAATGAAAGGTGTGTCCAATGTATGTGTATAACAAATTACAAATAAAACATGTAGTGGCAAGTGTGACGTATGGCAGTGAAAGTCATTGTGAGCAATAAGGGGTAAGATTGTTTCAACATTAATTTATTTTGTTAAGTCTTTAAATTTTGCAGATTTCAATTAATGTAGGTATTAAATAATAGTCTTTGAAGTGGAAAAAGGGTTCAAGTGCTTTTAGCAACAAACAGTTAATGAGCAAACATTAGAAAACAGTCAGTTGGCAGCAAATTATGACGTCAAGATTGCAAATACTATGGTGAAAGAAGTTTAAATGAGGGTAAGAAAGCTTGTAGGCAAGAAATAAAGGAGAGTTATAATTTTTTTTTAATTTCGTATAGTAATTTTTAAATCTAATTTACTAAAATATAACTTTAAACCTTCACTCCTTTAGCTCTTCAATTGAGATCATTTTCTTCCAGCATTAATAGATGTTTAAATTTTTTTGGACAGTTGGCTTGTTATTTGCTGAAAGCCCCTTATGATTTTTATGAACTGTTAAACAAAACAAATATGTAAAAAATAATAATTCACATTTAAGCAATTTCAAATAAAAATGTACAGCCATGGCCAGTTTTAAAATTATGTCTAAAAATTGAATTCTAAAAACTGATATTGATTTATCATAAAAATGTTTAAGCACATATTAAAAAGATATATTTGTCAGAAGTACATCATAAACAACCATGATTACAACAACAAAAGTAGTTTAAAATTATGATTTGAAATTTAACAAGAATCTCCATTAAAATTTTAAACTAATTAGGAAATAACAAATAAAGAAAAAAATTAATAAAATGTAGATACAATTAAAGACACAAAATAGATCACAAAGCAAACAAACTAGTTGAATCCATAATTAAGTCAATTTTGTTTTTTTGTAAATCACTATATTTACTAAGAAGTAATTATTTGAAGGACATTATTTAGAGAAAATTGTTAGCACAACTAAACAATTAAAAACATATTTGTGGTTGAATTCTTAGCAATGTAATTTTCTGCTTGTATACATACTATAAAATAAATGCAAAGAAAAACAAAAATCATGGATGCTCAACCATTTTTATACCTAATTTAAAACTCTTAAGTCATTTGCAAATTTTTTAATCCAAAATAATTCACACAAATATTTGATTTAACATTATTATTAATCTATAAACAATATAGTTTAATGATAAGTAATATAATAATAATGACACTCATGTGAAACTTACGCGAGTTAAATTATAAAAGATTAAATAGATCATAATATTCATGGGAAAAATAATATACTTTGAACTTAAATAAACCTATGAGCACATGAAAGTGCCACTGTTTCCCAGATGAGAAATTCTGCCATGTTGCAATAAACTAAAAGGTAAAATGATTGAATTTTTTTCAAAGCTTCATTCTAAGCAATAAATATATATTTATGTCTTGAAATATTATCTTTTTTACTCAGCTAACAAAAACTAAAAAAAAAAAAAAATGAATGCCTCCATAAAATAATACTGCTTACCATATACATATTATATACACACCAAGACAATGCTCAGAAGAAAAGAAATGCATTATTTGATCTTTGAATCAGGAAGATAACGCATGGCACTTATGTATTTTTGTGCAACGACCACTTCAAACTGGAAAGAAATTTCTAATCTGACAAGTTTATAAAAGTTCTCTATAACTTGCAAACAATGGATTTTTTAAAATTTTATTTCAGTGTTAAATAGTAACAGTTTATATTTGTACTTGCTTCAATGAAAAGTGTGCATTTCTTTATTTCAAAGTAGAAAACGGCAAATGACCAGTAAAAGATATACTACTAATGTAAACTGGTATTGCTAAGTTTAGAAAAAATAGATTAGCTTCAAAAATACATAAGTACCAAGCAGTAAGAAATACTTAACTATTTTTCACTTTGTTGTATAATTTCCAGATGGGCTATGAGGTTTTTAAGTCCAAATAAATAACCCTCATCAGGTCCATCATGCTTGAAAGGACAATTAGGCATCTGGTTGTGGGTAGCATGAGCAAAATCGATCATACAAAGGTCTACAAGTGGGACATGGTCACTAAATTTACTTCTGCATTGGGGGACATGATTTCTGTATATAATATCACTAGGGACTGAGCATTTATCACAACTTTTTGACTGTGAATCTAGTAATTTTTTATTTTTTTCAATATTGCCATTGTCAGTAAGTTTTAATCCAGAACTTGCTTCACAATCTGTATTGTTTTCATTTCCGACACAACACTGTTCACTTCCATTATAAATTATGAGTAGAGAGCTTGTGAAAAAACGGAATGTATTTAAATTTTGAACTGTAGAGTACAGTTTATGTAACTTTTCAAGTAGTGCTGTAATGATGTTGTATCGTAACTTAGTGCCATCATGCAAAAATTTGTAGAGAGTTTTATGAAAACCATCCACATTTAATCTGTGCCCATAATACTTGTTATGACAAATATAATGTTTGGATTCTCGGTGATAGACCTGAAAAAATAAAAGTTTAAATTTCAGTATAAAGTATTGTGATGCAAATATAATAATCTCTTGTTAATGCAATTCCATTTAAATCATATCTCTCGTTATTAAAAAAAATTTATAATTTTAACTATATCCAATAGTAACTTATGTTAATGCTGCTCAATGCACATATAATTACATAATAATTTTAGTAATTTTTTTATTTTATATTTTGGTACATATCCTTAGATATTGCAGCAAAATTTTTTTTAATTATTATTATGACTTCAACGATTTCAACAATGAACTTCATTAAAAAGTTTTCATTCAGGAGGCTTGAAATGGTGAATATCTTCAAAACTATAGAAATTTATGATTTAAAGACAAAGAGAATCAGCTTCATTAAAGAATTACAGCCACCTCTAGTCAAGAATATAGGTAATAATTAACAGATAAAATGGAGAATACTAGTTTTATATGCATTGAACATTGTTTTGTTAATTTTATAATTATAATCTAAAACAGTTTATTTTATGATTGTTTTCTTTTTCAAAAAAATGGCCAAAATAGTTTATTTTTTACGTAAAGGATTTTTGTGTCCAAAATTTCTGATTTTGTTCAGTCAAATAAGAAGAATGGCCAAAAGCAGACTTTCTTTAGTGTGGTGAAGAGTAGAAATAATGCCAAGAGTTTGTATTAGCAACTACCTACTGTGCATTTATAACTTTACAGTACTCTTTTATAAATAAAGTATTAGATTTTCCATAATTAAACATTAATATAACTTATAGGACAGAAAAAATATTCTTATTCTTCCGTGCAAACCACAACATCCTCATTTATTAAGCAACTAATAAATAATTTTGAATATTTCCTGTTTTAGTTTATTTATTGAAATGTGTTCTATTGTACTTAATTATTAAGTTAATTAGATTGAAAATTTTAAATAAGGTTGTTAATTTTTACTTTTTTAAAAATATTTACACTCTTAAAATTTTATAACTAAGTTCAATAGAGCAGATTACAACAAAGAAAATGAAGCACAAAATATTAATAAGTTGCTTAACACCTTCATTGCCAGCCGAGAAAAGGTGGTTATGCTTATCTATCATTAAAAGTGGTAATCAATAGTGATAAAATCAAATTTAAACTTTCTTATTTTAGCTACTATTTTAGTTTTAAAATTTACAATAAGTTTATTTCTATTAACATGCTACTGTCTGGAGAAAATTTCATACTTATGCAAAAATATTTAGATGATAATATACAGGGGTGATTGTGAGCCCAAGTCAAAATTCCGGAAAATTGAGTTAAAAAAATTTAAAAAAAAAGACAGTTTAAATTGAAAAAAATTTAAACAAGGTTTTTTTTTCTTTTTCTCAATATTTCTTAGTTTACTTAAAATATATTTAAAATTTTACACATACCTATACCATTTACACATATCTATGATGACCTGGAGAAGTAATTAAAATTTACAAATATGTCTTTCTTTCTTGAGTTCATGATTATAACAACTGTTTACTGAGAAAAAATGAATATTAATCATAATATAAGCTTATAAAGTATCTCTCTGGCTCTCCCTTACAAACAAATAAAATAAACTGTGTTTTTAAGTTCCACCTTTGAAAATTTGATTTCCGGAAACTTCTGTGACCCATGATTTTTTGAAACATCTGGACCTTCGATCTCCGGATCACTGTTAGCGAAAATTCCGGAAATCCGGATTTTCTCCGGAGCACAATCAGCCCTGAATATATATCTTGCTTTCACTTAGAAGAATTTTGACTCTCACTGGCACGGGATCGGAAACCAAAGTGTTTATGAGATTTTCCGTAGGTTAACCATGAAAATAGAATTATTTTATTCAAAGAGGACCTTCAATTTCTTAAATGGAATGTTTTTAATAATACATAAACAGTTATCGTATGCTTACTTGCATTCCTGAAATTCTAACACCCAGAGTTGGAGATGTAGAGGTTGCTGCCTTGACAGTCTGAGATTGACGTTTAGCAGGTGGGGCAGTGTCCCCGTATTGCCTGGTTCCCATCTTTATATCCAGTATGCAGGGAAATTCATACTTTGAAACTCTGTTTTCAAGTAATATGTATTCTAAATAAGAAGAATAAAAGTTAAAATACACATTGTTTATTTCTAATGGAGACATTGCATTATTTTTTTAATTCAGCCTCCTCAAACCTTACCATTGTGCTAGATAACACACTTCAGCATGCATTCAACTCCACTAAGGCTGAGGGGGGAAGAAAGAGCAATATTAGAGGGTTCAAACCCCGTGATGGAGTGAAAAATAAAGCTCTTAAGCAAGTCCTCATATAACTATCAATTTATCCAATAAAGAATTTTTTTTTCTTCAAATTTGTACAACTGAAATCAATGTTTCTACTTTTATCTCATATATTATTGAACAAAATTGAGAAATTAAGTGAATCTTTAACTTAGAGATTATATGTCTTGGTTAGATCAGATTTTTTTTTAAAGATTGAACTTCTGAAATAACTAAATGTTTCATACTGAATTAAATACTTTGATATATGAAAATACGCATTGCAATCTAAACCAATAAATGCAAAAATCCTGTATCTTATCTGAATAGAATGTTTAGTTTCTGATCATGAATTTTTTTAAAAATTTAATATTTTCTACTACATTACTTTTTGCTGTCTTGCCTAAATTTGTAATTATTGCAATATGTATATATGTAGAAATAAAATTGTAAAAATTAAATTAACATTAAACTGGAGTAGAAAAATTAAAAAGTAAATTGATATATAGTATTGGAGGTGGAATTAATTTTAAAAAACTAATTTAGGTAGTATATGTTTATAATGACAAACTTTCAGCTTTGTATAAACAAACATCTTCAAATATCAATTAAATCATTTTTGAAATTATATAGTATCAGGCAATCAAACAAATTGGAGTTTTTTTTAATATTTTTTATAAAATGTGATAGGTATTTAAGTATAATTTTAGTATGAGAAAAAGTAGAAACGTGTTTTAGACATTAACAAAGTGCTTTTTTCAAAAATTATTTCCAAACCACAGCTATATTATATAAGAACTTAGCCATTAAAATGTATGGAGACTTACAAGTATAGCAAACTGATGAGAGTTAAAAAAAAAAGTCTCAGTTTCTAGGGTAGAAGTATCTTTTTAAATAAATTAAATAAAGATTTTATTAAAAGAAAATTTTATTAACAAAAAAAGTTAATAAGAAAAATAAAAATACTTACATAATAAGATATATTTAAAAAATTTATTTTCAAAACAAACACAAGCTTAAAATAATATTTCATAACTTTTTGGCATAGTTTTAAACCCTTTCTCTGCATGACAATAACAACTAAAAACTAATATTTTAAAAAGGTGGACAAAACTGTGAAAGATTTTAAATAAATAAAAATATTTTTGTTTTTACATTATCCAACATCATGCACATCCAAGAATATTCATATAAAAAGCTAAGATGAAATTGATACAAACAACAAAACATACAGCTTATATTACATTAATGCAAACATAGCTGGAATAGAAAATGGTAAACTTAAAATTTTTTTCTTTTAACAGTTATGATAATTCCTACATGAATTTAAATCCAAATGATTTTACATAAATCTGCTTATTTTAAAAAGATTTAATTCACATAGTAAAAATTTGACTTTGTAATTCCTCCTTAAGCAAAAATTTTATTTTGCAATTAAAAAAATTCTTTATTAAAATATAAAGGTCACAGTTTTGTTCTCCTATAACTTCAGGTATCTGAATGGTCTTGATTAGAAAAACAAAGTCATGAAATGGATTATGCTAACTAGAATGCAACTAGTAGTAACTATTAATAATGTTACTAACAGCAACAAATGTAATGAAAACAAGTAATAATTCAAAGTTTTAAATGAGTTAAATATATTAATCAAAATAATTTAACATAATAGACAGTTTTAAAAGGAATAAAATTATATCTAAAAAAAATTGTTTAGTTTTATTTGGAAACATATTTTCAGGAATAAATACATGATTATTAAATAAATTATCAATATTTATGGAACTAAATACGCATAATTTTTAAGATTATACTAATATTGCAAATTGCATTTTATTTAAGAAAACCTTAAGTATTAATAGTGACGATCTACTATGATAATTAAAACAGGACTGTGAAAACATGTAACAAAGCTTGAATATTGCTTAAAACGAACATTCAGATACCTTAAAGTTTAGAAACAAGGTTTTCAAAAAATAAAATAACACATATGAAAAAATAAATAAAAAACATTGGTCAATATTTTGTATCATATAGTAGAATCTTCATGCAGCAAATATAATAGGTCCAAATAAAAACAAATAGCAAAATTACCATACTGAAAGAAATAACTATGTGACTAAAATGGGAAAAGGTCAAAATTGCAAATATTCTCAAGAGTGAAAATTTTAAAATAAAATGGAATGTAAGCTCTTGAAATAAATAAATTCAATATATATTAATTTAATCATACAGATCTTCATACTTTAAAAATAAAAACCAATATTTTTAGGAAAACTGGTCAAAGAGTCTGTAGAAATTAAAATACTAGAGGCTAATTTAGATACTAAAGATTCCTTAGGAAAGGGGAAAAAAAAAATATTTCACTTCATTTAATCTTCTATCATTGGATAATAAAGAGTGATTGCTTCTAAACATAAATAAGTAAGACAAATGAAATTAAATTATTTGGACCTCTCCCCCATAAAATGAATTTTTCTTCTTTTAACAATGCAATAACTTTAACTACAAAATTAAAATTATGACTTAATAATTTTAGAAAAAAAAAACAATTAGTTAAAATGACTTCCTACGTGAAAAATGTTCCAGATGAAAGGGAATAAGTCTAAGTGCTATCAAATTGGTTTTTTAAATCTGCTAAATTTTTTTAATATTATAAAAATGTGTCTAAGACATTTGTTATATGAAGATTCTACTGTATAATTATAAGTAATATAGTATTTTAGAAAAAAGAAAGCACCGTTAATTACATAACTTTATATGACAAAATTTGAATATAATCAGAATATAACTTCCAATATGGGTATCTAGGAATACCTATGTTTTGAATTTCTTAAAATGTTAGCCTAAATATTAAAAATTTGAATTTATTGTAATATAATGTGACAGTAGTGAAGGGAGTTTAAACAAGTTTTCACAGTTCAACGTAACCAAATAATTAAAAAAAAAAAAATCCTTAATAGTTTTACTGCACTAACCTCATTCTGTATTTAAGCTGTTTTGTACAATACAAGAAAATATCTTAAGTTCTATAATTCAAAGTTTAAAACTAGAAGAAGTTTATTTATTAATTCCTGGAAAATTTAAATTACGATGAAGATATTGAATTTTTATTATAACTACAATAAAATTGGATTTCTTCAAATATAGAGTATTAGTTTTGATTGCAAATTTTATTTTTTTATTTAACACTATCAAAAGGAAAAAAAAAGTAGTCTTGGTTCTTTGCTCATTATGCCTGCAGGTTAAGATATCCTTGGGAATCATACATAAAAAAAAATCAGAACAAAGAATTTTTACCAAATAGCGGCTACTTTTTGTCCATCCTGATAGAAGTGCAGTCCGTAGGGAACAATCAAATGAGCAGAGAAGTATCTCTTCCAATTTTTAGCTGAAGTATCAGAGCAGTCTGTCACAAGAGTAATCCACAAGAATCGATCACATAGGATAAAAGTTATCCAAATAGCTGGTAAGGAAAGCATTAAATTCGACTAAAACAAAATTATCTGGTTTGTAACCAGGACTTAAAAAGAAAAATCTTGACTTCCACTTTTGCAGACTCAATACTCACCTTGGAAGACATTGTTTCAAAAGCACTTACTGAGCTTCAGTCTGATATAGGCTATATATTTTTGTTTTCAAAGTTTCACAAATCTTCTTTGGTTGTACAATGTTTCTCGAATAATGCTCATGTTTAAGCTAAATTCACCTTTATGTTCCATTTAGATCAATACATTTCACACCAAATATTTAGAAAGTAAAAGATTGAGAAAAAAAATCTGTAACTGAAAGCTTATGTTCAAGAAAATTTACCATATATTACATGGGTGCCGTCATGAACAGTGGCCCTAATGACACAATTTCTTGAAAGGTAGTTCCGACACTTCAGTCTTGAAGTTGATCCCATACCTCCGACTTCCCTTATCTCTAGGATTTAAAACTAGTACAGGGATACAATATTGCAATTTTTTTGAATATTTACCATTTTTTTAAAAAAAAGTTATGAAATATAATTAAAAAAAGAGACAATGTGCACGAACAAAATAAGATGCAAGTTTTTTTCAAATAAATACATTTTATTTACTTTTTTTCAAAATAATAACAATGTGATAAATAAGAACAGAAATTTTTAGTTTTTTAAACAAATCAAATAACAAGGAAAAATATACATTCAAATTAAAAGTCACATAAAGATTAAAAAAAAAAAAACTTTTTAAAAGGTTCCTGTAGAATAATTTAACCTTTTGCTTAATGCATTTAGCACAACGCAGCTTGTCATTTTTGTTCACTTGTTGTGCCAGTCACAAGCAAAAAGTTAAAAGAATTATAATTGAGAGCGAATTAAGAAAAAAATTAGTTTAAAAAATAGCATAAAAAACTAACTTTGGCTGATGTTTGAGTCTGAACGCATTTTTTGCATTTGTTTTTGATGACAATGCAAAACCCATGGATTAGGCAAACTTCCATTCTGTAATTTTTCTTGACCTATGTTTTCTGCTTTTGAGTCATCAGCACCAGTGACACTTTCAATTTTGATGTTCCCAGATTGACAAAGCTTGATCCTAATAGTAAAAAGTTTACAATTAAAAATAAACTAGTATATTAAATTTTATGCTATATTTAAATAAAAATTCAGTATAACTTTGAAGGGGTTAGGAAGTGGAGAAGTCCAGATATGGTACAAAAAGCAATGTCGAAGTTACTGGCTCAAAATCGTAAAAAGAAAGCTTTCAGTTCCTTTGAAAACTTACATGGCGTTTCAATTGTTTTTACAGTAATTACTTAAGAATTTAAACATCGTTTTTAAAATTTTTATACAATATTATGAGGCAGTAAATTTCCGTAATGCTATATGATATTGTAATTTGGAACAAAGGTAGAATGAATTGTAAAAGATTAGTAGTAGTTTTGGCATCCTGGAACTGTAACCACAATTTATTTTTACATGCACATATATGCTTCAACATATTTACATTTAAAGTTAAGTAGAATTATCTTATTTCTTAATCTTATATCATAATATTCCATTACAAATAAAATTAACAAGTTTTCAATGGCACAATTTACTTTACAAAGACTTCTATTAACACAATAAGGTTTACACAATGCTAATAAATAGAGAATATATAAAATCATTAAATAATCATGAACTTAAAATATCATAAAATTATTAACGAACAAATATTTAACTGTGCATTAAATGCTGATGACATTAATATGCTGCAATAAAATAATGTTTAACATTTACCTATGCTTGGCTTTCCTTTCACATTCTGTGATAGAGTTTTGCCTTGATCCAGGTTTACTAGAAGAAGTTTTGTAATTAGCTGGAAGATAAGTCACTACATCTATATGTCCATCAATAGCTTCAGAGAAAGTGACTTCTATCACACCTAAAAAAGAAAGCTTTCATAAAAAACAACGCAATAAAACTTTTTAAATATCCTGCTAAATATAGATACCAAAAAAAGCACAGATTATTTAAATGCCTATTTAGCAGATTATCCAGTTATTTGGATGATTTAATGTGTTTTATCCCATCTTCTCCAAAATTTTTCTTTTGCAAAATGCTTTTTATTTTCAGAATATCTGAAAGCTATCGAAAAATTGCTTTTGCCCCTTGGTGACTTTGAAAGGAAATTCACAATTCTGACAATTTTCAAGGTTGCTGGCAAGTAGCACCAGTAGAACAGTTACCCCTTCCCTGAGAATTAAAGGTGAAACACGATTTGAAATGCTTTAAACATTACATCTTTGGATCTCACAAAAATATTCACAAGGACGACCCCTCAATGTATTTGATTATTATACAAGCATTTTATTTTTAATCAATAATAATAATAAATACAATAATATCAAGATCAATATGAAGTTGGTTATATTAATTGTTGCCAGATGTGAAATAATCAGCGTAACTTCTATTGGGCAAATCTTACCTTGTAAGAAACAGTTTAACTTTAAAATATAAATAAATGAGATATACCTTTGTACTCGGCCATAAATTCTCGGAGAGAGTCTGGAGCACTTTTATAGAAATTCAATTCTTGTGAAATAAGAGGCTTGCAAATAGTTTCATCATCTAGTTGAAGCATAGAAGAATGACCACCCACCTAAAATAATAAAATGAAATTATTTCAAACAAATCAGTAGGAATCGGGACAAAACAATCCAGACTATAATAGACAAATGCAACTCCTCAATTATTAACAGATTTGTTTGACCTGATCTTACAGGGGCATGTCTAAGGTTTTAGCAGCTCAGGGCAAATAATATTATCTGCATTTTTGAATTTCATAAAACAATAAATAACAGGTATTGTGCTAACCTCAGTTTTAATAAAAATGTGCAAATATAATCCCTACTGACTATTATTTAATCAATAATCTAAAAGTAACACAATGTAAAAATTACTTTTTTAACATAAAAAATGGGCTCACGAAGGAAGATATTTTTCGGAAACTGCGGTACATTCTAATAAACATTTCGTTATTTAAAGTATATAATGAGCCCTTTATGACATTCTGAATAATTTAAAAATATTAAGATAGAACTCTTATAAAAAAAAGGTTGTCTCATTACATTTTATAACAAGGTAAAAATAAACCTTTTCTGATTTTTTATAGTGGAGTTTAAATATATATATATACATATATATATTATATATAGCACAATAAAGACAAAAAGGATAAAAAGAAAATAGAGAAAAGCAAGGAAAATTAATAAATTTTATTTACTGCACATTCATACAATTCAAAATACAATAATTGTGAAACTAGAAGAGAAAAAGTATAAAATTCAAAGTTGAGACAGTACTAAGCTGCTATTGTCATAACTGGAAGAATATATGAAAAAGAAAACTTTTTGATTAAATAAAATAAGTTATAACCTCATAAGACAGTTAAAAGGATCAATACTGCAGGAGAAAACCGAAGAACATTAACATAAAATGACATACTAAATATTACCTTGCAAAAAGCACTACAGGAAATATCAGCCAAACTATCAAAAAGGAAAAATACTTAAAAGAAATTAAAGTGGATGCACAGACAGACACGGCAGATTCGTAAGAATATGAAATATATAATTAATATTTTATGTCAGTGCATTCATTTTAAATTCTTTTCAGCATTTTTCCTTTTGATAGTTAGGTTATTTCCTGTAGTAATTTTCAAAAGGTGATGTTTAGTATATTTGTTTTTAATGTTTTTCGGTTTTCTCCAGCTGTGCTGCTCTTTTTAGTTCTCTTATGAGGTTATAATTTATTTTATTTTATCTAAAAAAATTTTTTCTTCATATACATATGAAGAAGATGAAGATTTAGTATAAAATATTTTAAATTTTCACTTGAAGATTGCTATTCAAACAAATTTCATCAGGTTTTAGCAACTGATTAAGTCATATATCTGATCGTGTAATCTTTCCTTAGTGCTTGACTTTCTCAATCTGATCTTTGGTTCACAATAGATTTTGACCTTTAACAAACAGACTTCTAAGAACAAAACAACTCTAGATAAAACTAAAAAATTTGTTCTTTTTACGTGTATTAACTTTTTCTTAGATTGTTTTGAGCTTAGCCTGACTGTAAGATAATGTTCACAGGTTTAGCCAAAAACATTTTAAAATAAAAATTAGTTCAGGATCCAATACCAAAATTGCGACCAATTGGGCAATAATGAGGCAATGTTACTAGAAACTAAAAAAGAAAGAAGAAATTATCAAATTGTTTGAACTTGATCACCTTTGCTTGGCTAACTATTAGGAAAGTCACGACAATTTCCTATTTAGTTTATTGCAAGTACAAAAACTGGGTAGTTCCTTTGTTAGGACTTTATGAAGATTTTTATATCCATATAAGCACCAAGAAAGTAGCCAAATTTTGGCAACAACTGTCACGTGACCAATTCGCTCAGTATGACTCATAGCCAAACCCGGACCAAAGCACTAAATTTTTTAAAAAAAATTTGCAATTTTTTGGCGATGGCCTGAACAGGTATGAAAATATCTTCACTTTTTTTTTACAACTTCAGTAGGTGTTGTAAAAAAGTCTTTTTTTTTTCTCTCTTAGAATGATTCTTGAATTAGATGGTGAACTCATTTGATTTATAATGAAATTAAACATAGTTCTTCACAGGCTTAGTAAAAAGAGATATAAAATTAGTCCTGATTAAGGGGAATCATTAGATGCCTTCTCCTTTTTAGAAGGCATATTTATCAGAAATTAATAAAACAGGTAGAAACAAAATAATTTATGTTTAAATAGCCAATGTTGAGGTGACACAAATACATAACCAATACGAAACTAATCATTTGAATATAGAGTACTATACCTGATGAATAAAGGGTTCTAATTGCAATGCTTCATAAAGCCCACCAGAATCAGCTGCCATGCTCGGCAATGCCATCCACAATAGCTTTTATTTTATTGTCGATCATAAATAAGATGATTCAGTCAAATACACAGCTAAAAAGATTAATCAAAATATTTAAAAACGGTACACAATAAAAATACTAAACAAATATCTTTTATAAAAACAAATAACTTGACAAGATAAGTTCAGAGTTCATCGCAGTAAATATTTGTCNTTGGTTTTCTCTTGTTGTGCTGATGTTTTTAGTTATCTTATGAGGCTAGAACTTATTTTATTTCATCTAAAAAAAAATTTTCTTCATAAACATATGAAGAAGATGAAGATTTAGTATAAATATAAAATATTTTAAATTTTCACTTGAAGATAGCTATTCAAAATTTTTTTAACAGGTTTTAGTAACTGATCAAGTTTTATATCTAATCTTGTAATCTTTCCCTAGTGCTTGGCTTTCTCAATCTGATCTTTGGTTCACAATAGATTTTGACCTTTAACAAACAGACTTCTAAGAACAAAACAACTCTAGATAAAACTTGTTATAACAGATAAAACTAAAAAATTTGTTCTTTTTACATGTATTAACTTTTTCTTAGATGGTTTTGAGTTTTAGCCTGTCTGTAAGATAATGTTCACAGGTTTAGCCAATAACATTTTCAAATAAAAATTAGTTGAGGATTCAATACCAAAACTGTGACCAATTGGGCAACAATCAGGCAATGTTACTAGAAACTAAAAAAGAAAGAAGAAATTATCGAATTGTTTGAACTTGATCACCTTTGCTTGGCTAACTATTAGGAAAGCCATGACAATTTCCTATTTAGTTTATTGCAATTACAAAAACTGGGTAGTTCCTTCTTTAGGACTTTATGAAGATTTTTATATCCATATAAGCACCAAGAAAGTAGCCAAATCTTGGCAACAACTGTCACGTGACCAATTTGCCCAGTACGACTCGTAGCCAAACCCGGACCAAAGCACAATTTTTTAAAAAAATTTTGCAATTTTTTGGCGATGGCCTGAACAGGTATGAAAATATCTTCACTTTTTTTTGACAACTTCAGTAGGTGTTGTAAAAAAGTCTTTTTTTTCTTCTCTTAGAATGATTCTTGAATTAGAGTGAACTCATTTGATTTATAATGAAATTAATACATAGTTCTTCACAGGCTTAGTAAAAAGAGATATAAAATTAGTCCTGATTAAGGGGAATCATTAGATGACTTCTCCTTTTTAGAAGGCATATTTATCAGAAATTAATGAAACAGGTAGAAACAAAATAATTTATGTTTAAATAGCCAATGTTGAGGTGACACAAATACATAACCAATACGAAACTAATCATTTGAATATAGAGTACTATACCTGATGAATAAAGGGTTCTAATTGCAATGCTTCATAAAGCCCACCAGAATCAGCTGCCATGCTCGGCAATGCCATCCACAATAGCTTTTATTTTATTGTCGATCATAAATAAGATGATTCAGTCAAATACACAGCTAAAAAGATTAATCAAAGTATTTAAAAACGGTACACAATAAAAATACTAAACAAATATCTTTTATAAAAATAAATAACTTGACAAGATAAGTTCAGAGTTCATCGCAGTAAATATTTGTCCTTTGCACAATATATAGGTCACAATGAAAACATAGAAATGTAAGTAAGAATTAAAACAAATCTGGTTATACCAACTCTACATATTTTGAAACATAAAAAAAATGATAGTTAATATTTATTCAGTCGAAGTGAAAGGTTATTTTTTGTAAACAATATCACAATCAGTAAACATCATTGCTCTGAATGTTGTCAAATAAAAATCAATACAAATACCGTTATAGAAAATTTCCGTAGTAGAAATGTTAAATTCTCCTGAAATTTGGAACAATTCATATTTCATTACTGGTGTATTTTTAATTTAATTCATTGGTTGTGACATATGGAAGTGACTCGAAAATCACAAACAAAACCTTTTTGCTGCTGCATTTCTCACACTGCGGTTGTTGTGACGTAATCGTTCTGTACTCTCCTCATATGGAACATCCCTGCGGAAACGGGCGACAATCAGTTCGATCTGAAATTTTGCAAGTGCTGATAAATAAGAGCGTCGTTTTTATCGGGTATTGGAAAACAGCCGGATATTATTCGAAAATAGCTAATCAAAGCGCTTAAATTCCACTAATGCTATTGAACTTAACTATTGCAAACTCCAATAACGATGATGCGTGGATGTTTTATTTTAATGCCAACAGAAGCAAACGAGAGCAATCCTGAATCTGCACTGCTACGAAGCGACTTGCGCTATCGGATCGTCTGCTGCAATTCGTAGTAAGAAAAACTAAGAACATGGCTACGTAGTCCACCGCAGGTTCCCATTTAATTTAGATATTTAGTCATAAATTAAATTGCTTCTTCAATCCATAAAGATGGTCAAGGAAAAACCGAATTCCACTAGGACATATGACGAAGAGGGATTTCGGAGGAGAGCAGCTTGTCTTTGTGTAAAAGACGAGCAGGAAACTGAGGTATTATAAAATATAAGTTAACCTTTAAGTTTTGTTGCGTTATTGCCTCTTTAATCACTCTAAATTGTCATATGTGATTGTTAATTTTTACTTTTGTATCCGTAATTAATACGATATTATATTTTTATCTTACTTTGAATGCATTTAAACGTTTTAAGCAACAGGGCGTAGGGAAGAGACATTGTTGCTTTGATATAACTAACTTTCCTTGATGTAATCTTTCATATTTTTTACATTTCTGCATTTTGTTTTAATGAGTTGAGCATTTTTGTATAATATTTATACTTTGTAAATGAAGTAAGAATGACTTATATAACGCCTATTTTTCCACATTGATATATCGTCTTGCACGCAAATCAATGTTATCCTTAATAATATTAAATTAGAATAAAAAACGTTTTTGTTAATTTTTATTTTATTTAATCGATTATCAAACTCCTTACAGTAATAGGCCAAGCGCAAATTTATTAAATCCAAATAGGTATTTATTTACAAGACCTTGAAATGTGGTTTTGAGATACCAGCTGATGTGATTCATTTGCATTTGACTTTGATTTATTAATCTACGCTGTTTATTAATCTACGATGTTATTTCACAGTATGCATTATTTTAAAATGTGGATATATTTATGGAGCACTGCTTTCATTTCAAAAGTTACATTGCAAAGGAATTATTGTTTTTGGTCAAATTGTGTAAAATAATTATTCTGTCTCAACTATGTCAACATTAAAAATTTCCCAAATAACACAAGGGTCAATGCAGGATTCTGTTTCTGTAATTTTGTGGAAATTATTATCAAAAAACAATGTGTTTCTGCGAAATATAGAAGGATTTTATTTAAAAGTTCATATATATTGGCAGAAGTGTTGATATACTTTTTAGGACTCTTAGAAAAAGCTATATTTTTATCTAAATTTTTATCTATTTTATGTTTCTGAAATAAAATAAATATAATTTTCGTTTTAAAGCAATATCATTGATGATTTCAAATGATTTAGTTTTCGTAGTTTCTGTACAAAAAATAAATATCAATTTTTTGGTTTTAAATTTTTTTAATTAAGTAAAAAAAATCAAATATCCCTGGCATGGTATCCCTTATTGTCAATGTGGTGCTGTGAGCAAATGTTTCTCTTGCCTTACACTTATGAGGGGCCTGTATCTACAATTATATTAATTTTTAAATGCCAAAAAGAAAAAAAAAGCTGAATGAGCCAGCACTTTTAAAATTATAAAATTATCTTAAAATTTTTTTTGAATCAAATTTGAATTTATTTTCTATTTGAATTTACACATTAATTTGTCAGTAGAAAAAGTATTAAATTAAAATAACGGAAATTTTTTTACTTTAAATATTGAATTTATAACTTTAATTCTTAATTTTCAGTAATATCAAAGATATGTGTGTATTTTTTGTGGTTTTGAAATTTGGGAAAGGTCCTTAATTGGAAACACTTTTTTCTCTATAATGACTCCTGTTATAACTTAAATTATTCTGTACCATCATTAAATTCAATATAAAAATTATAAATAAGTATTTAAATTCTTATTTTGCTTGTATAATAATTGAAAACACAAAAGTAATGTTTAGATACTTACTATTACTAGAAATACTTTTCTAGCATCCAGTAATGACTATGTCATTGTTTAAATTTGATGTCATTCCATCTAGGTGCTTTTAGTTACAAGTAGTAGAGCTCCTGAACGCTGGATCGTACCTGGCGGTGGACTGGAGCCTAATGAAGAACCAAGTGTTGCTGCAATTCGGGAAGTAGTTGAAGAAGCTGGTGTTAGGGGACATTTGGGCCGGTGTCTTGGCACATTTGAAGTATGTTTAAAACAACTGTTGTGTTTTAAAAGATAGTTTATTTTTGGATGAAATTTTATTTAGCAATTTCAACTGACAACTTGATGCCAACTAGTCATTACAAAACATAGCAGTGAATTTTATAAAGGCTTTTATTTCTGATTATTTATCTCTGTATTTGATATTTTTTTAATGAATATATAAGGGGTTTAATCCGGAAATTTTTTATTAAAAGTTTCAAATTTTAGAGTAAGTGGAATAACTAGTCAAATTTTCATTTTCTGACGTAGCTAAGCAGGGGTCTGCCCAGGCCGAATTTACTACCGTTTAGCGGTACCTTCACAAATTCAACTTTAGGAAAAACGGTAGTTTCACAAAATACTTTTTCTTAAAATTTTATTTTTGCATCGCTTAAGAAACGATAAATTCATATTTTTACCATATTTTTGTGTTGATTTTTTAATNATTTTCAAACTCTGTATTTGATATTTTTTTAATGAATATTTATGGGTTTAATCTGGAAATTTTTTATTAAAAGTTTCAAATTTTAGAGTAAGTGGAATGACTAGTCAAATTTTCATTTTCTGACGTAGCTAAGTTAACTGATTACCGATCATGAAGCCAAAGCATTCTCATTAAGTCATCTTCTTTGTTCTGGATATAAAAAAACCAATACTAAAACCTACATAGAATCCCCCCCACCCGAAACACGCTCCAAGTAGAGCTTGTTATGTAATAGAACCGGTTTAATCTCTTTGCTGCGGAAATCACCTTACTTATGGGAAACATAAACATTCCAACATTTGTGTTCTGTATAATATATTTTATACCTACTAAAGAAATTTTATTTGAATTAAAAATAACTGTTATAACATAGTGTTAAAAGCACTGAGCTGTCATTATGAAGAACTAGGGTTCGATCTTTGATAGTGGCTTGAAACTAACCTAGCTCCAGATCGATGGATACTAGCTTGTCTGAGTAATAAGTGAGTAGTGCTGACCGTTTTGCTGCCATCGTGTCTTATAATTATTTTTTTTCATGGAGTTTAGTGAAGGAAGATGTAATTTTCCATCTTACTGTTATTGTATGTGATCTTGTTGTTTTACTGTGACTTAAAATGTTGTAAAGCTAATAATTTAAGCAGAGCTACAATTAGTAAACATTTTCATGTTCAAGTTCTAATATCCATTAATTACATGTCCTGATAGAATGAAGTGAAAAAAATTTATTGCATGAAATGAAAATTTCCATTGTAAAAGAAACTTTTGACATATATTCCAAAATTTGCCAAATTTTTATAATTTCAAAACTTTTTTTTTTTTAAATATCTGGTTTTAGAGAGGAAAAAATATATTTTAGGAAGTTTCTCTTTCAAGTCTCGTTAACTATTTCTTAATTAATTTTTTTCCCAATAAAAAAGTGGTATCCTTTATATTTTATACTTTAAACTAAAATGTTGCGCTGACAAAGAAAAAGATTTATTACTTTTAGTTTTGTATTTATTATTTTATAAAAATTTTAAATAAAAATATTTTACTGGAAACAAAGCTTTTTATAACTTTTATTAATTGTATGCTGATGATAACCAAAATATACATATATATAACTGTCTGACTTCTATTCAACGAACTTCCAATTTTGCGAATTTCTCTATTTTGCAAATTTTGAGGAATTAAGAACATTTTTGAAATTTCATCGTAAAATAACTAGCAGATAGCGAAGTGAATTTTCTATTTAACGAACTTTTCTTTGAAGTTCACTTTCCCTATTTCCCAAAATATATCAGAATATTCAAACTTGTTAGTGCATTTTATGGGAGAGTTACCTTGAATTGATTTTAGATGCCACTTAACTTTTAGATAAAGCAGTAACTCTCCTTTTTTGTTTGCATTTCAAACGAAAAACTCAGAAAAAATTAACAGATTTTATCAGTAGCAATTAAACTTAAGAACGCATGTAGTAATGTATGTAAAAAAAGTATTTTTATAATAAATGCAGTTATAATTTTAGACATAAATTTAGCTCTTTTCAGTTGAAAATGTATGTAGTAATATGTAATAGTGTAACATATTACATATAGTGTAACATATTACATAAATGTATGTAATAGTGTAACATAGTGTTTTACTCTATACTTGCTTTCGATGCAAATTTCTTTTATGTTTAAGATTAATAAAATAAATAGTAGATACTAGTTTACAAGATAAAGGTGTATCAATTGCTATTTTAATTATGTCTAGTGTTTATGAATGTAAATCCTGTTTTGGATTGTTTAAGTATTTTGAAAGGCGATTTTTCTATTTAATGAATTTTCCATATAACGAACTTATTATCAGGATTTAATGACTTTGTTAAATAGAGGTCCAACTGTTTATAGTTTTTCAAGGGAAAAAACTTGATCGTTCCTATTATATAATAGTAAATGTGCAAAGATGTCTACTCATTGGCTTCATATAATGATATAATTTGATTTTTATAGTATGATAAGGAAGTGAAATAATTTTTATGACTTTTTCAGAACCCTGAGCGAAAGCATCGGACATCAGTGTTTGTTTTAGTTGTCACAGAAGAGCTTGACGAATGGGAAGATTCCAAAAGTATAGGTATATTTCATGCTCTAAGAAAATAAGTAGTTATAGTTTAAATGTGCTAGTTTTGTTAATGTCAAGTGTTATTTATTAAATTTTTAGTGGTAGTACTATTTATTGTACATAATAATTCTGCATATTCTTTCAAAATTTATTATGTAACAGTTAACAACTTATTATACTTTGCCTATAGGTTTCATGATTAAATTGAAATCCATGAACATTAAACTAAATTAGGAAAAACCAAATATACTTAAGAAATTGAACATGTTTATTACAAATTTGAAAGAAAATTTAATTGGAATCTTAAAATTTATAAATAAAAAATTATGATTGTTAAAAAAATCTAATAGTCCAAAAAAATCATCACTAAGATCACGTTTTTTCTCGATTAGGACATTACCTCTTAGAAATGTAACATGCCACCTTTGCTTCTAGTCAGTTTATTGGAAATTCCATATTGTTTGAATGAGTTGATTATTGTCTCTTCAAAAACTGCCTCCCACTCGGCATAAAATAGATTACTATTTGTCTGGGTGATCACTTCCAAAATTCCTTGGGGGAGTCGTTTGTTCTTCAAGGATGAAGTTCTTCCTTCTAATATCAATTTTATCAGGAACCAAAAGAATATTTGTGCATTTGGCTGGTATGAAGAGTACACCTGTATCCAAATTGCAAACTTTATTTTAACAACCGAGCTCTTGTGGATGAATTCTTGATTGAATATGAGCACCCTTCAAAGATCATCTATGTTCTCACCGTAAAAATCCCTGATACCCAAGATAGGACCAGGGTAAAACTTCTTCATAATGCATCCTGTTTGAAATGGCAAAGACATTTTTCTGTTCTTTTTGAAAATCATCCAGTTACTCTGATAATAGATAGATTCCTGCCAGTGATCAAGCAAATTTTTCTTTGAATAATTATTTGATCATTGTTCCATGATCTTAATCATTTTTGAATTTGCATTTGATCTATCTTTAAATGCTTTGAAATTCAATGAGTTACTGATCTGCTTTCTTTGTGCCTTTTTATAACCTCAAGTTTTTCTAAGTAGTTATAAGCATTTACCATAGTCTTGTTGGTAAGTGCTTACAAATTGACTTACGAATAAATGAAAATCAAATACTATGCACATCTAAACGCTAGACAAATTTTTCTTCGTCTCCTTGAATAATTCGTGGAAAGCAAAAATTCTTTATCTTCTTTCTACTATTCTTTGAATGTCCCCCACTTTATCTTTCTCCCCTTGCAGTTTTTCATATTTCATTCCTCCCCCCCCCATGAAGCTTTGGTGTTTCAATTTGATTCTGACACAGCTGTGATTAAGAAAAAATCCTTACTTGAAAGTGCAGTTAGCGTGAAGGGGTGCTTGTTGGATTTTGATGCAATTTTGTATCCAAATTTGTAAGGAATTGCTGGGAAAGCACTTTTTCATTCTAATACACAATCATCTGTGTAAAATAAACAACATTGTTATAATTTATGCTGTTAACTGATTCAAAATTAAAGTTATAAGTTTGAAAAATATTATTTTTAAGAAACACCTCTCTAATTAAAATTCGAAGTCTTATATTATCCATCTGCTTATCAACAAATCTTCATAATTTTCCATATTTTATCTGGTACTGTCACAAATTTCAATTGATGAAAAATATACCGTTATTTAATCTTTTTTTGCCTGTAATTTTTCCTGTTCAAGATGTTCTTTAAATCTGCATGCATTTTAATTAAAGTTTTTTTAATTTATTTTTTAAGATATTTTCCTTATTTATATTTATATCTGCAAACTACAAATACTTTTCTTACTTTAACTTTAATAACTGAATCAGTTTCTACACTATGACATTTATCATCAGTTTGGAAATATTGCAGAAACTGGAGCAGTGTTTGTCCACAAGATATTGTCAGTTGGACCAACCATAAGAACTTTAACAAATGATTAAAATTGCATGGATTTTATAACTTTTAAATGGCATAAAAATCAAAGGGATTTTTTTCAAATTAATCTTTTGAGATAAATTTTTATTTTTTATAAAAAAAATTTAATCAATAAAATCGCAAAACTATTTAAAAAAATTATTTGCCTTCATCAATTTTTATATATATATTTTAAAAAAAATTTAAATGATGATTTTTTGAAAAAATTAATTACTTTTTAAAATTAATTGTTATGTTTTGTTTAATTTTAATCATTGATAAACTTTAAATTCTCTTTTAAAGACTTCTTTTCTTAATGATTTGACAAAGTTGATTTCGATTTTTCTCATTGTTTTAACAAGTTTCACTGTTAAAATCTTTGAGAAAGAATTTATGATTTTTTTTCTGTTAAAAATACAAACTTTAAAAAATTCAGCTTAAAGATTATTAAAATTTTTAATCTTTTTGCATCTTCGTGGTTCTGCGAATTCGGATTTTCTACCTTACAGAAATGGTCCAAAAATACATGAAAATTTAAAGTTAGCGATGAATTCTATACTTATCTACTTACTTAGAAACTTCATTTTGATTTTTATTTGTTTATAAAATTTAATTTAATCCCCTTAGTCAATAAACTCTGTGAATTATTATATTTTTTTTACTTGTGTGTATTACAAATAATTCCAGGTGTTTTTAGCATGCTTATGGTTATTATTTTTTTAGCAATTGTAATTTACAAAAAACATTGTGCTGACCTCTCTTCCAAACTATGCCTATCTCTTGTGAATACCCTAACACTAGGGGTAAGGGAGGAGGTTTAGTTAAGTGCTATTCAAAATATCAAAAAAGTCTATTTTTATTTTTGTGATTTCTCAATATGTCTCTATTTTGAACAATCTTCATACCACCTTAAGTTTGCAATTAGTGTGTCACCTATGAAATAAAATGCAACAACTTGTATCGGGTCTGTCCAAGCCAAATTTACTGACGGTACCTTCACAATGTCAACTTAAGGAAAAACGGTAGTTTCACAAAATACTTTTTCTAAAACTTTATTTTTGTGTCTCGTAAGAAACGGTAAATCCATACTTTTACCATATTTTTGTGTTGATTCTTTTAATATAATTTTTAATTTTCGCAAATTATATCTAAATTTTCACAAAATCGGTACCTCTCAGAAAAACCTAGACAGATCCCTGTGTATGTTAGAGTGCTGTGCTATTTTCTGAAAGTTTCAAATCTGCATTAAAAAAATAGGGATTCCTATTTAAAATTTTAAAGTTGCTCCAGCCCCAACCTAGAAAGGAATTGAGTTTGGTATCATTAAATGTATTTAAAAATATTTAACTTGTGAACTTAAAAATATTTAACAGAGGTATACTTTAACAATATTTGACTATTTCTATATATCTTAGTATTTATAGAAATAATTAAATGGCAATGTACATTGCTTTAAATTTCCAGATCTGCTTTGTAAAACACGGTAATTTTTTGTTGCTTTCAGGACGTAAACGAAGGTGGTTTCCAGTTGAGGAAGCTCTGGGTCTTCTGTCCATACACAAGCCTGTACAGTGCTCCTACCTAAAGCTGCTCACAAAGAACGATAAGGTCCCATGACTCTATCTACTCATTTTAAGATACTTGTTACAAGTAAGAAGGGATGCCGACAAACAACCACCATTAGCATCAAATGTATAATATTCTGCTTATAGTAGATTAGTTTCTTTAACATTCTTATGTCTTGTCAAACAACCAGTCTACTCATAGGATCTTATAACTAGAAAATAAGTATGTGACAATAATTTTTTACTTCTTGCAGTTTTGTGACTTTTGTTTCTGAGACATTTTTTATTTATTTTTAAGTTCTCTTAAGATTGGATTGTATCAAATTAGAAGTTAATAAATTTGAGAATGCATCAGTGTTACATTAATTTGATTATGCAATGTCATCACATGCAGTGGTTCAGTTAAATGTTAGCAGCAACTGATACTAGATACTGACATCAAAAGTTTATTCTGTAATTCAACTTAATGAATTTTATCTTTTCCTGATTGCCTGCTATGCAATAAATGTGACATGTGTATTTACATTTCTGGAATGTTTTAGTATAGTTTAAACTGCCTTATGCAGTCTAGTGTATTGGTTTCAATTTAAACTCTAAGTGTTTAAAAGTTATTGGACCAGTATTTTTATTTTTAGATACTACAAATTTTATCTTGATTGTTATGTGTTTTCAGTTTGTTGATTTCTGCTCAAATTTTTACATTTGTAAACAAAATATTTTTGTATGTTTTGAAAATTTAATCTTTTTCATACATATGAAGTTATGCTATTCCATTTTCATTATTAAAATTGATAAGTACTGTCCACACTGATTTTGGCAGAATTGTTCAAATTTTGAAATATTTATTATTGGAAATCAAAATATGAAAAATGTGAGGATTTAAAAGGTTGGAGATTTAACTTGTTTACACCTTTCTTTAATTGTTTAAACAAAAATTTGACTGAATGTTACTTACACTTTTTTTTTTAATCTATGCATAGTAAATCTATATAAATTAATTATATACTTTAATAAATTCAGTTCAAATTTCTTCATAATGTTTTGAGTGCATGAACTTTGATTCAAATCAGTAAGGTGTTTCATAAAACTCGAAAAATGAAACAGTTTTTCAGTTGCAATATAAATAATTTTTTTAAATATTATTACTGTACTTATGGTTCTATTTGATGGAAATGGTGGTTGTTATAGAAAGCTGCGCTGTTTGAAAATTAATGTTTATAGAAAGTTATTAACTATTTTTTCTTTTCTACACACAATGAAATTACATCATGTAATATGTACATCTATGTAATTGTTTATGTAAATTCTTTTTCTTGACTGGCACACTTGTTAATAATGTTAAGTTTTTTTTAAAATTATTAACTATCAAGCAAAGCAATGATTATGCCTGAAACAAGATTTTAAAAGTCTTTTAAATTGTTATGTCAGATACGAAAATAATTTTTGTAAATTTAATTACTCACTTTTGATTTTGTTTCAACATTTCTAAGTGTAGTAAATTTTCTTTTCTTTAAGATATAGTGCTTTGACTATATTTTTGTGACCATAGAATTCCCCCCCCCCCAGTCATTATCATTGAGTTGTAGATGCCCCTGTTTATTTTGTCTTTTAGGTTACTAATATAATTCCATGATGGTTTATTATTATATTTTTTCTTGAATCTCAAGATAATCATAACTTCATTTGCCTCTCACCCAGCCCATTGCTACAAGCATCCCAGTTTCATTCTAATCTGGGAATGTATATGTGTCCAAATTTTTTTCCATAATAAAAATAGAACTTTATGCTTTTTTTGTGTTTAGTCTTATTTATTTTTTTAAAAATCTAGTACATTTGAACTTTGCTTATCAGACACACGTTAAATGTGTTCTAAAACTTATTTGATCATCATTTAAAGGGATAGAATGTCAGTGAAATTTTTTGAAAAATGCCCTTGAAAAGCCTCTAAAAATGACCTTAGAAGGAAAAATAATACCCGTTGAATTTTGAAAGTCATTTTTTAAATTGTTTCTTTTTTAAAAAAAGAAAATTATAAATTATAGCCTGTATTTGTAAATATTGAAAAAGAGTAATAAAAATATGTATTTTATGCATAGTGAGATTTAAGAAAGTGAAAATAAATTCCTGATAAACATGAAAAATTAATTTATTAATTTTTAGTTGCAATCTTCAAAAAAATCAGAATTGCATTGTATTATCAATATGCATTGTGTCTGATAATCAAGATTCTTGTGTTTTAGAAAGAAAAATGCATTGATCAAATATAGGCCTATTTCTGATCACTAGAAATTAAGTGAGCAAATACGGCATACAGTCCCCTCTTAATTGCATGTTATATAATTGAATAACCCACTTATATGAATAAAATTTAATAGAACCAAAGCATTTTATACGAAACTAATGTTACATTTCCTCGATTGCAAAGTTATTTTTAGTTTCCAGTCCTCGCTTTATTGAATAAAAAGTAGAGGTAATGAAATTAAAACAAAAAATTTCAGAAAAATTTTACCAGCTAGAATGGAATTAACATTTTTCAGTTAGGAAGATGAAAATACAATAGAGGATCACTTTAATAGGGACCTGCACATTTGTTGCTCTAAATAGGTGTTGGGGTATAGTTTAAAAAGAAATCAAATTTTGCTAGCAGTATAAATTTGAGCAAACTAAATTATTTAAAGCTTGATAAGCTAAGTTTTACCACTCTTTGACTTACTTTACTCACACAACATAAAGAATATAAAAGGGTATAGACTGATCTTTTGCACTATTAGCTTTAATAAGAAGTTTCAAAAACCTGCTGCTACAAGTGTAAAGTGTCATTCTCTAAAGTAGAATAATTGTTTACTCCAGTAAATAACTCAGAGTTTGGTGGCACGATGAGCGTTTGAAGGAATAATTTACGTTCTGGAAGCAATAAATTTAAAAATTCCCGAACTGAAATAATAAATCAATTCAATCAAGGTGAATTGAAGAGATACTGTATCTAATGTAGTTGGTACGCAAGATAATAAAATTCCCTTATTTTCAAATTTTTTAAAGAAATCTAAAAAAAAGAAATTATAAATGAAACTTTTTTAAATGTGTTATAAAAGTTAAATTTGAGGAAAGAAAAATTGAAAAAAATTTCTCCAGAGTTTCATAGGTCATGAATTTTGAACACAAAAGATTCATAAAGAATATTTAGACACAAAATTTTCTAAAATGAATTAAAACTTTAAACTTAGTCAAATGCATCTTTTTATTTGAGTTTAATTCTAACTAAAGTAAAAGTCAAAATTAAAGGAAAAATTAAAACGGACGGGGGGTTTTTTGCTGGCAAAGGGAGGAGTCCAAATTTGCTAAAAATAATGCTTACTTAATACTTGAATGGTCCCTTTTTTTATTTTAAAATAAATAATAACTTTTTAAAGTATCTATTTTATGCAAAACTATTGTTTAGTATCCATATATATTTTATGAAATAATTAGTTTTTAAAAACTATGGTAGCTATGCTTGGTACTTATATCCAAGTTATTTATGCTATTATATGCGAAATGCTCTTATAATTTTTTGATAAAATGATAGTTTTCTGAGAAGTTTTTCCCAGTAAAAATTGCATCAAACAAATTTAATTTCTCATCTTCTATGCATCTGATTTATCTAATTTTTATTTCTCTACATTTCTCAATATTTTCTTTTGTACTTAATCATTCATTGTATAAAATCAAATTAGAAATGCTTCATTTTATGCTTTTATGATGATGGAGAGTTTAGAACAGGTAAAATTAGGATTATCAAGACAAATTTTTTGACATTGAATGAAATATGATTTTGAAAATGTTTGTTTTTTAAGAAAAACAATCCTAATTTTCTTTTCTTTAGTTGGTAGGTGTAACACTTTTAGAACCACATTTCAAGAAATAGGGAATTTCACTTGGATGATTTTTTTCAGTAGTATGATGCAATGAAATTAAGAAACGCACTATAAAAAAATTACTAGCAAAAACCAATTTCCTTCTATTTAGTTTTGAATAATGCATTATAATATGAAGAATATGTAGGTAAAAAAGTTTCTTTTGTAAATGTAAGGTTTTGTGACAGGGAGAATTGAGAATCAGTGAAATAAGCTGCTAAATTAATTTATCAGCCTATTTATAATTCAAATTTGTGGATCAATGTACCTGAATAACTGCAAAAAATCCGTTAAAGTAATGAATAAAAATTGCTTTATTTAATTTCGTCAAAAAGTTAAGTTTTGGTCAAAATAAGATGTAAGTATTAAAAAAAAAAAAGATCTTCAATAAGGTAATTAAATAATTGCAACTCAAAAAGATCAAAGTGAACATTATATTCATAAGCAATTGGTAAAATGTTTATAAACATAATTAATTATAATCATTCGAGAACTTTGCATTAGTTTTTCATAAATGTATGGATCATTCTTTAGTTTAAGAATTGATTTTGATATTTTGGTGCTTACTAGAATGATGATGTTAGTTTTGAATGTGCTTCCTAGAAACTATCTCAGGGCACAGTAACATTTTTATTTCTTGAGTCTACAGTAAAAGATTAAAATTATCTACGCAAAAATGAAGTTTTTTATTAAATAAAATGTAAGAGTGTTGAAGTATATTAAATGATTAAAAAATAAACGTTAATAAATATAATTTATTTTACTAAAAATGTTTGATCACAATTTCTTCATTAGTTACAGAGCATAATAACTGTACATTATTTACATATGATTTTACAAAAAACAAGTTAAAATATAAAAAGTATGAATATATACAATCTCAATTATAAATTATATTTAATTAAAACTGATAAAACAGTTCCTTAACAGATTCAGACAAATTTATTAAATTAGGAATCATCACGCTTTGGTGGCCTTAATGTATTTCTTCTTACACAATGAACAACCCATTCAATACCTTCATGAACACCATCTCTATAAAAATAGAACTAAACTTCAGGATATAGGAATCGTTAAACTAAGGAAATATTAATTTTAGAACTTGTTAAATTAATTGAAATTAATTTAACAATTATGGTAATAACAATTAACACCAGGTATAAAAAGATTTATCAAAGTCAGTTGTGAGTTCAACTATGGTGATTTACTAATTTCGTATTACTAAGTGAAAACTATAAAATTAGTGTTACAATTATATTTAAAAAAAATTCTAAATGAACAACATAAAAGTATCAATTTTGAAAGTTTATTGCAATGCTATCAGATGTTAAATGAAACAAATATGTTCCGTAAAAAAAGTACACTAGAATTGAAATAATATCGAGCATACGAGAAAATTCAATAATTGTAGTCGGTCAAAATTGGTTGAAAAACCTCAGTGTTTTCAGATTGGGTGAAAGAAAGGAGTAACAAAGACAATGGCTCAGTAAACGTAGACATTTTTATTACAATTTCATCTTTTAAGCACTAACATTTTAACATGATTTCAATGTTATTCAACACACATGGAACTAAAAATCGGAATGATTACACTTATTAACTGAAATTTATTTAATAGTTGCAGTTGTAAGTAATAATGTTACTTACAAGACAACTAAAACCATCTTTCTATTAAATAAATTAGTATTTTTACTGATTTTTAATAAAATATCATTAGAAAAGGACTGTACAACAAGAAGTTAGGGCCTCATACTTACTGATTGAGCATAGGACATGAAATTATAAATTTTACAAGTGCTCCTAAAAACAAGTAGCTAGTGTTGCTATTTAGGTAACTATAATCTTTAAAAAGTATGTATAAATATACTTAACTTTAAATGTTAAAAGTGGTATCACAGGCTGAATGTTAACGTTCATAAAATTATAAATCAGAAAAAACAGTCATAAAAGTTTTATTATTTACCCATTCAAGGCAGAACCACCAAGGACATGACAATCTCTTCTACCAATGAGATGTTTGCTTTCCCGAAAAACTTCTTTTATCCTTCCAACACTCAAACATTTCTAAAACAAAAAAAAGAGTTTTTATTTCTGGGTTAAAAGAGTATTTGGATAAAGTGGGGGAAAATAGATCACATGTTTAGAGTCACATTGAATGTGACTCAAAGCAAAAAATTTTTCAAATGAAACACTGAAAATTAATCAAATCACAGTGATATATTTAACTAGTCACAGTTTTTATGTAGAGTCAATGCTAAAACAACTAAAAATGTTTCAATTTAAATATGTCAGTATTTCACATTCATCAGCCTCATTTGTTAAAGCAAATATGAAAGGTTTTTTACTCTTAACACATTGAGTGCCACGTCAGCCATCAATGATTGACACTAAACTTTTCAGTTAGGCTGCATCAGTCACCCATGTCTGACACTGAAATTTTTGTTTTGAGGGCATCAGTCAATGGTAACTGACAGTGTAACGTATGATACAAAACTAAAAAACTTATATTGTTTTAGGAAATTACTGAAAATGTCTCTATAATTGACTCAATTTTTATTTATTACAAATCAAATTTTTATTTGTTTCAGTCTGTTTTTAGTGCTGTTCGAAATGCCATACCATAATATAAGTGTTTCGAAACAGAGCATGAGGCTTGACAGGGGATTTCCTTAAAAATACGCATGGCACACAACATGTTAACCTATATTTCAATTTAAGGCTATTTTTACAATATTATTACATTTAATAATCATATAGTTAAAAAAAATCAAACATGTTAAAGTTATTAGTGCAGCTAGAAGAAATTAAGTTTTTTCCTATTTACAAAGCTTTTGCAGTTTAAAGAATATAAATATAATCCTAATTTTCTCACTAAAGAGATGTTAAAAAAAATAACATTGAATATTGACCACAGGTTCTGATTCATAATGCAAACAAGAATAAAAAATTATGGAGGGTTTCCAGGTTAAAATTACGTAAGAAAACAGGTTAGGGATATTAAATATTCTGATTTACTTCAATTTAAAATTTTCGAAATAAAACTAGAGTCAGCTGAAGAGTTAGAGAGATAAATACTTACCTTTATTTTTAAATACATATTTTTAAAAAAAATCTAAATTCAATACATTAAAAAGTAGTACAGTAAAATCAAACTTTTGTTGTATTTTGTTTTAATGCAAACTTAGACTGTATTTAATTTTAGATTTCAACAAATATTCTCATTGGAATATGGGTGATTCTTTGGAAATATGACAATTCGGACCAAAAAATTTCTTCAAATTTAAAGTCTTCAAAATAATTAAAAAATTTTTTGTATACTTATTTAGTTTCATTTATTAATATCTTAGAGACAGCAGTGAAGTTTATTGATATTTGCACAAGAAAAAAAAATAAAACAGAAATTGACCAAATCTTGAATGCCAGGAAAATGACATATTAGCTTAGAAGTTTAAAAAACAGTCATTTTAAGCTAATAGTAAGTAACTCAACTTAGCCTTTATGTTAGATGAACCATAAATTGTTTAAATGAATTATTCTTATCCATCCACTGTAGAAAGAATCAAAAATGTTTTTGTTGCTGATATGTACAGAATAAAATTGGGTATAATAATCAGTCCTTAAATAAAAAAAACAACAACTTTGATTACATTCAAACATATTACAATCTTACATAAACTTGGTATTAGGTTAATATTTGCTTTCTTTCTTTCTTTACATTCAACTGTTTAAAAATTTTTCTGGTAGCACTTCAATGTCTTGGCATTCATAAGCCAGGAAAATGACAGCCAGGATAATGACAAATTTGCCCTTTTATAGCATTTAACTTCACTTTAATTTAGCATTTTGGCCTAAGACGTTTACATTCTGCAGAAAACAACAGGATTTCCTGAAATAACTCAGAAAAATCTATGTCGTTTATGCTATTAATGATTTCAAGAAGACAGGAAAATGACAACATAAAAACTTACTCACCTTGAAATTTTTTTAAAAATAGATTTTGAACCAGAAAGTTGGTTCTTTATTCATGCAACAAGACATGTTCAGATAGGATGGTATCTAATCAATCTATTAACATAAGATATTGATCGTTGGTGCTATCTATTTCGGTTATAAATCACTAAATAAAAGTAGCCAGGAAAATGAGATTTTCTTGTGACAAACAAATTATTGACAGAAAAAATTTATTTTAAACCAAGTTTTTGGAAATAATACCCTCTGCGTATAGTCTAGAAATGCTTACAATGGCTGAGATAAAAAAAAATTAGATATTGAAAAATTTATGAGAAGTTTTGAAGCTAATTATTGTTGGAAATATTGTTTGTGACATACTAGAAACATGACACTTTGAAATTCAATTTAATTTTATAAATATACAAAACAGTCGATGCTAGTACAAGGTCATTTTAAAATGCTAACAGAAATGCTATTTATTAAAATTTTTTAAAAAAAGTTCTTTTAGTTGCATAGTATTAGATCTCGGAGCAAGAGATTGTAAATTGTCATATTTCGTGAGAATCACCCATATATCAGAACAGCCAGCTAGTTTGTTGGCCAGAGGAGTCACAGAGATTAAATTATGCAATTGCATAGTAGCGGCAATGTGGCCAGCATTGTGTACTGGCTGCTTTTACTTTCTAACAAGCTGCAACAGATGGATCTCAAATTAAATGGACTTCAAGCCACTATCAGATATAGTGCTTTGGTCAATTACAATAACAGCCGAGTGCTTTAATCACATGCTATTCAAATTCAATTAGATACTCTAGGTAGCTTAAGATTCCTTATATTTAAAATAGTATTTATAATAAATCTTGTTTTTCACACAATTGTATTGCACAGAGCAATCATGAACAAATCTCGTTTTTTATTACTAATTTCAAATTTCTAAAATAAAAACAATTCAAATGATCAACAGCTTAGTACCCTACAAATAATTTTTAAAAATTGGAATAAAAAATAAACAATCTCGTTTTGGAAATAACTGAAGCATAAAATAATCGCAAACTCATTATAACTAATATAATTAATTTAAAAGATACCAATTATTAATAAATAAAATGATTAAACGGCAAAAAATATTAAAATAAACTTGAAATGAAGATTAAATAAATAAAAATGATTTTTCTTTAAACTAGTAGTGAAATAAAATAAAATAAAATAGAAAAAAAAAAAACAGACTTTCAAAAATCTAAATTGAGTTAACAAATTTTTCCTTCTTTTATCCTCTTGCTAATCATATTACATAATTTTTCTTAAACATCTGTATTGCAAAATTATACATTTCCAAGAGTAAAAATAATAAAGCTGACCTTCAAGATAAACTGTTTAAGCATTTAACACCTACCTTTACCTTTAAGAAATGAGTTTTTTTTCTTCCAAGTGTTAACTGCTTTGATAAATTTAAGAACTTTGTTATTATATAAAAATTCAAATCTAAAGATTTTTAAATTGATACATACTGGAATATCTTGTTTATTGGCAACTACTAACAATGGAACACCAACAAGTGCAGGATTAGTTATCATTTTATCTGTGAACACAAAAATAAAAAGTTTGTTTAGAATAAAAAATTTAAATATAAGAATATGTAAAGAAACTTTCTGATTTTGATCAATAAAATAATATTGGCAAAGTACAATTTTATTTGCAAAAAAATTTAAAAAAAAAAAAAAAATACTTAATAATGTTTTGCTTTAATACTTGATCAGAAGTATTAAGGGGCCATCTACAAATGATATCAAGCTGAAAAATTATTTGAACAGGGTATGTTCAAATAGGGGGAGAGTTATGATAAGGGGAAGGAGATAATCACAATTGTAATATCACACATTTTGATTAACATTTAGGATTGCATTACCTTTGCAAGCTCAGCAAGTTTAACACCATTTTTTTATTATTATCATTCTCTGCATTAATATAGCTACCATTCCAATGATTGTGTCATTCAATCAGAGTTCAAAGTTAATCTAATAACATGTCACAAATCACATGTTTTCCATAAAGCAACCATTTTTCAACTATTGTTGGTAATTCTATGTATGAATTACTAATGAATAGTTTTAATTCAATTCATAATGTGAAAAATTTTACTGCAGAGTTATATATGTCACAAAAACTACCTATAAGGCATCTGGCTACTACTCAGTTCTTGGAAAAAAAAGAAGAAAGAAAAGGTAGTTGTAGCAATGCAGAATATAATCATACATACAAGAACTAAACTCACAATATTTATTTAAAAGATATAGAGAATTTTTTTTCCGCACTTAATTTCTTCTCATCTTATTGAAATTTATTTCTCTTTTTACTTCATTACTTTGTACAGCAAAAAAAAAAAAAATACTGACAAAAAATGGCTCAGTAAAATGTGGAATACCTATCTTGAAGTGATTTTTAGATGCAAACTACAGTGCATGTCAGGTTAAGAGTGTGCCTGTTTTAGGAAAGAAATATATTACTCTATTCACGGAACACTGCAAGAAAATATAAATATCGACCATAGTGCATGTGAGGTGTCCAACCTTGAGAAGTGTTTGTAAGGTAAGATTTTGTAGTTTAATTTAAGGAAAGATTTGAATCAAGAAATTGTAATAACTTTTCAGAGGAATTTTTTCAAAAATAATACTCGTACATTAGATCTAATTACAATTATAAATTTTTTTCAGGTGTTAGATTTACTTATTTTGTACTTAACAGGTTTTACATTGATAACGCGAGTTTTAAGATTTGTTATTTTCTAAGTTATTTTAGAATTTTTTCAGGATTAGATTTTTTAAAATGAGGTGTGATGTTCTTTGATATTTTTTAATTTTTTTGATCAGTCAAAATTAGACTTGAAAATTTAAATGTTCAATTAGAAGGTAGTGGCTAGTAGACTCTAATAACTTAGTAGTTAGCAGCCAATTTTTCTTCTAACTTAATGAGTCGGTGACCAACACTAATAGATCCTTTTTATTTAATAGTCATTTTTTGCTTAAATTAAATTATATATGTATATATTTTCTTTAGGAAAAAATTCATATTCAGAATAATCTACGACTATAAAAAGTTAACTTAATAGTAAAAATAATAAAAATCTGTGACAAAATTCAGTTACACACACTGGCTTGACTTCAATGCAGAAAAAAATTAGCTGTACACTGAAAAAAAAAGGGGGGGGGAAGTAAACGATCATTTATTTAATTCAAGTCGCCACTCTTTTTGCTGTCTCGGCATGTGGCAAATGATTATTTTCAGGTCTAGTCCAAACTCTGGTAATACTTAAAAAAATGTAATAAATTGATAAGAAGAACAATGAATAATTCAAACCAAATGCTTCTTTGGACTCTTGCAAGCGATCAATGTCAGATGAATCTATTATGTACACCACTGCATGGCATTCAGCATAATATTTATCCCATAAAACTTGAAGATCTTCCTGGCCACCAAGATCCCAGAAATTCAGACGGACACCATGCATATCAATCTTCCCAACTAAAACACAATACAAATGTTTAATTTAGGATAAAAGTCTATTTAATTAGATAAAGCCCGATTTAATCGAGAAAACTTACTATTTAAACCAACAGTGGTAGTAATTTTGGTTGGATTTAAGGCTTTGTAGTTTTTACAAAACTTAGTTTTAGTTTGTTCTAAGAATGTCTGGAAATAAAATTAAAGTTAGTATACAATAAAACATTTTTTACACTTACAAAAATTTAAAAAAAATAAATAAGTGAATGCATCAAAAACCGTTAAAATTTTATAACAGATAATACAAGTATTTGATACGAGAACATTTGGAGCATGATGAATATTAAATTGATATGGTAGAAATGTTTTGATATTTGTCATATTTCTCAAACATTGTGTGATTATAGTCTTTCATCGTCACATTTTCAGTCCAGTGAACTTCAGGTGCTATTGCAGAATAAAAATGGTAACTGGTGAAGTTAACCTGATCTGACAAAGAGTTAAACACCATTTTAACTCAACAGCTGTGTTAGATAGTTGCCTGTTATCTAGAGGTATTTTCCCCCTGCTGGGTATCAACTGATTTGAGTTGTCAGCATAACGAACTAATTCATTAACGATGTTTACATTACCAAGAACTGGCAATGTAAACATCATTATTCTTGAAAAATTGTGAACTCAAGTTACAAACAGTTTAAATTTTTTAACGTCGCAAAATCGGACGCTGGAAAGTCTGCTCGGTTGACAAAGTTTCAGTTATCCTGGTCAGGAGGGTAGGTAATACTTTAAAAGTCTCATCAATTGAGATAACAAATCATGCATAATTTTATGTTTTTAATTATTATAATGTTAGTTATTTAATATTTAATAAAAAAATGCACACTGGGATGACTTTGAGCTATTTTTTTTCCAGAGAAAAACATGCCAAGAACTTACAAGGATAGCCGGAAGCAAGAAATTCCACCAAAAAAGCGTTAGAAAAATGTTTGGCAGAAGTAAAAAATTGTTTTATCTGTTTCGAAAGCATAAAAAAAGTTCGGAATTCTCCGAAACACGATTTCGAATAAAATTCATGCGAAGCATTCGAAATCTCAAGGTGAATATTATTTATCATTTGGAAAAGGCCTAAGAGCGAAAAACCAGAAGCATACAAAATTGAGGATATTGTTAGGTTGATAAACGCACCCGTTCCTGTTAATAAGAGAGGATCATTCCGAGTTAACGAGTTGGAGGCGCTAAATGAGGGAATTCAATCAACTGTTCATTCATATTAAATGTTTGATTGTACCAGAAAATCATAAAAAAGTTACCTAAGATTTAATTAATAAGAAAAAATCTAAAAACGAAAGTTTTATGTTCATCTTAAGTAGATTTGTTAATACATAGTATAGTTTATTTTATTTTTACATTATATTTTAAATCATTTTTAAGTAATTTTATATTGTTACATAGTACATATTTATATGTAATATTCTTGTATTGTACGTTGGCAATGTTAAATATTGTTTATTAAACGATTTTAAGTCAGAATGAATGAAAATAACTGAGCTAAATCATTATTGTATTGCATTGCACAAAGTCACCCAATCCTGGGGTGACTTTTTGCATTCGACTAGTTGATTATTTACAAATAATAAACACTTCAAATCAGCTCTTAACTACGGGCAATTATTTCCCAGATGGCTAACAACAAATTTAAGATTAGATGCTGTACAATTCAGCAGCTTTTAACTAGTTTTTTATTAGGTCAAAGTTGCAAAACTGAAAATTCCTGCTGGTTGTTCCTCCAAAGTTGGAGGAACAATCCAATCTGACAGTCCAAAAAAAAAAAGTTTTTTTTCCAGCATTTTTTTTTATACATAATCATGATACATTTGTTTATGAGCATTTTTATTTTTAAAACAATATTTACCTAGGTTTAGTGAAATTTATACTGTTGTATCGTTATTTTAATTTTTTGTGAATACATTTACTAGCTGAGTTTAATGATTGCGTTGTGTTTTCTAAATTTTAACTTTAAGTACTTGATACAACATAATTTTTTAGATTGTTAACCAAATTGGTAGCCATGATTAAAAGATTCAACATTAACTCACAATTAATCAATTAAAGGATAATCCCAACTGAATTAAAACCTAGATGAATTAAAATAAAATACTAATATTTAACATATTCGAAAAGTATTTATTGAAATTAGTAAAAAAATCTAGGTTACATAAAGTTATTACCACACGCGGACACATGGACTGTACATTTCAGTCCTAACAAACTGCACAATATCATTATTTACATTACAGAATCTAAGTTAAAAACATTAAATTAAATTAAGATAAGGGACTCTGAAGGAAAAAGAGAGAGTAAATTAGATTAAAAAAATGGTTTAAAAAAAATTACTTATCTAAGATTTGGCCGGCCGGCCGGAAGCGCGACACCAAGACCTAAAATTTAGGGACACCCTCTAAAGGATGGAAAAAGAGAGAAGTGGTAACGCGCCAAAAAATTCGTAATCTCCTCCGCTTCAATGGCGCTGCTGTCGCCGGAGCTGGATTGGTCGGCGAATCGCGGTTGCTAGTGACGTCAGGCTATTCAAGTAACGACTGCTAGTGACGTCAGGGTATTGAAGGAAAGATGAAAGAAGAACAGAGTCCCCAAAAGAAATAAATCAGAGATCCCTTTTTAATAAAGATATTACTTATCAATAAATAATATTATTTAAATTTAGGTGCTATAATTAAGATAAATTAATTATTAATTTAATTAGTGTAAAATAATTAGTGTTAGAATAATTAGTGTCAACAATGAAATATTAAATACTAAAATGAATAAAATAACAATTATATAGTTTCCCAACCATAACATAATGTGTAATTGTAATGTTCCTTTTGCTTCGGCTACAAACTCTTAACTGTTTTCCCGTCTTCCGTCTTCAGATTTACTAGTGATCAATAGCGATATCTGGCATGTGTGATAATCAGCAAATTCCAGATTAGAAAAGTTATATTTTTTAAAAAAATATGGTCACCTCAATAATAACAGTGAAGTTTTCTTAAAATTCATGCTCAGGATCATTGTCAAATGTTCTGACTAGATGAATTTTAAAGTTCACTTTTTACTAAAAATAAAATTTAAAAAAAAAGTTTAANAAAACAAAATTTTTTAAAAATTTTATTTTTACAGAGAAGGGAAAAATAATAATATAACAGACATAGTATAAAATTTTTATTACCAAAATAGCATAATGATACAACTTAGTGAGCATATTTAAAGATATAGATGAGTTTTCATGCAAGTTTCTGCCTTCATATGGCAGTTTCTGCATGGAAAACAAAAAGATTTCTTTAAAATAATTAAATGGATTAAAAATACATATCTGCTAAAAATAGTAAAGACACTTTAAATTACTACTACAAATATAAATTTTTACATTCTCATTTGTAAATAAATCAAAAACAACAGTTTTCTTACTTTTTTGATGAAATTGTGTAGAGTTCAGAAAAATGCACTGCATTCAAAGTGAAACATAATTTTGATAGTCATGAACATTAACTCAATAATTTAATACGAAATATTTAACTACGTTTAGTGAAATTTATACTAATTTTCGAGCTATATAAAGTGAGTATATCAAATCATGTTCTTTTGAAGGCATAACTGTAAGAAAACAATCAAACAAAATAGGTAAGTTATGCTTCATATTAAATCTATATGAATTCAATGTAGGCATAAAATAAGGCATCAATATTTTCAATAAAAGAAATTTAAGGGTTTGGTTTTAGAGCCTTTTCTATAAAAAGAGCTTGATTTTACACCCACTTGATCCTATCCTGTTCCCCTATACTTATTTCATTAAGTGTTCAAAAGTTATTTAAATTTGAGATTAGGAACTCTTTAACAAAACACCCAGCATTTTGGCATGCAAATTATACTTACAGTTTTACCAGCATTATCTAATCCTAGAATTAACACATAGTATTCATCTTTTTGAAACAAATATCTCCACAGACCATACAGGAGAGTGTACATTCTAATACTTGAACTGAAAACTTCTTTATAACATTATCTGTAAAAAAAAAAAATTAGAACAAAAGATTTTCTAGATAATTATAGCAGCTATGCTAATTATTCAGTTTTGAAAAACTTGTTTAATTTCATATTGTGCAAAAAATTACAAACATAATAATCTTTGACAAAGATAATTTAAAGAAATTTATAGATTTAAGCTAATGTTTCTCTACCTGATTCACTCGAAGTACCGGTAAAATATTTTAGTGTTTTATTTTGAACTGGTAAAGTTATTAATTTTGACTATTGCCATGATTTTAGTCTATACAAAATTGTGGCGCTTAAACAATTTTTTGACCAGTTTGTTTCTGATCATTTATTTACTCTATACCAGTGTTTCCCAAACTCATGACTTTTGTGTACCCTTTCTGAATTATTCGTAATGCTGTGTACAACTAATAAAAAAAATGAACGTATTTTTTTAAAAATATGCTTATTTAGAATGGATAATAAAATTAAAAATCACAACTGGCAGTTGACACCACTAATTATTAACTGTTAACTCTGCAAAAAATAGTCAACAGAAAAATACGTAATAGTAAACTTTCTGGCTAGCTTTGTTTTAAATTTTCGTTAGTTGCATGATATTTCGCATAAGAACGCGTACCACCGCTAAACTGTTCCTGTACCCCTGGGGGTGTGCGTACAACACTTTGGAAACACTGCTCTATACAATAAAGTTTTTTGAGCCAAATCCCCAGAAGCAGAATATTTTCAAATGTTCTGCAAGCATTTCACAGCGAAAAAAAGTCAGCTTTACGTTAAAATACTATATTTTCATTTATTAAAATACAGGATTATGCACAGATACTCTACATTTTTTAAACCAAAGCAAACATTCTTGATTTGCTACTTTTTCAATCACTTTTGAATTGTAAAATTTTGTTAATGACGATGAATTATTGATAAATTATTATCCAGGAAAACACTTATTCAAGATACAAATTGTTCTGCAGGACTTCGTTTGTTCTGCGACGTACGTCACAGTTTTAGACACTTTCTGCTTCTGGGGCCAAATCCTTTTTAAAAATAAATAAAATTTATAATATTTCTACTACAATCATAAATTCAGGAACCAATATTGGCAATTATTATAGGCAGAGATGATGTTTATCTTAATTTTGTTTTACTTAATGATGATATTAAATGATGCTTAACTTAGCATAAATAAATATTTTATGATTAGTAGTATTGTCTTAGAGTATTATTTTATGACAGATTAATTTTTTTTTACATTTCCTCTTTCTTCGAATAAGAATCCCTATAACAACACAACTTATAGTTTTTATTACAATATGTAGCTGTACATTAATTGCAACTCATAAATTGTAGTTATAAAAGATTACACAATCTTTTTCAATCAAAAAGGCAGAAGTGGAAAGATAATAACATCATTTTTTAATTTCTATAAAAATACCTTTTTTCATTTTCATTATCAGATGTATACACATTACTTAAACGATTATTAAGAAATAACAAAGATGATCTATCAATAATAATGGATTAAAATGAGTTTAAATTTAAAAGTTACAGCTTTGTTCTTTTCGATTTCTAAAGCTATTAATGGTGACGCAAGAAAATATGATAATGAATGAACATCGAAATTGGTCTATGAAAATTTTATGAATATTAGTTGTCAGAGAAAATAAGGATACATATTATTAATATGTTTAGTAGCCCTATGTCCATAGAATGTTAAACAATTTAAATTATTGGCCTTTGGTACAAAACAGCCTTAAATGAGATGAGTGTTTTAAAACCTTTGTAGATAATGGTCATAACAAAATAGTAAGCTTATTATTCCAACTAATTTGTCAGAAATATTTATTTATTCAAGCATTAGACAAATTAATGTAATTCAGCATACGTTACGATTGTTTGGCAATTAAGGTTACAAAATTGAAAATCAGAAGATGTTATCATTTTTAAAAATTGTACAGTATTATAAAAATCAAATAAGTAATTATTTTTTAAAATTCACCCTTTTATAACAATAAATACTAAGAAATAATTAATATTTACTACTGCAATATTATAGTCAATCGGACACCAAAACCAAACAACTTTTTGACAACAGCTACAAACTTAGGAAGAGCTGAGTTGTTTTCTTAATTTCAATTTGCAAAGATTATCGGTTCTGCAGCAAATTCTTAGACGAAATAGTCTGAAGAAATAAGTAGTGTAAGGCGTCAACTATTGCAGTTGCCCACTTGCGGTGTTTTGATTTTTAAGTCCTAAAAAGTTTTTGAATTTGCATGTGTTTAAGATTTTAAATTATTTATAACTTAAGTTGGCCCATTCATATATTGTTGACGTTTGCATTTTAAAAAAAAGGTTGCTTTGCGTTATAACTTCATGATTATTAATGATTCTTAAATGATTTTTCTTTAATTTTTTACCCTTTTTATGAAATGTCTAAGAAGAGAAATATCTTATTCTTGTCTAATTTTATTAATTTACTATTTATATATTTTTAAATTAGTATATTATTAATTAATGTGAGTTTATTAATTAATATTAGCATACTATTATTAGTATATTATTTATTATTATTTATATACTTATTTTTTATTACAGTATTTACTATATTATTTATATACAGTTGTGGGATATCTCCATATATGTAATTGTTGGGAAAAACTAAAATCGCTAAAGCGAAAAAATAGTTGTAATTAAATGTCTTGGTGATTGTGGTTGGCATGGCATATAACAGTATGAAAATATACTCTGTAACTTAACTAAACACAAATCTGTGAAATTATTTCATTTAGAACTTATTTAGGTTTCTAATTATTGTCTCCTACATCAGCAATCCAAGAACCTGTACACATATATTGGTGCATATTAATCATGTTAGTGTACAGCATATATTGGGGCTTATTAATCATGTCAGTGTGCACATATACTGGTGCATATTAATAATGTCACAGGTTGTTCCAAGACTAAGTATATCTGGTCTCAGTTTAGTTGCTATTTTTTTGATATTTATAAAAATTTATCTCTTTTGTGTTAATGGTGTAATAACAATAAATGAATATGGTGGTAGGTTAATGTTATAAATTTTTTATGTGGTCAGAGGAACCTAAGACATGGTGTTAAAGGGGTAATTTAAGCTTTCATCCAAAAAGTTATTCAAAAATTTCAATAACTATAATTTCCTTCATATAATTTGTGGATTTCCTCTTAAAAAAACAGGAAAAATCATCAGTGGGGATAATCTGCTGAAATTATTTTCTGGGCATCAGAATAGTGAATTTTCTATTTACTAAAGTCGGTCGTAAAAGTGTGAGAGACATTTCACGCTGGATGCAAAAACTTCACCTTTGCAAATGGGAACCTAATTGCTGAAATATATTTACTTGCAAAAAACTCATCCATCATGTTTTTCGCAAATTTCCCTAAATGTGATTGCATGTCTTTTTGCCTGCTTCCCTGCCAATGCCCATTTGCTCATGTATGATGCAGATTCTGCTGTTGGGAGGAGCTTCAGAATTAGTTGTTATTTCTCTTACGTTAAACAAACCAATAATCTGTGGATTATCCATTGAAATTTCTTCTTCAGGGCTGATATTCTCACCTGCAGATTGTACACCACAGATGATAGTTAACTGGAAATTACAGTAATTTATTTCGGAGGCTTTGAAAATTTACTTTTACTAATAGTTCTAGCATTAGATATTACAGTTTAAGTTGTTTGATGTTTTCTTTTTTAATTATTTAAAAAACTAATATCAGTGATATTTAATGATTATGAAATAAATTTTCTTTCTTTTTTCTATTTTTTAATAACATCTGTTATTTTATCTATAGTACAAGCTGTATAAATATTAAAAATGCTTTTGAAAGTTATTATTTTGTTAATAATGTCCTGTCTCGGAGACCTTTTGATATATTTTTAGGGATCTCTAGTTAGAGACTTTCTTAAAATTTATGCCAATTTTAATAACATTTACTTGGTAAATGGTATAAAATATTTCTGTTTATCTATTCTGGTTTATTTGTTTTAACACAAATTAAAGTTGTCTTTATTACCATACTTATTTTATCCTTCACTTTGTTAAATGTTTTTATACATTTTCTTAAATTTCATAATTTAAAAAAGGATTGAATGAAAAATATGTAACATTATTTATAAGATGACATCTTTAATTTTTATATTGCTAATTTTTAGGCATAATTTCAATGGAATTAGATTTGTTTTAGGTTTGCCTCATAAATCTCATCTTTTAATAACATTTACTTGGTAAATGGTATAAAATATTTCTGTTTATCTATTCTGGTTTATTTGTTTTAACACAAATTAAAGTTGTCTTTATTACCATACTTATTTTATCCTTCACTTTGTTAAATGTTTTTATACATTTTCTTAAATTTCATAATTTAAAAAAGGATTGAATGAAAAATATGTAACATTATTTATAAGATGACATCTTTAATTTTTATATTGCTAATTTTTAGGCATAATTTCAATGGAATTAGATTTGTTTTAGGTTTGCCTCATAAATCTCATCTTTTAATAACATTTACTTGGTAAATGGTATAAAATATTTCTGTTTATCTATTCTGGTTTATTTGTTTTAACACAAATTAAAGTTGTCTTTATTACCATACTTATTTTATCCTTCACTTTGTTAAATGTTTTTATACATTTTCTTAAATTTCATAATTTAAAAAAGGATTGAATGAAAAATATGTAACATTATTTATAAGATGACATCTTTAATTTTTATATTGCTAATTTTTAGGCATAATTTCAATGGAATTAGATTTGTTTTAGGTTTGCCTCATAAATCTCATCTTTTAATAACATTTACTTGGTAAATGGTATAAAATATTTCTGTTTATCTATTCTGGTTTATTTGTTTTAACACAAATTAAAGTTGTCTTTATTACCATACTTATTTTATCCTTCACTTTGTTAAATGTTTTTATACATTTTCTTAAATTTCATAATTTAAAAAAGGATTGAATGAAAAATATGTAACATTATTTATAAGATGACATCTTTAATTTTTATATTGCTAATTTTTAGGCATAATTTCAATGGAATTAGATTTGTTTTAGGTTTGCCTCATAAATCTCATCGCTAAAAGCACTTTGAAAGTGACATGGAAGTTGCAATTGACACTGTTGTTAAACTTGAAAAGTGTGATGTTTCTGAATGTCAAAACACTTCGAGCATTGGTGTTAAACTTGAAAAGTGTGATGTTTCTGAAAGTCAAAGCACTTCAAGTGTTGCTGAAAACGTTGATGTTAAAAAAGAGCCTGATCTTTATTCATATACAAAGCTAAATGATTTCACTTCTGAAATTTACAAGATCGAAATAACTAATCTTCCTAAATATGTTGGCTATGGTGTAAGTATAAATGTATGATTAAAGCTTTCATTAGAATTTTGAAACTTTTTATTTCTGTGTACTATATTTTCCTTTATTTTTTAGCAACTTCGAAAGTTACTAAATTCCACTTTGAGGGTGAACCCACGCAAAATAAAAGCTATTGGTAATCCTCCACATTTTGCTTTTGTCACATTTAAGTAAGGCTTTAGGTACTATTATTTATTTTATTTGCTCAGTTATTTCCTTCTATTAAAAATAGTTACATTCTATTCATGTACTTCATTCTTGATATTTTTTCATGCATTTCATTTTTTTATTCATCTGTCTAATGAAGTTAAAATTTCCTTCAATAAGAAAAACAGAAAGAGATAGATGGGGTTTGGTAATCAGCACAAATTAGTTTCAATTAATTTTTATGCTTTTTGATACAAAAAATATAAAATTTTTGCTCTAAGATATACACTTAGAATTAAAACAAAGTTAAGAAATAACTATTTTATTTAGTATAATTTTAAATAGCTATGTGATTGTTAATAGGCTATGGGATGATTATTTAAAAGATTTACAATTGTATGATGTCCTGGTAATTGTACTATACCTCTTTTGATATATTATCTAAAAGTAAAATAAGTTGAATACTCAAAAGGCCATATAAAAGTAATGGCCAATTACATAATAGTTGAAATTATGATAGAGTGTTACTAATGTTGTATTAGTTTGTTTTTTAATGACTTTTTTTGTTCATGTTTTGGTTCTGATTTTTGTTTACAGGTTTTATTTTAAGCCTAAAAAATAGCAGGTCAGGACAGTAAAGAAAGAATTGGGAAAATAATAGGGCACTAAATTTTTGATAATATAAATATTGGATGTTTAAATTACTGTTATAATTGATGAAAAAACAATAAATTTCAATCAGAAAACAACATGAATTTGTAATGGAATTATCATACATTGAGCATTCCAAACATAGATTACATAAATTCAAAATTTGTGTATTGTGATAACATTGTATTATGTTGGAATTTGAAAAACTATATTCAATATACTGGAAAAAGATCAATATTCAACTTCGATTGAACAACAATATTCTTGCGAATCGAGCCGGCTAAAAAGCGATTACTCAAAGTCAAAATTAAATTCACTTTGTTTAAAAAATCGTGTCAAATGGACGATAAAGCTATTAAAAAACTATGTTGGTTTATGACAAATTGAGCTTGTGAGTGATACATTACTCTAGTTTGAAACCTATAAAGTATAATAAAATCCTATTATAAAAGGGCTCTCTCAGGTCAGGGAGAGCAGGAAAACCTGGAATCGTTGTAGAATTTTATTTTGCCTCTTAAACGCAGAGAATAGTAGGTAAAAATTGAAGTTTAAAAAAAAAAAAAAACTCTGGAAAATTTCTACATCATACCTGGAAAATAACCAGTCTCGGAATTGTCAGTAACAGTAATCGGTTATTGAGATTCAAGTTAAATAATTCTATCATCTATTATAACTATTTGTTGTAAAAATTTCATGTTTTATTGAAACTTCCATGCTTCTGTACTCATTCAATGATATTTCTTTGCTCACAAAATTTAATATTTGACATTGCAAATAAAAAATCAAAGTTGTCTGATGAAAAAATGCATGGTATAGATGAAATATGATTTGGTTTTTCATTGAAATTTTCCTGATTTGCCTGGAAAAGTCAAGGAATTTTTTCCCTGAAATTGAGTGAGAACTCTGATAAATATTGGGGTTGGACAAAAATCAGACCAAAATAGTGACTAAAACAATAATTGTTGAAAAAGTGATCGGGAACCACATGAATCTGTAAGATAAGTAGCTCAAATAAACCTTTTTTTTTTTTTAAAAAAAAAAGTATACTGGGACGCATAGTTCAATTACTGTTGTGACTACCGCTTTTTAACTTTTTCAAATTATTTAATTATAACTTAATATTTTATGGATATTTTATTTATGCTAACTACGTTTTCAGAATATGTAGATTTTATTTTCAGAACATTTTGCATCTGTAAATATGAAAGATTATGTCATTTTTTTCTGAAACATTATTTATTGCATTAACATTATTTCTAAACATTATTTATAGTTGGAGTTTTAAAGAATACTTTTTTATTCATTTAATTATTTATTTATTTTTAGTTGGTGTTTTAAAACATATTTTTATGTATTTTTAATATTTTTTTGACTTGCATCAGACTGACTATACGGACATTGATATGCTTACAAATTTGCATAAATTATTTTATAATTGTTATCCCTCTTTGATAGTACATATTTAATCTTTTTTTCTAATTTTTAGAAATGAAGAAGACAGAAATAATGCCCTTGAGAAGTTAAATGGTTATTTTTGGAAAGGGAAAAGTCTGTCAGCAAAAGTAATACATTTTTGTTATGTTTGTGAGCTTACATTATTTGGAAATATCATGCTTTAAAAAAATTATAATTAAATTGTTTTTTCTAATTAAACTTTTGTTTTAAATGAGATTTTTTTCCTAAGTTGAATTTATTTCAAAGCAGAGTTGCAAAAAACCCACTTACCCAGTAAAACCCGGGTGAATTTTACTGAGTAAAACCTAGGTTTTTCTAAAATTGGTTTCTTTTTTCTCCTCTGTTATATTAAAGAGCTATTCTATTGAAATACATATGTAGTCTAGCCTAAAAAAGTGAACCCTTGGTGAAAAAGCTGTGTTTGGAGACTGGAGAGTCACCTTGCTGGCTAGATTTGAGTGTATGGCCATTGAATAGTCAGTGCCTTTAATTTGCTTTCTATGAAGAAAAAAAAATCCTTAAGCATTTTTTTAAGATTAAAATATAAATAAAAAGTAATCCTGTGTTAAAATAAGTTTTAAATATATGATGTACTTATAACATTTTGTATCATGATGTCAGAAGAAACTTTTTTCAGACTTTTGCACCAATTTATTTGTATTAATTAATCATTACACTTTAATTACCTGTATGTTAAGTCAATTCATAAAATTAAACTTAATTATTAATATTAAAATAAGCATTTTTAAAAAGAGGATCAAAAAGATCAGCCTTTATCAAAGCTATTAATGCTTGTTAATTATATAATTTTCTAATTAGTAGTTAACCATGATTGCAGAATGGACGAGACACACATATAATCATTATTCAAAGTTAAAGATGAATATTACATAGGTTATAAAACTGATTTGTAAATAATTAATTTGAGCTATTCAATAACTAGGATTTTACTATAGTAGAAATTTTTATCTTCAAATATAGAAATTAAATAATCTGTGTGGATGATTTTTTTAAACTTTAAATGGAGAGCATGCTATTATATAGAGTGATAGGTTTGTTTATTATGGTTGCATTTGTAATTCAAATTTAGAGTCTTTCTTCTCTAAAAAATTTTTACTTAGTTTGATATGCCAGAGTTTAAATTTATTTAAAGAATTTATCTAAGCAAAGAAAGAATATAAGGGGCTGCCGATCTTTTCCCCCTGTTCTTTCCTATTATTTTCTACTTTGATATTTTTTTTATGACTCGAGGTCAAGTATTGCAACTGCACCTATTTTTCAATTCGTTCGTTTTGAATGAGGTGTGAGCAGTGGGTAGAGCATGAATACTTATTAGTACGTCAGCTTCTATGTCTGCTTTCCAATTCATGTTCAACTGGAGTGGATGAGAAATAAAATCGCACAGCATAAAGAGGAATAAGATTGTGATACATGTATTTTCCCTTCTGATTTCAATTAATGTTTTAGCTAAATGTTGAAACCAAACACTAGATAATATTAATAATCCTGTATCGGAATCACGGCCACATTGTTACAGTATGTTACAGATTTCTTGCAGAAAGATTTTTCCTTTGGGAAGTAAAAGATTTTAAATTTATATAAATATAATATATTTTTTATACAACTTGTATATTATATTAGTTATGCATCACAAATTTTATTGTTAAAGCCTCAATAAAAAGAATAAAATATCTGTCTTAGAGAATTTTTGATTTTCTCAACAATATTATTTTTAATTATTCTTTTTAAAATTTATATTGTCTATGTAGGGAAGTAGATATTTTTTATGATTTAAACTAATATTCCGGAGAATTTAAAAACTTAAAAGAGAATTTTTATTTGTTTTTCTGCTCTCCTCTTTTTTCCCTTTTTTTTTTCTTTTTAAAAAAAGTTCTCCTACTTTCCTTAGTATTTTCTGAAAAATTTGGCTGCTGTCCCTGTAACATTGATTCATGATAGTGATAATATTTATGGTATGAGTTATAGCCAAACCTCGATTCATGTTTCCCATAAACTAGCAAATTTCCACATTTAACCTTGAGAAAATCATTTCAGTAATATATGTATACATATATTTATATTTCCTATTTTGTGAAGGAAAACAGTAGTTCCTAATAATAAAAGTTATTTATCAGTTCCTAAATAGTAGGTAACTAGTTTATGTTGACTCTTTAAATTTCAAGATTATTGTAATTTCAATCTTTTTATCATAAAATGTGTCAAAAAAAATTGTTTTTCATTGTTTTTTATTTTTTTATTTGAATAATAAAAAAAGGTTTTGAAGTCAGCATTGATTAGCAATGTAAATTATTGTTTGTGGCTTTTATGAATCACAAATACAAAAAAATTAATACTTTGCCAAATCACAGTTTACTCAAATATAAAAAAATTTCTATTAAAAAAGGAACTTTTTAGAACCATAAATTATATATTATTATACACTTTGTATTCAAATTTGTTTCAAGACATATGTTTTTGCAAATCACTCTCTGAATATAAACACAATTTAACGTATTTATGATTTTATTATTTTAATGTGCACACATGTTAACCACATTAACAATAGTTTTATTCAGTTTGTATATAACTGTTTTGAACATGGTTATAAACGTGTGCATATTGAAAAAAACTTATTAAATTAATATATTTTGCTACCTAAATGAAATAATTAAAAAATTGAAAATGAAAAAAAAAGAAGAAAGGGATCAAATACATTTAATTCACTAATAAATGTATCACTGTATGTACTACAGTTTGTACACAGTACTTGTACTCTACAGTGTGAAATTTATTAAAAAAAGTGAAGAAAGTAAACTAGGACAATGTCTGCTTTTTATGTATTGCATTCAACAGTCTGAAACTAATAAATCAAAAAACAATTTTTACTGATAAAAAGCAGCCTCATTTTGGTTTCTTACTTCTTGTTGTTGCTGGTGATATTTAATTATCTGTTATTTTATTTTACTATATTACCTTTTGTTTCAATATGTTTAAATGATTATGTAACTCTTTTTGTTCTTTGTTCAAATCTGTATTACTTTTCTAATAATGCTTTTGTATAATTTAAGAAAGCGAATCCAGCTGCTGATCCTATGGCTCGAAAACGAAAAGCCGGTGACTCAGAAGATTGCATTGACTCTAAAAAACCTAAGGCAGAGGATATGTCTGTAGAGTTGAGGCTAGTTTCTTTTTTATTTGATTTATTTTCCACAATTTTATCCAATTTAATGTTAGTTACCCATAATGAGTTGGGAACTCATTATGGGTAACATTATGGATATAATAACTGTGTTTTATGATTGACATTAAAAAATACAGGTTGCTACTGAATAGATTCATTATTTATTAATAAATGCTTATTTATATATTAATAAATGTTTAATTATAACTAGGGAAAAGTCATCGAGCCAATCAATGTAAATAGAGTTTTTCATAGTTATTTTGAAATTAAAATAATAATGATAATTATAATTTTGCATCTTCATAATTTACACTAAACTAATTAATATAAGTAGCTGAGATAATTAATATTTTTATTTGGTTGAGCTATCTTTACACCCGAGCCTCGATGACTCATTAGTTAAGGTACTGAGCCGATCCATGAGTACCAGCTTGCATGGTACCCACAGCCTGTGTGCAATGCTGTTGCAGAAATAATTTACTTTTTATGTTTACAGCCATTTCCAGCCGTCCTAAAGCTCTGAACATTTTCATAAATGTGTAATTGAAAAGACGAGTGCTACTTTTTAAAAATTAACTTTTCTTTTAAATTAAAAATAAAAACTATTCAAACTAAACTACACTATTAAAACTTAAGTAACCGTTAACTGAAAAAATGATATTGATTTTTTCTTTTTTAAAAAGAAAAATATTTCTTTACAAAGTTGTTGAAGTTATAACTAATTTTAACAAATAATTATTATATCATCTTAGTTTTATTGATTTGTCAATAAATAAGTTCCAAAGTTAAACTTATCTTATTTAGAATTTTGCGTAATTAATTTACAAAAATAATTCTAAAATTAGGATAAGGATTAAATAATTAAAATATTTAAAAATTTGAGAAATTTGCGACATTTAAATAAAATTTTACGGTTATAAATTTTTTTGGGTTAGAACTTTTTAATCAGCCATTACTTTTTCAGATTGCTTATGCCCTATTCTGTAGTCCACCTTCTCTATGCTTTCATACCTTTTGGTCTGCTTTAAAACCCATTGTTTGGTGCAATGTGTCTTTTAGTACATGCTCCATCAAAACCAACTTTCAAATCAATTCTGTGTATTTTCTCTAGTCTCGTAACACCTTTAATAATATTTTAAATGGCGCAACAACAACCTTTCTGAATTTTGCTTATCTACAAGTGACTTTGACTAAATAGTGTTCATTATGTTACGTACTAGCTGAATACCCATTCTTTGTATGGGGTAAAAATAGGAAGTTAGTTTTCAATAAATCAGTACTGAGCAACACAATAAAAATATGCCCAATACTGAAAGACATGTGCTAATACAAATATAGTAAAATTAATTTCAATTTTTCTTTCTTATTATTTACAGCTCTTTCTGGATACATTATTTGACTAAGCAAAACACATTTTTGTTTAGCCCATCAAAATAATGATTCAATATCATTTAGCAGGATGTTCTTGCTTAAGGTGAACTCATGGTAATCAAGTTTACCCCAAAGCTTTTTCTGTTCATATCCATTTCGAAGGGGCTATAAAACCCTCTTTCCACAGTATCTATTTTAAAATTACGCAGTATTGCTGTTTTAATAGGTACCAAATGTACTAATATAATATTTTGTACCATATTAGTATATTTAATGCCTATTAAAACTGGACCGATTACCATAAATTTGTAAAATTAGTCGTCAAATCTTTAAACTAGGCTTAAACTATCTAATACTGAACATATTTAAATGTCATTTTTGACAATTAGTAGAAAACATAAAATTAGCAGGAAATTAGCATAATTTTGATAAATAAAAGTGCTTGGTCAAATGCTCACGTAGAAACAATTTATAATAGGGAAGCGTCTTTAGCAGTGTACAATAGCATTTCAGAAATGATATTTGGTTCCTATGCAGTTGTTAAACCTTATGAGGTATCATACCCCTACCTCCCCTAGAAGTTTGTTGATGTAGCAGTGATACAGATAAACTTTGTATAGTTATATCATGCATATACATTGTAAAATATTTTACCTTATTTTTTATTTATTTATTCTAGATTAAAGAATGCAGTCACTCCATACTGGAATGTTCCATATGAAGAACAGTTGAAGCTGAAAGAAAATGACATTCATAAGTTTTTAATGAAATTAAGTAAACATATTGAGAAAATGAACAATGGCTATTTACCTATCTTGTCCAAATTCAAGTGAGTGAAACATTTTCTCCATCACTATAATTAATTGCCTAATTTGTAATGCATATGTCTAGTTATTCCGATTTCGCCCTTTCTCTTCGACCTATGACAAACACTGCAAACTGATTTTTTTTTTAGAAAAATCCATACAGTAATTGTCTTGCTAAAACAAAACTTTTCAAAGACAAACTCTTTGTAGGGAACAGTTTTATAAATTTTATCTCAAAGCTTTTGGCTTAACATCACCATTATTAATATATGTTTCGCTTATAGAATTGATGTCAAAAAATTTATAGCTTTTAAAGGAAGATGATTCCCACAATGAATGCAAAGCAATGCAAAATTTTTTAATGAGACAATTTTTATAAAGTAGTATTTGAGAAATAAAATTAGGAGACATTGTTGATACCTTCAGTAAAATATCGATATTTTTTTATGGTTATAGTGTACTTAAAGAGTAAATATATTTTTTTTAATAGTTCATTTCATGTAAAAAATTTAGCACTTTAAAAAAAAAAAAAAGCTTGAAATGCACTGTAAACTAATATGATTTATTTATTATGAAACTGCTTATCTTTTATTTTAAATATTATTTTTATTTTGTTTCATTTTGATAACTTGATCTTGTTAGTTATGAATATTTTGGTAGCATTGTTATCACAAAACATTGAATAAATTTTTACCTATCCACCTCTAACTTACTTTGAGTTTTTTTTCATACAGCAAAATCTTCTCCCATGTTATTCAAAGGAGATATTGCGCTTGGCTGGAAATTTTTTGAGTGGATTTATCAAGATAGAAAATAATATAGTTAATAAATAAAATTAAAATATAGTTAATAACTTATTATAATTTTATAACATCATGATCATAATCATTCAATAAGTGCACTAATTTTATTTCTATTATAATCTCTCACTTTGTCTTGTGAAGTGTAGTTTTCAAACTTGTTAACAAACATAAAGTGCAGAGCTAGCTTTTTCAGAATTTGGAGCTGGTAGCTTTCCGTNTCTAATTGAATATTTTTGCTGCATCATCATATGGAAAATGTTCTATATCTAATTTTTCATTGGCTATTATATTTATTTGGCTGAAAAATATCCGTATTTGTTTCGTTTTGACCGTTTCTACCGACATTTGTTTAATTTTCATTTGTCCGTTACGGAGTAGAAGATGTCGCGTAGAAGGGATAGATGTCGGAGTAGAAGGTATTTGTCCATCTTACATTCATGCACAGAATATGCAAACGTCTTACATGAAGAAACCTTACCTACGGTGAACACGTGGTTGCAGAGAAATGTGTTCTGAAAGGAATTCCGTGGTTCGGGGGTGGTGTTCTGCTGTTCGCACCGGTTCTGAACAATACTGATAAATAGGGAACCTAAATAACAAGGACCGATGTTCAAAATAATGAAAGATCAAGGAAGAAAAGTGAAACGGATTTTATTCAAAATGGCAAGAGACAAAATTTTTTCCAAAATTCGTGCATTTTGAAATTGATTAATAGAGTGCGCGAACTTCTCGCGTTAATCATTTTTTACTGCGAGAAAAGAAAAAAATATGCGAGATTCTCGCGTTCTCGCGCTGTAGTGAAAGCACTGACTTATTATAATTTTATAACATCATGATCATAATCATTCAGTAAGTGCACTAATTTTATTTCTATTATAATCTCTCACTTTGTCTTGTGAAGTGTAGTTTTCAAACTTGTTAACAAACATAAAGTGCAGAGCTAGCTTTTTCAGAATTTGGAGCTGGTAGCTTTCCGTATTAAGAAACCAAGTTTTTCCTATGTTATTCAATATGACTGTAAATAAAAGCAGTTATGAAAGTTTATGATGTATTATTAGAATTGTCTCTAAAAGGGGGAACTTGACATAAATGTTTTTTATTCTTATAAAATTTTGTTTTTAGTGTTATTTAATTTTAATATATGTCTATTTTTAAAAAATATTTTTAGGAAAGAAAATAATCACCAGTGTTGTCCTCTTATACCTATTAAGCCTTCTCCTGTAACAGTTGCATACAGAAATAAAAGTGAATTCACTGTTGGAAGACATTTACATACAAAAGAAAAAACTGTTGGATTTAGACTCAGTGCATACAAAGAAGGCTCAATGAGTGTGGCTGAGCCAGATGACTGTATTAATATACCACCACAAATGCTGAAGGCAGTTAAGGTATATATTTTTAAGCTTTATAAAGGGTTTATTATAAGGCATATTTTTTAAGTTTAAATATTAGTTTTACATTTGCTAAATTAACAGTAATTTCAATTCAAAGAGATCATTAAATACTAGGAATTTGTGTTATCAAACTCAGAGTGTGAGAACATCAAAGATATTTTAAATGTAAGGAATATTTCTTAAGCTTTATAGATATTAGTATTAAATTGCTTGTTTAATGTTAATTTCAATCCAAAGAGATGCTAAAATACCAAAATTTGTGTTATCAAACTCATGGTTTGAAAACACATTTATTTAAAAATCTTTTTTTTTTAAATTCATGCTATATCTGTATTCATGTATGATCATTGCTTATACTGTCATTCTTTGTTAACTAAAATAAGCATATCTCTAATTCATCTCCCTTTGTAGCTTGGATATTATTTTAATAGCCTCTGTGTAAAGCCCATTTTAAATGAATAAAAAATTGTTTTGCTTCTCTAAAAATTTATGAATATAATATTTCTTTAATAGAGCTTTGAAAAATACATTAGAACTTCTGAGTTAGATGTATATAATCCTGAAACACATGGGGGCTACTGGAGACAATTAACTGTACGAACTTCAAATAACGATGACATATTGCTGATAGTTGTGATGCACCCTCAGTCCTTGTCAGAGGTAAAATATATTATTATTCTAGTTTAATATTCACTTTACATTTCTTTGTGAGGTATTTGTATGAAAATAAGAAATGTTTTATCATCTTTCTTCTTGTTTTTTTTTAATTTTATGGTTGTATGTTCCCATTTGATTTTCTTTTAGGAACAATTAGAAGATGAAAAAAGGAAATTAAAAGATTATTATGAAGCTGGTGAAGGTTCCACCTGTTCTATAACTTCTATATACTTCCACTTATTTTCAAAAAAGGCCTCTCATGAAGAAACTACCAATTTGACTCATTTGATGGGCAAAAAGGTAAAATTTTTTAAATAAATGCTATTTAAATATTCTTGTTTTTTTGTTAAGAAACTCTGTTTTATTTAAATATCTTTACTATTGCTCTGGTGACAGATAAATCTGTGTTGAGTGACCAAACCAATTCAGTTGTTGTAATTTATGTGCGTATTTTTAAAAAAAATCAATTCAGTTTTATCATGAGAGTTAATGTAACAGATCCAATGTAAATTAAAAAAAAAAAAAACAGATGTTATAATTATGTATTTATTGATTTCTCATGCATATTAAGAAATTTTTTTAGCTGGTATAATTTACAAATCCTGGCATATTATAAAATAGAAATCTTTGTGTCTTAATTTAGAGCTTTATTTTGATTTGGATTACTAGGTAATGTATGTATGTATTGCTAAAAGAATTATGTATTAAATCTAATCCATCAACAGAGCTTATATATAATGCAAAATCAGTTAAAACCTTTACTACAAAACAAGTAATAATAATGATGTAATTATCTTAGATAAAGTGATAATGTGTCTTTAGTAACTTGATCAGTCCTACGTTACTAAGTTCTATTAATATTTAAATATATTGTCAAGAAAGATATAAAAACTTTCTCCAGGGTCAAATCTTACCTTCTCTTAATCTAACATTGTTCATGTAGACACCTCGTTGCTGCAGGTCTGGACTGGCACCCTTTGCATTAAATAAAATAATCTTTGTTTCTCTGTTTTTGTGTTTTTTAAAAACCACTTTTGATTTACGACTATGTTATAAATTCAGAATGTGTTTAAACTGCGATCTAATAAAAGTCTGCAGAAATTTTCCTGACACAAGAAATTATTTTTAATACATATATTTTGGGTATTATATAAAGTATAATTGAATATAAAAGTAGAATAATATTGTATGAAATTAAATAGTATACATAATTCTAAGTAAAGAGAGCACCAAGCCATTAAATATTTTAAAAAATAGTAATTTAATGTAAGAAAAGTAATTTAATACAGAATACATGATCACAAAATACCTGACCAAAAAACTCAAAATATTTAACTTGCATTTATTTTAATAACTAGAATATTAATTTTTTTAAAATTTAATTCTATGAACAAATATTTTAATATTAAAATTTATGTTTAAATGGACTTTTGTATTATGTAATATGATAAAAAAAACATGAATTTTATGTCCCGTAGTTTTTTAATTATTTAAATTTATGTAAAAAATTTTCTGATAAATTTATTCTGATTTTCGAATTCTATTTTTTCTTCTTTAGTAATCAGTTTTGCAGTCTCTAATTTTAAACATTTAAAAGTTTTTAATTTTATGCATAGATATTACAAGGTTAACTGACAAAAAGGATTTAGTGCCTAAAACAATGATATTTATGTATAACAATTACTACCTACAATTGCTGTCAATATATCTGTCTAAATACTTTGGCATAGGGCCCTTCATTGGTCAATCTCTTCTACATGTGGCCCTCCACTCAAAAAGGTTGTGCTCCCCTACTCTATCTCAAGAATTTTTTAGGCGAATTTTAAAATTTTTACACACAATTATAAACTTCGTTTATCCAAAGATAATTCCATGCAGAAAGTAACTTTCAGTAACTATTTATTATTTTATTTAAAAATGGTTGAAAAAGTTTTGAATTGTAAGGTATATAATTTTTTGCAGCATTTTAAAGAATGTAATTTTATATAGCAAAATGAAAATTTGAGTTAAATCAATTGAATCGTTACTGAGAAATCAAATTTTAAGTATCTGACTCTTTTAAAATTCAATTTCTCAGGAACTATTCGACCGATTTTGCTTAAATTTTGTATTTTGCTATATAAAATTACATTCTTGAGAATGATGCAAAAAGTTGTATACTTAACTATTCAAAATTTTTGTGACTATTCTTAAATAAAATTATTAAATATAATAAATATTTACTAAAAGTTATTTTTTGCATGGAATTATCTTTGGGTAAACGAATTTTATAATTGCTTGTAAAGAAATTTTCAATTCGCTTTTCTCGAGATATAACGAAATACTTAAAAAGTGAAATTAACATTAAGGGGTTCAAACTTTGGATTGCTCTCCTGACTCTATCATGACTATATTTCCCAGATTGAGGCTACCCCCATATTTTGGAGGTCAGAAATCCGAATCTGCCAAAAAAAAAAAGGTATGTTTATTCGGAAAAAGTATGTTTTTGTGTCTGATTTCGTAACTTAAAATATCCTCTACATGTATCAGTTAGTATATTTGAGATCACCTCCTAGATTGATACTTTAAAAGTGAAGATTCATTCATTAGATTATAAGTTATTCAGGGTAGCCGTTTTTTTTGCACACTGTATGTATATATATATATATTAAAAATGGCTTAGCTTTCTTTTTTCTAATCTGTTAATCAGCATTTATGTTTTCATTTTAAGTTTTATGACATATGAATTTTTAGTTTTTAGAGGAAACTTTACTTGGGATGAAATTTCAAGTGAGTCCTGAGGCCTTTTTCCAAATCAATGTTCCTGCCACAGAGATTCTTTATTCAATGATTACAGATTTTGTTAATCCTTCAGCATCTTCGACTGTTTTTGACATATGCTGTGGAACTGGGACCATCAGTTTATGCCTAGCTAAGGTAATATGAAATTTTTTTGTTTTGTTTTATCATGTAATTATGTTCTGAACTGTTTTTTTTTTTTATCTTTAAATCTTATAATGAAAAGTACTGAATTTAATCTTCAATATAATGGTCTAATCTTCATAAAAGAAAAAAATTCATTTTTTTTTGAAAATTGACAAAATAAATATTTATTTTATATTGACAGCTAACCAAACATGGTCTTGGAATCTATGACAGCTTTTCAATTGTGGCTAGTTTTGATGAATATAAATTCTTTTGTAGTATCTTTGTCTTTTTTATGCTGATTTTTATGATAACTGAGGAATTATTTTACATAGGCTGGATGTAAAGTTGTAGGCATTGAACTTTCTTCTGAAGCTGTTGAAAATGCAAGAATCAATGCACAAGTCAATAGTAAGAATTGTTTTACATACCATATTTATAATAAAATGATTATGCAATATTTGTGAATTTTTCTTTCCATGGTATGAATTCAATAAATTCTCAAAGGCATTTAATGTGGTATCATTTTCAATGTTTGTATTAACTCTGTGTATAAATATTCAAGACGTGCTTAAAAGCTAACTAAAACTGTTTGTTTTTTTGTGTGTATTCATGATTAGAATTTTACATTAAGTTTATTATTTAAATTTGTAAAACTGCTTATTATATACTAGATTTAAAAAAAAGAAATGTTTCAAAAAGAAATTTTGTCTAATGCATTTTTGGGAATTCAATCATTTTACCACAACAACTACAAAAAACTTAGTTATTAATTTTACGTTATTAAGTTCTTTTATGGTGATGAATTAAGGGGTCATTCACTTATTTATTATTTTCAGCAAATGCAGCAACAAATCTTGTCGGGTGGAGTTTTGTAGTTTCACGATCTTCACCTGATATTAAAAATATTAGATTCCAATTAATAATACAGAAATCATATATATTTTTTAAAAGTGAATTGAATATTCATTCACTAAATTACTTTTTTACGAAAAGGTCAAGTGGCATATTCACTGTGTTTTCATTTCGAGATTGTTGAAAATCAACTTAAAAATTATTTGATTGAGGAAGTCTTGAATTCAATTACATATTTGGATACATTTTGGCTTAAAGAAATATTAGCTAATTGTCGTACTAATTATTTTTTTAATTCAGTGCTATAAAACTTTTCTATTTTTATTTATCCCAAACTATTATGAGTTTATTCAGTGAGATTAATAAAATTGTAATGGAAACTGTTAAAACTTCCTATTCTAAACAAAGTAATTCTGAAATTAAAAATAATATTTCATTTTAATTGTTCAATTATAATTTGTTATATTAAATCTTGAACATCAATTAATTATAATTTACTATATTAGTTAATTAAAGCTTTTGTCATTTACCTTTTTTCAAGTTGAGCTTTTACTGTATTTCAGTGCTTACTGTATGACACTGTAACAAAATATATCCCTTTGAAAAAATGTTTTGCATTATTGTAACAAACAAGAGTAATCATTACAATAAAACCTGTAAGACCAATAAGTCCGAGCAATTGTGTTCTACATATTTAGTAGCTAAAATATTTGAACGAAAATTTATGGTTCTAAAAGTTTTGCTAAGATGAGAACACTGGTTCTATGATGAAAATAAATGGTTTTTGTGTTGCACACTTTTGGGAAAAGGAAAAAAAATTCTTTATTTCAATCATTATTATGAGCAATTAATTATTAATAATTTATTTGCAATTATTAATGTTGCCGAATTCTTGGATACATTCAAACTTAAGTAACTTTGCACATTTCAAACTTGGTTTGCAAAGTGAAGTATTTAAGTTTGTGCAGTAACCATTAGTGCTTGCAAGTGTAAGAGTAAAGTCCACAAGTTAATTTAATTAAAGCTGGGATTTGTTATCGCAAAAGAAAGAAATCTAAATTCTTTTTTCAGTCCTGAACAGAGCTTACTGCTATTGTGTTCAAATTCTGGGTAGATTTTTGTCAATAATAAATATGGAAAAAGCACCTGAAAAATGTAATGAACATATCGTATTTAACTACTGAAAAGCTCACTCAAAAGCATTTTCTTAATTGAAGCATTGTAATATTTCTTTGGAAAAAAACCCTAAAGGAATGCATTTCACAAGAGCATATTTCTCACACTAATGGGTGCACATATTGTATTGAATTATTTATTGTATTTCAAGAGTTTACTATTATTAGGGTTTCCTGCATTCCTTTAAAACTGCGTAATTTATATTTTGAAAAATAAGGGTTTGGATAAAAATAGTCTTTAATTTTCAGTATTGATAGTTGTGGAAAAATTTTTAGTCTTAGACAGATATTTGAAACAAAAAGTCCCTCTTTCCTTCGCTTAGAATGAGACTTAACATTGAGGGACATTTGAGAGGGGAGAAAGAGAGTGCCAGAAGGGTGCTTCTGGCAAGAAGAAGAAAACACATGCCCTTTTTTCATTAATATATATGTTTTTTCATTGATATATTCTTGCCTTTGGCTTAGAATGAGACCTCATGTGCAGAATAAAGCATTCTGAAACTACAGAATAGAGTGTGAGGGAAGGGGAGTGGGTTACAGCACAGGGAAGAATTATGTATATTTTTTGGACAGTTCTAAAGTACTTAAGTAGAAGTTCAATATTGACCTGTAGAATCAACAGAATTCAATTCTACTGGTAGCCCACATGCCTATAAATAAGAAGTAATAGAAAAGCTTTTTGAGCTTGAGTTCATAACGGAAACTATTTCTAGAAAACGTGAATAATTAAATAAATGTGTATAATATTACAATGTCTAATAAGTAGTAATACTAAGTTTTTTGAAAGCTGTAACATATTTTAAAATTCCCAATTGTACTAAATACCAAACAGTTCTGTAATAAATGCAATTATATCAGTACTTTGCATATAATTAATTTTTATTTTATTTTAAACTATTTTTTAGAAAGGAAAAAAATTGGCATTGTTGTTGTGGATGTATATTTGATGATAATTAATTATTAAACTATTTTTAAAATTTCAAAAAGCTCTTAATTTTTGCTTTGATAAAAGAGTGGGAACTCTGATATTTAAGTTTATTTAATGAAAGAAAAGCTATGCATTACAAGATATTTTGTCAATTCTATAAAATAAAAGAATCAAATTAAAATTAATTCATAACTTTTGAAATATTTGTATAAAAAATGTTCTTTTTCTCCTTTTCAGCTTATTAACTGTTTAATTCAATGAAAAATTTTTAAACCATGACAAGATTATTTTAGTAAATTATACTAAAATTTATATTTTTATGAATAGATATATCCAATGTTGAATTCATTTGTGGTAAAGCTGAGGATGTGATACACACTGCAATAGATAAGTGTGATTCATCTGAAATTGTTGCAGTTGTAGACCCACCGAGAGCAGGTTTGCGTAAGTACTTGTTTCCTTTTTGCTTATCTGTATTTTGATTGAGTGTTATGAAACAGAAATATTTTACAAATAAACTAAAATTTAATCATAATATGACACAGTGTGTCCAAAATTTCAAGTAAATGAATAAACTATGAAAAAATCCTTTTTAACTCCTTAGAACAGTGATCGCTCTAATTAGTTTTCAAGTTATGCAAGTAACAGGTAGTTGTTCATTATACTGTTTAAACAAAAATAAATTCACGCTTAACATCTTTTTAACCCTTTAAATTAAGAAAGGGTAAACTAAATAATTTCAAATATGATAAATTTACTACTAAAGAATATCAAGACAATAAAATAAAAAAATTGGGTGAATAAAATTTGTTAGTGCTTTTTTAATGCTGAATTTATGAAACATTATCGTTTGACAGATGCATTTCTTATTGACTGCGGTCAAGATTGCTTTAACTGTGTTCCTATACTTATCTTTAGTTGTAACTAATCGGTATCCACTTAGACGCTCATGAAAAAGTAAAGCATCATTTTTGGAAATATATTAATTTTACACAGCATAAAATGAGTATATATTGACGAGATGTTCGACTTATTCTCCAGGAATAGTTTTTTAAAATTCATCAAGATGAGCAAAATTTGTGCGTTGGTTATACTTTTGCAAAATTGCTTATGGCCTTTTTAATTCTGTTGGCTCGTCAAATTTCACTTTTTTTTAATAATTGTTCCTTCATTTTTTTGTTTTTTATTTATACTTGACTCTAGGATTTGATTTTCCACTTCATCTTTTCGTATATTATTTTTAAAAACAATAATTCTAGATATAGAATGGAATAACAAGCTCTAATTTATTTTCACCTATGTTTTCAGTATAAATTAAAATTCATGGTTCATCAAGTTCTAGCTAAAAACTATCTAGATTTTCCAAATCTAAATCAGAAAATGTTTCTAGCTAGATCATTGTTTGTATCATTATGCATCGCTTAGACATTCTGCTAAGAGCAAGCAAAATTTATAAATTAAACAAAGGACATATTCTTTAACTTACTTCTTAACAACAAATTTATGGGAAGTAAAATAAATCAGAAGAATCAGAAAGGAAAAGCTATCATTAGTTGATATTAAGTTTTAACTCTATTATAGTCAAACAATCAAGAAGTATAACAAGCCCTGAAAACCATGGCTTCATCAGAAAAAATTTCTTTCAATAATTAAAATGTTAACAAAAGAGAAAAAAACTAAGCATGAGTGCATCTTTATCATCATGCACAGCTTAGAGGGACCATTAGATGAAAACGTAATAGATTCATTACAATAATTTAGATGTAATATTAAAAGATATTTCTTCTATAATTTATACATATGTGGCTAATTGAAATCTTTCATATTTTACACTTGTCTTATTTTAGATCAAAAAGTGATAAAGGTCATTAGATCTACTAAAAAAATTAGAAAACTAATATACATATCCTGTAATGCCGATGCAGCCTTCTCCAATTTGGTGTCGTAAGTATATTTCTAGTTGGTAATTTATATCTATTTTTAAGTTATTTCTGAGATTTCTCATAACAATTTAATCTGGAACTCTGTTTTAGACTCTGCAGACCCACTTCTAATAATTATGAAGGTATTCCATTTTATCCTGTTAAAGCTGCTGTTGTAGATTTGTTTCCATATACACCTCACAAGGAGCTCATTTTGATATTTGAAAGATATGATAACCTTGTAAAAGAATTTGGGGAATAAATATATATTTTTTTATTACTTTAGATTGGTTTTGTGTTTTTATTTCTTGTTGCAAGTCTTTTATTAATTGTGTCATTAAAATCCTGTCCCTGATACAGGTGTTTCAAGTTCATCTCATCAATGGCCTGAGTATTTATACTGTGTCTGGTTTGTATTGATCACATTACTGACATACAATAAAAAAATCATTACTTTTTGCCCTCATGCTAAGTTTGGGAGTACTAAGGCAAGTACTAATTTTATTCTAAATCCCATGTGTAAGTGTTAAATTAAAGGTTATTTAAACAGCAGTTTTGTTAGTATTAATTTTTATTAACTAGTTGAGTTGCAAAAAATGCTTCAGTAATTTTTTTATTGCGAAGGTAATAGCAGAAAACTTTTTAGTTATAAGTAACTAAAATATCATTAAAATAAAAATGAGATAAATTTGTTTAGAATTGAATCACTTAAACATCCAAAAACTCTCAAAATGCTGCATCATACTGTGTATATTCATTTCAATAAATTCTGAAAAAAAAAAGAAGACCCATATTAAAATTCTAAAAAACAGAGCATGAATTCAAAAGATTTAAAGAAAATTTTCTTCAATAAAAATATTTTGATTAAGGATCAGGGATTTGTCTCGAAACAAAAGATGTAATTTATATAATAGAATTTTTTTTTTCTATATGAAGAAAAGTCAGAAATGTATTTTTTTTTTTGAAGAAATGCATGTAAAATCTTTAAATTTGAAATGCAAATTTTACTTTTCAAACAAAAATCTTTTTTTTAAAAATTGTATTTCATTTTTTAAATTTTGGGGTAAATTCTCAGAAAGAACATTACTGCTATGAAGTCGCCTGGATAAATTAAAAGGTTTGCTTTTAGTAGAGTTCTAGAAATGCCTTAAACAATATAACACTAAGTACTTAATCCTAAACATTGATGAACCCTAACGGTTATATGATACAATTGACAAAATATATTTTCCTTATGTCCTTCAAGACTTGTTCTTTAGAGATGGAGACAGTATGATATACTTGTAGATTTTTGTTAAATATTATTTATAATGCAGCTTCCTCTATTTAGTACAACCTTAATTTCAGCCAACCTTCCATTATAACTACCAATACCTTAAATCGTGTTTTGTACTGATATTACTTTCACAATTTTTAAAATGGCTATATCTTTGTTTAATAGAATCATCCATTCAAATGTAGGACTCAAAACTCAGTAATTTGATTCATCAAAAGTTTCAAAGGAATTATAACCATTATTTGTTTTGGTGGTACTCTGTACATGAAACATTCTATATTTCCTTTGATTCAAGAGGTGTAACACACAACTATCTTAAATGGATATGATATATGGTTATAAAAAGACAACAAAATATGTAAATTACTTAACATTAATAATAAAACGTGTATATGGCACTGTCGTGTGGAAACTGGCATAAAGACCCATATTCATCGACATATGTTAAAAGGGTGCACCTACAATTTGTATTAATTTTTTTCGATGTGTAGGCTAAATTTATCAATCAAACTTTTATACACTTTTTCTGCATGATGTAAGTCCTCTTGAGTAATTTATTTTCAGGTTAAAATGTGGTTTAGCATGTTTTAATGTTAATTTGTCATATGTTATCAAAAATGGCTGCCCCATATATGTTATTTTTAATGCATTTTCACTAATAAATGATTAAATGTACGTGTAATTAAATATACTTATGAATATAGAAAAAAATAAGTTGCATTATAATAAATTATTATTTTAGTTACCTAATTCTTATTCAAGTAAAGCATTACTTTGTTTAAATAAATCTACTATTTTTCAGCCGAAAACAAACATTTATAGTTATATCTTTTTGCCCTCAAGTTATGTCTATTTTTGTACAGACAAGAGCTATTACAATGAGTCTACTGTATTAAGAATTTGAACAAGATTTTTCTTTGTAATAATACCAAAATTTTCACTATTTTTCAGATTCTTCTATTTTGATTTGAATACAACTAAATTCATTAGTAGTCATCTCGTGAAATCTTTATTATTTTAAAAATGTTATAATTTAAGAAAACTTATCATTCAAAAAAAAAACTTTTGAAATATTTAATGAAAGCCCTTATATTAAAATGAAAAACAAATTTTTTTTAAATATGGTATAACTCTATAGGCGATTTAAAAAGCTTATGTAATTAGTAATTCTTATGCTTAGCTGTTGTGTGGTAGTTTTAATTTCAAAATTCTAAATACAAAATATCTATTATATTTTTAAGGATATTTTATCATGAAATGAAAAAGATTTTATTCTAAATTATGAAGATCTTACCTGTTTAAGATATCCTTTAATAAAAAATAATGCACCTTTCTCACAGAAAAGATAAATATAAATAAAAACACTAAACAAAAAAAAGAGTTATAAAACCATCTAAAATAGATACTTTTCTGATAGCACCAGACAAATGGATTAGATCTTACACACTCATCAAAAACCAGGCAGTGACAAGAGATTTTGAAAAAAAGAAAATGAATCATAGAAAGAAAGAAACAAGAAAGCTAAGCATTTCATATCCTTTATATATTAGCTGGGTATTATATACTACTGACCCAGTCGTTATTAAAGCTTGGTGACCAATATAAAAAGACTGATACTCAGCTAATGGAAAGTATTAAATGAAGTCCTCAAATTTTTGTAAATTTGGTTTATTGTAGTATATATGATACTTACATAAATACAAATTAATCATTTTTATAATCCAATATAAGTGAGTACAAGAGTTATGTAATATTCATAGAAAAACTCAATACAATTATTTACAAAATGCTAAGTTATGCATAGCTTTTTTAAATATATTTCATTCTAAGTAATCAAGTTCTTCAGGTATTCCAAACTGTTTGTTTAATGTAGATTCTTCCATGAAGAATTTTTTCTTGCACCAGGATTTAATGCCAAAAATATTATCTGTCCACCGATTGGCTGCTTCTGTACTTTTTACTATATCACTTTTAACTTGTTGCAAAACTTCAGGATCACACTCTTTGTGCTTTTCAATTTCTGACTTAAGTTCCTTAATAGTATTTTCAGCAAGAACTAATTCTTTTAAAATAGTTTCCCTGTTATCAGATTCTTCCTTGCCAGACTTTGCTGTTTCAATTTGTTTATTAAGAAGTTTGATTTTCTTGCGAGCTTCATCTATTTTACTATTCAAATCTTCAATCTTTCTCTTACGATTGTTATGGGCTTTGCTTGGAAAAGCCCAGAAATAAATGCTGGTGCCTATCTTTTCGCTATCTACCAATCCATCATCAACTAGTGATTGAAGGACATCTTTGACTGATTGTGCAACTATTCCCTTTTCTTTAGGAGCTAATTTCTCCAGGTCTTTTAATTGAAAAACGTCTTTTTTTTCAAAGAATATCTCTTGCATTTTGGTTCTCTTTTCTTCGACACTGAGTCCTTTCTTTCTCGACATTATTAAAATATCGTCAGCAACCTTAGAAACTTTGATAATAATATAACGTCTGAACACAAATTAATGCAGAGGTTTACAGCTTAATTAAAGACATAGTTTCATTCACAAAATATGAATTTTTCGAACTATATCATAAATCGAGACAAATTATCGCGCACTTTTTACATTTGTTTTGTTTATTTTTCTTAGACGTATTATGGTTACAGGCAAGAGAATTCTTATTAGTGACGTGGAAAGTATTATTTTTATTATTTGCGAAATTAAAATTTTAGTCAGATGAATCAATTTATCAAAATTAGCTACAATTAAAACCTCTTTATGTTAATTTCTTTCAATGAATGAGTGGAACAAAAATGAATTACTTTTCAAAAGTGGGTTACAAGCTGTGTGATGAATCGAAATTCCTGTGTCAGTGTTTGTTTTGAAAATCAAGAGGGAAGAGTCTCGTCGTCTGTCAATTTTTCTGACAAATTTCTTAAATTTCTTTCATTTTGCATTTAAAATGGATTCTGAATTAGCTGAAGAGCGACCAGTGAGCCCCAAAAAAAAGCTGAGGCCAAATTCGTCCTCAAATTCTGAAGTATCTAATTCTGACAGCATTTTAAATGCCACTGATGAAAAAGGTGGTGATTGGTTTAAAAACTTGAAGAATCGTTAAATATTAAAGTAATATTTAAAATAATTATTTTAATATAATTTTTTTTTCAGATTCTGCTGGTTCGGAAACTAATCTAATTTCTAATGGATTGGCTCCTACTAGGTAAATCCACAAGTATTTGATCTTTCAACTCTTTTTAAACGTCTTAGAGCCGATAATGTTTCATTAATTAATGATAATTTTTTGTGACATGATCAATAATTTATTCTAATTAAAAATGATAATTATTTTTACTCTGATTTTTATTATGAATTAGGGTCGACCCTGATAAATTGTTGTGTGTTTAATTGGTTTGCTAATTTTTTTTTTTTAACTTTTCATTTGTGGCTTGCATGAATTTTTCAAAAATACAAATGTTGTTCTTTTAGAAAGCTGTGATCACAATATATTGAAATAAAACGTCTCTCACATTTGTTTCATATGATATTAAAGGTTCAAATTATAATTCATTCTTTTCTGCAAAAGTTTTTCTATGATTAATGCTTCGTTTCATGCTTATTCTTTCCATTGTAGTGTAGCGCTAATCTGATAACAAAAATTCAACTAATTTCGAACAACAAAAAATTCAACAAATGTTATAAACCACTAGAAATGTAAAACTGATTGCTTTTAATTTTTTTTAGAACAGTGTTACCAGTTTGGCAACTCTAATTCATCAACTATTAAAAACCCCTAGAGATTAAAAACTTATTGTTTTATGCATTTAGCAACCACTTTTCTTTAACCCACCGATTTTTCTGCACTTAAAAAGTTTTATTTTAACTTGCAGTCTTCCCCGCGTAGAAAAACTTGTTTCTCAGTGTTATTGTGGAATGCAGCAAAATAATTGCCAAGTCTTTACAGCTCCTGAACAGGAGCCCAAGAGAAACTGTAAAAAAAAAAAAAAAAAAAAAAAAAAAAAAAAAAAAAAAAAAAAANAAAAAAAAAAAAAAAAAAGGAAAAAAAAAAAACATTACAGTAGTGAACTACCTTGAAGGGCTTAACTTGTAGCCAAGTAAACTTATACATGTTTTTTTTTTAAATTTGAAAGTTAAAAATACATTTGGGACTCCGGCAATTCTTTGGCGCAACAGATTACGATACAGGAATACTCCCAAATTTAGAATGCCGACATTTACAATGTATTTTTTTTAAAATTAAAATTGCATATACTTTAACATAATCTGATTAATTATTTAAAAAGTAACATATCAGTTTTTTTCACGATAATAACTCTTATTAAATGTTATTCAATTTTCAATGTTTTGAAAAATGTTTTTAATGATTTTAATTGAGTCTGTTAAGAGTTTGAAAGAAACAGATATAAGAAAAATTTGCTTTGGTTTAAATAAGAATTTCTTTTTATTATAAATCTACTCTATTCATTGTAAAATACTTTTTTTTTCTATTAAACAGGATCAATTTTTTTAGTAGTAGCTTGTCATTGTATTTTTTTGTTGTTATTTTTAAATCAATTATCTTCCCTATTGTACTTGATGAAAAAAAACTTCATTTGCTTTAAAACGTTACGAAGTAGGCAAAAGTCAATATGTTTGAAATGCTCACAAATAGGCAATTAATACTAAAAGGTCTTTATATATTTGGCAACATATATAAAAGACCTTTATACAAGTTGCAAAATAAGATTAGCTGTTGTCAATCACCAAAATTGTGTTTACTTTGTGAGAGTACTAGCAACTGAATTTACAGAATAATGACCTGTAGTTACAGCTAGCTAATTTCAAAAAGAAATTTCTGATTGGTGCTTAAATCTTTCAAAGAAACCTCCAGCTTCTTTGATTGGATAATACAAACTTAACAACAGTAACAGGGTTGCCACTCTACAGGGAGAATAGGGAAAACCTTAAAAATATAGGGAATAAAAAAAAAAATCACCCAAAATAACAGAGAAAGTGCAGGGAATTTAAGTTTTTCTATACAAACTTTGAAAATGCAGGGTATTTTGTTTCTTATTTTTGTCTTCATAAAAATGGTGACCACTCAAAGTGCAACCTATGGGATAATTAAGGAAGATATTTCAGCTATACTTAACTATTTCATTTACTATAGCCTTATTTAACTATGCTCTGCTGTTTTAATTTTTTCCCTCCAAGTTTTTCCAGCAATACAAACTAGTATAGTTAGCCCAATATAGCTCACACAAAAGCACAGTAATTATGTTTCCACTTAATATATTTTGTATAATGTATGCAGGGAAAACATGCGGAATTTTTTTTTCTAGATTTGAGTAGCAACCCTGAGCAAGTTGTTGACAATTTATAAGTTTGTTTTCAATCATAAACCTTGAGGTGCAACAGTACGATGTTCTGTGAGGCAAAGGTGCAAAAAAAATTCTCAGTGTCTAGTATTTTTTCAGAGCGTTGTAAAAATTCTTTTAAAATATAGTATACCTACTTTGTTTGGTTAAAAAATTTTTTTTTTTTTCAAAATAGTTTTAGAAACTAAAGTTTGTTTGTTGTATAAATTTTTTAAGAATATTTTCTTTAACAAGGAAAAAAAATGGTTTGATTTTAAAAATTTTTTGAATAAACTACTGCATGTGTTAAAAATAATAGAAATCAAAATTTATTGAAATAGTAATAATTTATGGAACTAAATTTAATATTAAACCCAAATTTTCCTCACTGTTTGATTTTTAAGATTTAAAAATTTATAAATTTAATGCAAGCTAACATTGATTCCAATTTATATTTCAAATCCAATTTATAATTCATGAAATGCAAAATAAATTGGATTTATTTATTTTAATAATCTTGTATATTCTGTTGAATAAAAATCGAAATTTGCTGATGGCTTTCAATTTTCTGGACAATGGTTAGAAGGAAAAAATAATAGTAGGTAAAATATTCTATCACCTCTCTGAAAAGAAAAATAGAGAACAAAAAAAAAGTAAACCTAAATTTCTATGTTTTAAAGTACCCTGACAAGGAAACTTTCATGATGAGTGGAAAACTGCTCTAAAAACTCAGTCCAAGCCTGTCTGGTACAGGATATGGCTACTATATGTTACTATTTAGGGCTACTAGTTACAATCATTTTCTATCTTGGAAATTCAGTTGGTGTTAACATAAACAAATAAAATTCAAATTCTCGCTGATTTTTCAGTTACTAACCCTGGTCCATAGCAAGTATTATATACTTCTCTCATGAAGATAGTTGATACGAAACTATAAAAGGTTTATCTGTATTGTTTTACACCTTGTAACAGTTATAAACAGGGTATCAACACACCTGGAAAGTCATGAATGTTGATATTAAACAAAATTTGTCATGAAATGTCATGATTTTTACTATTTTTTAAAGAAAATCATGGAAAGTCATGGATTTAGGTCGCTGAAAAATTTAATTTTTAAAATGCAATTTAAAAATCCCCCCCCCCATTTCATGGTCTTCCGAATATCTGAATTTGTAATAAAATCCTCACTTACAGTCATATTTTATTAAAATATAAAATGTTTTTATTGTGCTGTTTGAAAGTTATGGTATTCTTTCAAGAAATGAACGAAAAAACATCGTTTCTAGAGCGAATTATCTTTTAAACTTCTGTGATTTCAGAATTTTTGTTATTACTTATTTTTTATTTTATCATATATTCTAGCTGAAGCAAGCCAGTCATTGGCAAATTTTTTTAAAATTCCGAAATGAGAACAGAAAAATCAGGAGTATTTCTTTCCTTTCGGATGAACAAGAAAAGTATCTTTAGAATGTAATTCTGCAGAAAGAAATTATTTGCTTTTGTATTTTTTTCAGCTATTTTATTGCTTCAACTCTTTCTTATCTCTGTTTTTTTTTTTTTTTAATTTAAAATCTTTATATATGAAGATGCAGAGTATAACAGTTTTAGTTATACCTATCATTTCAATTTATATTATTATAATGCTTTTTTAAGTTTCTTGTGTTTATGTCGGAGAAAATAGTAATTTCGTTAAGTCATGAAAAATTCTAAGAATTAGTCATGAAAAGTCATGAATTTGAAAATCTGAAATGTAGCAGATACCCTGTATAAATCTTTGCTAGTTTAACTTGAAAAATTCCTGATTCTTGACTCAAAATACTCTTTATCTTCTGAGATGAAGCTGGGTTCAAAACTATAAAAATAAGTAAGTTGAAAGCATTTTCTCAAATTGACTCCTTTTTATAATGGTGTTCATAAACAGCGATGATTAAAACATCTCCCTTAAATTTAAATGTCAGTAAAAACATTTTTATACATTGTCATTAAATTCTTGTAATATAATTTCCATTCTTGCTCTTATTTAGAACTGGCCGTGGTGTTTCACCCATTTCATCTACTTCAAATATTGTGTCTTCTCCTGCAGAAAGAGACAGTGGGTCGTCGTCATCTCAAAGTAGGCCAACTAATGCACAGTATAGAGCTTCAAACATACAAGAAGAGGAAGTTTCTAGCTCTGAAAATGCTGTTTACAGAAAACAAACTACAAATTTTACTGAAGGTGATGCAGATTCCTTAACAAATGGGGATGCAGATGCAGTGCCACTCATTAGAGAAGCAGATGCAAAGTAGATTTGTTATCGCGACCTTTTTTTAATGGAATATTTTGTTACTTAAGCAAAATATAAAAGTTTTTATATTGAAATTTTTTATAACACGTTTTTAATTTTACATTTTATATTTGTATAAAAAAAAAACTATATTTTCATGGAATTGTGAGATTTTTGTAAACACTTTGTTTATTACCCTGAACAATCGCTATTTTCTCATTTTTTTTATTTTTCTCTAAAGGATCTTTACTAAACTGTGAAGTTTGATATTAAATTAATAAACTATTTTTATACAAGCCTGTTTTGATATAATTGATTGTTTTTAATTATTTAAAAAAGTTTTTAAATAGTCTATTCTTTTTACAACACAGCAGAATTGGTAGTTGTCCTGATTTTCCAGTTTCCTGTTAAAATGTATTTTGTCCTTATTTGTTCTTAATTTTAGCTTTCTGTCCTCACATATCTGATTTTTATGCGTGTCTAGAACATTCAGTTTTCTACCAATACAAATGCATATTTTCAAATAATCAATTTGCAGAATCAAAAAATTTGGTTTTTCAATCCAACATTTCTTCTATTTAAATAAATAATGTTTAAAAATAAATTTAGAATATTATAATTATAAATTTGGAAATCATTCACTAATTATACACATATACCTGTAAAATCGGCCTTCAACCTTTTAAAATTTCAACCATTTCATGAAAAAAACAATTGAGAATTTTACTTTGCCAAATTTTTATAGTGAGGAATTCGAGGATTGTATTTATTTATTTTAGTTTCAGCAATCGCAGCAACAAATCTTCTATGGTGGAGTTTCTTAGTTTCAAGATTATTGTTTTGCTTTTTACATCTGATTTTAAAAATGGATTCAAATCACTAATGTAGTAATCTTATAAAATTTTTAAATGGTGAATTGAGAGATTATCTACTAAATTTCTTTCGTAGAAAAATGTTAAGTGGCATATTTACCGTGTTTTGGTTTCAAGATAATTGGAACCTTACTTTTAAAATTATTTGATGAACTTGAGTCTTGAACTAGATTATAAAATTTACTTGAATACATGTATGAAGGAATAATAACTAATAGGTATTAGTTATTCTTTTTGATGCAACAGTATTGTAAAAATTTTCTATATAATGATCATAAATTATTGTGAGCTGCTCAGTGCACTCAATTATTTTAAAATCTTAAATTCTTCCATTCTAAACATAGTCATTTTGAAATTCAAAATAGTATATTTTATCATTCTTTTGGAAAATAATTTGCCTTTATTGTACTTAATTTGGACAAATTATACTTCTTTCTGTTTGTCATTTGCCCTTGTATATGTATACTATTCAAAGTAATGATCTGATTTTTGTCCTGATTTTTCTAAAATATAATTTCGATTACGTACAAGATCTGGCCCTTTACGGGACATGGCATAGTAGCAAATTCTGACAAAACAGGTTTTTTTATTTTTAAAAACTGATTATGCTAATTGAACAGTTACTTATAGTAAATTTTAATAGACAATGCATAATAAATGAAAAAACAAAAGAATAGTTGCAAAATATGCTATATTAGTTATTTTCATCATTATTGTTGAGATTTTGGACAGAAAACTGGTGATTGATTATTTCAAACTATTCAAAATTGTATTAAAGTGTCCATAAAAAGTTTTACCACTTCTCTTCAAATGTAATCATTATGCACTAATTGTATTTAAAAAAAAATTTTCTGACATTAAATTTTAAAAATTAGTTCAATATCATTTTAAAACTCACTGTTGCATTTTTAAGATTGTATTAAGCACAAAATGTACAGTTTAAATTTATTTAACATAAATTCAAATAATAACTATAAAACTGCAGTTCAATTACTAATTATTTTTATTTTTTACAGTATTTGCCATTTTTTAAAATGTAAAATATAGTTTATATTAACCTTCAACATAATACTTAATATTATAAATGTCAGTGCCAGGTATGCTATCAGTTTTATATATTTGTGACAAAATAAATAAATATATTTTTTTGATGTTAAGAATATTTCTTCTAAATATAATCTTTATAGGTTTTTCTTTAAAATATGTTGTCCGTTTCTTCTCATGAAATAGTTTTCAAAAGATTGCCATTGTGCACAAAAATTATCAAAATTTTCCAAATTGTGTACCTGGAAATAACATATAACCGTGCTCCGTTAGCATTATTTAATAAATTTGGTCAAGAAATATGAAATAAAAATTCAGTGTTATCTTAGCATTTTTCATCTTGTAGAAATTGTATTTTATAACTGGCAATAATGATGTCTCCAATGCTTTTGATATAGTATGTTTTGGACTTAATATTGAAATATTAAAACTGGTGGGAATATTTATTAAAATATCTTAAACAACACTCAGGAGAATCAAGCTACACTATTCGAGCTGAATGAAACTTTTCTCTTTGAATAAACTGCCTGATGAAAGGAGGGTTGCTTTTTCCCCATCGCTTTAAGTTAAAAAGTTTCACAATAATCTAATAATATGGAATTTTGGTAGCAGTTTTTAAAGGAGAAGATTATTTTCATTTTTTCTAAAATCAAATGTTGACAATTGACATACGTATCAAATTCTAGTGAAAGGCCTTTAATTTGGAGGGTTTGAATTTGATAATTTTGAGCTTTGAGAGATATCTCTTAACCTTTTTTTAAATTTCATAATTTTATTGCCCTTAAAAATGTTTTGCAATGTTAAATACTTTTCCTAAAGTTTTTTTTTTCTTTCACCAATAGATTATACTATATTTTTTAATTCATATTTATTTTGCTAAGAAATTTTCAAACTTTTGCTCTCAAATATGAAAAATGGGTTTATTTACTACAATTCTAACATTACTGCTAATTTAACATTAAAATTTGATTAATAATACTGTAAAAAAATTTTTTTGTTGTTGCATATGTACAAATGCTTGGTTTTGCCCGATTTGGGTGTAAGGTTTTCAAATCTGAAATTATTTTGCTCCTGAAGCTCCTAATATTTTTGAAAATGACATTTTAAATCTATTTTTTGTCAAAATATTCAAGTTTAAAAACATAATATATACAGAGAGATATAAAAAGAGGATCACTTATTTGTTGCGACACACTTCTGGGGGAGTTAAGGTACATCATGATAAGAATTGCATAAGAACCCTATGTATAGAAATGTCATCGCACATCGCTATGGGCACTACCCTATTATGACCTGTTCAGAAGCAAGCAAAGAAATAGTTCATAATTGGGAAGCACCCTTTGTGGCATGTAACGACATTTTCGGGAACTTGTACATTTCATCAAAAAATGGACTAAAAATGTCATTAAAAAAAAAACTGTATCTTGGCAAGAGATACAGATTTGAAATTATCAATACGAAAATATTTAAGACCTGTTAAAAAATCTGATGCAAGAAAAAAAAAGTTTCCTTAATCCTTTAATTAATAATAAGTGAAAAGAATTTTAATTTTAGAATGAACAAAACTTTGTAAAAAGCTCCTAGTATAAGTTTTTCTTAGACAAAGTTATGCGTTTCAAATTTATAACTTTTCCCCTTGTATATAATTTATATCTGTATTAAACTTCAACCTGTACTAATCATCTGTACTAATGTTCAACTTCAAATCTTGGTTTGCTATGCAGTATCCATATTATTCAAAAACTTAAAATTGCTATTGTGGAAAAGTGTACAGGGAATACGATGGAATAAAAACATTTAATTTTTGAGAATTATTTACTGTTAAGCTTGTAGTAAAAAGAACCATTAAAGTTTAGAATGCTCAACATCATCTTTTACTACCGTCATGTGGGCTACTTTGTGCAGCGGGGGCTACTTTGTGCAAATTCGAATTTGGCACTTTTCAAGTGCTTCTATTCAGTATTATGTTTTTTTCAAGTTAAAAATGTGTGGAATTTGAAGATAGAAGTCTCCTCTATTACTACAAACATTTTTTCGAATTTTAAAACAATCTCAGAGTGTGTTTTGTTTATCCAAAGACAACAACTTTCCGAGAACGTCGGACGTCGAAAAGTGTGCGTGGAAACTTTAGCTGTGAAATGCGAAGACGTTGATTAAATAACTGTCGTAAGTGCAAATTTTTTTATTTGTATATTAATAAACAATTATATCAGGTTAGCGTTAAAAAANCTTATACAGGTGGATAATAAGCATGTTGCATATATACAAATGCTTGATCTTGTTCGATTTGGGTGTAAGGCTTTCAAATCTGAAATTAGCTTTGCTCCTAAAGCTCCTAATTTTTTTGAAAATGACATTTTTAATCTATTTTTTGTCAAAATATTCAAGTTTAAAAACAATATATGCAGAGAGATATAAAAAAGAGGATCGCTTATTTGTTGGGACACACTTCTAGGGAAGTTAAGGCACATCATGATAAAAATTGCATAAGAAACCTATGTATAGAAATGTCAATCGCACATGGCTATGGGCGCTACCCTGTTCAGAAGCAAGCAAAGAAATAGTTCGTAATAGGGAAGCACCCCTAGTGGCATATAACGACATTTTCGGGCATGGGTTCCAATTTTAATCCTGATGATGTGCTTTAAGTCCCTTAGAAGTTTGCTTCCATAGAACTCTTATGCGTCCCCTTCTTTATATATTACATGTTTAAATTTGTACATTTCATCAAAAAATGGACTAAAAATGTTATTTTAAAAAAAATTATCTTGGCGACAGAAACCTATTACAGATTTGAAATTATTGATACAAAAATATGTTAAAAAATCTGATGCAAGAAAAAAAAAGTTTTCTTAATTCTTTAATTGATAATAATTAAATGAAAGGCATTTTAATTTTAGAATAAACCAAATTTTGTAAAAAGTTCCTAGAATAAGTATTTCTTAAACAAATTTATGCATTTAAAATTTCCCATTTCCCCCTTGTATACAATTTATATTTGTATTAAAAAATCGTAAATGACAATACAGCGGTTGTTGCGTTTTCAACTTCAAATCTTGGTTTGCTACGCATTATCCATAAAATTAACAAACTTAAAATTTTGTTGAAAAATGTACAGGGAATAAAAACATTTAATATTCGAGAATTATACGAGTTCGAGAGTTATTTACTGTTAAACTTGTAGTAAAAAGAACCATAAAAGCTTAGAATGCTCAACAGCATTTTTTGCCATTTAACTATGCATTCCTTGTCATTTTCTACATTATGTTCAGAATTGCTTTTGATCGTTTTCTTGTTACAGATTTTTATAAATAATATAAAATCGTCTGTTACTGCTAAAAAAAAAAAAAAAAAAAAAAAAAAAAAAAAAAAAATTAAAAAAAAACTCTCAGAGTTGTAAATAAATTATTTTATTGCACTTATAGTTCCCCTCTGCAGAGGATCAAAATTGTGATGGCATGTCTTCGGATCATCCTCAGGGATGTTTCCCAGACCGTCGCCAATAGCCCATTGTGCAGCTCTAGTGCGACGTAAATCAACAACAACAACAACAACAACTTATAGTAAAATACACAAGAAATAAGCTCGGTGGATATTTAATTGGTGCATGTGTAACATACCTACTAAATAAAAAATATTCTTGCTTATAGGAACATTATTTTCATAAAGTTTATAGCAGATAGGGCCCTACTAAATCCCTTCTATCTTGATCATGGTAAGGCATATAGTCACATGAGGGATAACTGTGATACATTGCTTCAGTCATATTCTGTAGATTTTCAGTCATATCTGTGTGGACGGAATTATTTGATGTTGTAGAACTGTTGCTGCTATTGAGCCTATTGTTGACTATGAAAGGCCATGTCTGGAAAAAAAAAATTAAACTATATTAAATTTATGGGACTAAATAGTTAAATAATTTAATCTGTTAAGATTTTTAATAAAATATTTTTTATCTTCTATGACTTGGTTTCATCTGCAGAACATATAATTTTTTTTTGAATATTTCACATCTCATTTGAAGGAAAATTGAAGTTGGATAGGGGGAATAAACAGTTTTTTTTATAGCTTTTGATCTAAACTAATTTTAACTCGTATCTGCATATAAGCATTACTTTGCACTTTCGTGTCAAAACGGTGGATTTTTTGTTGTTGTTGATAATGAGTTATTAAGCGTAATATGCAAATGACTAATTTATCGCCATTTTATATTCAGTGATTTACTCTAAAATGAGGAATTTGTTTTAGCAGACTTGACTGATTTGAATTAACTATTTAAAGTGGCTGAATGAAATTTCACCAATTTCAAAGTTTCTATAACCTCAAATTTGATTTAACAAATCAAAAAGAAGAGTCTTTGTATTTTAAAAACTGTGCAGTTACATAATAAATTCTATAAGTTATTTACTATGCTTGTTTAAGGTAATATTATTTTTCAATTCTAACTTGCTTCATTTAATTTCATGAAAAGTTTCACCTCCTGATGCCAGTTTTTAAAAATTGATAAGTATCCAATGTCAAATTTTTTTTATAGTCTTCAAAGTGATTTGAAACAGCAATATTCTAATCTATATGTAACTATCAGCCATTAATAATATATATAAATAACTATCAGACATTTGTATTGGTAGCTGTAGGCTACGCATATTAAACAATCTACAACTATTAAACAATGTAAACTTACAAAATTTAGTAAATAAATTTTTTTGTCAACTTAATTGTTCTTAAAAAATATACTACTTTTTCTTCTACGTAATTATAAAATCTGGTTGACAAGCATTTTAGCATACTAACTATATTAATAAATAGGACCTTGAAAAATATGATTTTAGGTCCTTGAAAGTCACTGGAAAATGACTGAAAAGTCCTTGAATTTTAAAAAAAATAAAATAAAATTGAGTGGGAACCCTGAAGTAGCAATCTTAATTGTTTCAGGATTCATTTTAAATACGATAATTATTTTTAGTAGATAATTAATAAAGTAGTTTAAAAGAAATCAGACTTAAAAATCAATATTTCATTTCAATAAACATTCCCCCTTTTTATCAATGATTTTGACACTCAGAATGCCACAACTTTTGGAACCTAGAAAATGTGGTTCCAAAGAAGCGATCGATAGATAGTTTGAGCACCTTAATGTTATTTATATATTTTGCATTTATTGCTACTTCGAATTAAACTTCATGATCGCTATTTTAAAGCTCATTCACTCAAAGATATTGATTATCAGCAAAACTAATTAACATGATTGCTTAACTTTATTAAAACTTGATTGCTTAATTTGATTATCTGCAAACTAATTTTTTGCAGGTACTCTGCAAAAAATTATTAATCATCGAAATTTATATGATTTGTATTGTTACATTAAACTTATAAATGATGCAGTTGTAGTTCATTTACCTCGCACTAGAGCTGCACAATGGGCTATTGGCGACGGTCTTAGAAACATCCGTGAGGATGATCCGAAGACATGACATCACAATTTTGATCCTCTGCAGAGGGGATGGCACCCCCGCTTCGGTAGCCCAACTACCTGCACGCGAAGTCGAGCACTTTACGGTAGCACAGTTTAACGAGGACCAATACCGCACACCCTCGGTCCCTACGCAGACTGATCCAAGTGGTCACCCACCCGCACACTGCCCGCAGCCAGTGATGCTTGACTTCGGTGATCTGCTGGGAACCGTGTCTTAACGATCAGTCCACTGCGGGACCTTATAAATGATCAAAAGAAGAAATAAAAGAGTCATAAGATGTAGATTTGTAGAGTGCGACGAGCTCTTTGCTTTCGCTTACAGATCTGTATTTAGGATGTAGACATTTTCATATCTTATTAAATTGTTATATGTGCCGGCCTGGTGGCCGAGCGGTAAGCGCGCCTGACTGCGAAGCCAATGGTCGCGGGTTCGAATCCCGCTCTGGGCATGGATGTTTCTCCCTCTTGTGTTGTTCTCTTCTGTGTTATGTGTGAATGTGGCCCACCCTATGAATGGGTTTGTAGCAGTGAGGCGTGGGCAATGCTCCGTGACTTTGGTTCACAGGTGTCCACTGGGTAACGCGAAATGAGTAATACCTCTGGCATCTTCTAAGGCGAAACGAATAAAGTTCAGCGCCTGCCATTCGGGAATTTTTTTTTTATATATATCGTGATATGATATTGAATAAGATATGAACATTTCTGAATATGAATTTGAAATAATAAAATGGATGATTGAAACGAAATGGTTAAATGGCTTTCTTACCGCAAAATTTAAGAACGTGATTTAAAAAGAAAAAAATTCTTTGGATGTATTAAATCTATTTCGTACTAATTTTGAATTTTATCATTTCAAATTGGGCAATTACTTAAAAGAAAAGTTTAAAAAACTATTTACAGCTGAGACATGTAGAGTAAAAGCAGCAAAATTTTCTCTTTATTTGTCCCGCAGTGGACTGATCGTAAAGACACGGTTTCCAGTCGAACACCGAAGTCAAGCATTACTGGCTGCGGTCAGTAAGCGGGTGGGTGACCACTTTGATCACCCTGAGTAGGGACCGAGGGTGCGTGGTATCGGTCCTCGTTAAACTGTTCTACCTTAAAGTGCTCGACTTCGCTCGCAGGTCGTCAGGCTACCAAAGCAGGGGAGCCATCCCCTCTGCAGAGGATCAGAATTGCGATGCCATGTCTTCGGATCAATAATAAGCATTTGCATGCTTATACAGGTGGATAATAAGCATTTGCATGCTTATACAGGTGGATAATAAGCATTTGCAGGTTTATACAGGTGGATAATAAGCATTTGCAGTTAAAAAAGCTGCAATAAAATTAGAGAAGAGGAATAGTGAATTTTCTCCAAAATAACGGATTTGAAGTGGAATAAATGAAATTTTTATTTCGTCCAAAATAAAACAATGGAAAATAAATTTAAAGGTCCTAATATACAATAAATAATATTTGAAAAAGTAGAAAACTGTTGAAATAGCACTTCTGAAATATCTGGTGTTTAAAAAAAAAAAGTAAATAAAAAATTATTGAGTTGTGGTTAAATATACCTTGAATTTGAACTCAAAATGTTTTCAATCTATGAAAGATAATATTTAAAAATTAAATAAGAATAATAAAAGCGAAATTCGTAATTAAATATCCCATTTTGTCCTAAATTAGTAAGTTACTATTCGAATGCAGTTATAAACATTTGGCAATATTTCTCAGTTTGAATTTTGACAGAAACATCTATAAAAAACACATCTAAGTTTCAGTTATTTTACATCTTTAGTTATTTTAAAGTTTCAAAATAACTAATTACTTAATTAGTTATTTTAAAGTTTAGTTTCAGTTATTTTAAAAATTAAATAAGAATAATAAAAGCAAAATTCGTAATTAAATATCCCATTTTGTCCTAAATTAGTAAGTTACTATTCGAATGCAGTTATAAACATTTGGCAATATTTCTCAGTTTGAATTTTGACAGAAACATCCATATTTGACAGAAACATCCAATTATTTTACATCTATTAAATAAGCAACATTGTAGTTCACAGCTTTTTTATTAGCTTAGAAGTCTATTTACTAAAAAAACAATGGAACATCAATGACGATATTTGCAGAGATATGCTATAAGCCTTAAGAAAGATTAAATACTTTTAAAATTAAAAGGAAAATGAACTAAAATTAGAAATATACATTACAGCTTACAATTATAGTTAATCAGCGGAATTCGAATTACTTAAAATCATTTTAAATCTGAAAAGTCGATAACTAAAACAAATTAACCAAAATTTTTTCTACTTTTAAAAAATTATAAGCTACTGCCATTTTTTCAACTGAGGGGGGGGGGAGGAATAAAAAAAAAACTAGGTAAACCGGATGAACAGACCGTTCTTTTCTTCGACACTGATTTCAGCAGCTGAGCTTCATCACTTTGTATGCCACCACAGAAAGGATTTCGGAAAAAGTTGGCAGAATTTGTCTTTTTGTTTCATTGAGAAAAAAAAAATTAGCTTTCACCTCAATCAACATAAGGCAGCACACTACACCTTGCTTCCAATATTTAAACAATGCATGTTATTTTTGAGACTGAAAGAATGGATGTATCGGATTACCGAATAGAAAAGGAGCTTTTTAAGGAGTCAATTTTTTGTCCTAAAAATTATTGTGCGTAAAATGTATTAAAATACTTCACGAAATTAAAAAATTTAAATGAGTTGTAATGACAAATACAAAATTGTTCAATTTCCGATTTTATCGGATATTTCCTCTATTTTTCCAATATGCCACTGGAAATTTAAACCAGCAAACGAAAAAAAAAGTTTAATCCAATTAAAACCACTTGAACAAAGAAGAAAAAAAGAAATTGCATGTAATAAAACCGGATTTTTCCATAATTTTGGGTCGCATTCGTGTCACATTCAGTTGGGCGGATTCCTGTCTTCTCAAAAAAATAAATAAATGAACGAAAAAAGGAAAGCTGCCGTTAATTCTTCATGATAACGTTCATTTTTAAGTTCTATTACTGAGTATCATTGTTTTATTACCACATACTGAAGTATAAGTATTTTATATAATACTAGGGGGAGTTACGTCTCCTACTCGCAGCATTCGCGAACCTCTGCAACTGCTTTCTCAGTTCCTTACGGATCGCTTTGCAATCCGAGCACACATTACAAACTAATATACTTTAATATATCCTGTTACTTTTTAAAAATAAAGTTCTAAAATATAAAAAATATACAAATACCTTGGTGAAACCTTTGATTTACACGATGATTTACTTTGATTGACATTTCGGTACTAATACATTTTAAAGGGCCTTAAAACACTTATTGTCAAAATACCTATTTTTTTAAAAAAAAAAACTAGGTGTTGTTTTTGTCATGCTAATGACTATACACTCGCTTGATATTTCAGTTTTCAGTTCTTTGTTGCCAATGCGAAAAAGAAATAATTAAATTATGAAATAATTAAATTATGAATAATAAAATTATGAATTGATATATCAAGGGAAAAGAATGGTTTATGTTTTTATTTTTTATCATTTCATTTATTTTCCATTGAATCGTCATCTGTTACACCTTGAGGATTTCTAAGTTTTAACAAGTTAATAACATGAAAATCTCCCCAAGAGTTAATACATTGTTGAGATGGGTAAGAACAGTCCATCCACTCATCCATCCATGTCATCCTTGCAATTCTCTTTTTCTCAGAGTCATATTTTACGGACATAAACCATTTACCCCCTTCTTGTTTTTCATTTGTTAACAGAGGTATGGAGCGACAATAGGAAATTTCAGTTGCAAGTATATATCTTCACAGTTACGGTATCGAGTTGATAAAATCAACACAATCAAGACGTTAAGTTATAAATTCAAGTAGTATATAGAAGACTATAAGACTGTTATAGTTGATAGAAATGATAAAACGAAGGGAACTTACAAACGTGATCGGACGACCGTCTTTCTTGGAGTGATTGCTCGCTTGGTCATTGGATCCAGAATCATCTTCTCTTAAGATTTTTCTAAGATGAGCTATGTAAGTTGTAGCCAGGCGCAGTGTATCTAGTTTGGACAGTTTTGTGTCAGGTGGTACCCATGGTAAGGAGGTTTTCAGCCGCGTGAAAGCTTTGCTCAGCACTCTCATTCTTGCACGCTCTCTGGCATTAGCAGCATTGCGTTGGACAGGTTTTTCTGGACTGGATCCACAGGAAGAATGTTGGTGGGGAGAGGACAGGAAAAAGCTATCGAAGTCATTGGTGTCTTCGTCTTGCATTAGAATAGCTGAATTGCGTCTTCTTTTAACCATCTTGGAGCATAATCTGTAATGATAAAGATGTATCAATTAAAGGGATCTGAAAGGAAAGGCGGTTTCTTCTATCATTCTGGTAGATTGCAATGTCCAAGATATTCGATAATACTTTACAAAGCTTATAGAAGCTGCCCAAACTGCTGTAATTGAAATTGAGAATTTCAGAAGAGAAAAGCAGAGCACACATAGTTGGAATCGGTTCATGACATTTTCTAGTCCCGTCTTTTCGGTCCCATTGCTGATTCGGTCTCTACCAGATTCAGTGATCCGTTAGTGATTCGATTCGTTTATTTTGATATAAGTATTCCATTCCATTTTTTACTTCGTTTTATTACAATGGTTATGAATATGATTCAATTTCCCTAAACATAATTGTTTTTAGTTATTTATTTTCTATTTCCAGTGTCAGAAAATCGGGAATTTTAATGGTTATTAAGTATTTAAAAATTATTTAGCGTCGAATTAAACGTACTAAACCTTAAGACCATTTACGACGGATTGCTCATAATTTTCTAATGAATTAGAGGAATAATTTTTTAGGTTTCAATGAAAACTATCCCCATTATTTTGTTTTTCATTATTTATATAATTATGTTAATTATTATTATGCAATAATGTATTTAATTGTAAAGTTTGGTAAATGTATTAATAAATAAATAAGGATTTTTGTGCTAACTATATCATTACTGCAATCTGCAATTGATGAACTACTGCAATCTGGAAACTCTTTTCGAATAATTCCTACCTTGAAACTAAGAAAATGTTTGAAATGAGGCTAAATATTTGAACGAACGAATGAATGAATGAATGAGGAAATGTTAGAATTGAGGTAAAATGTTTGCAGCTAAAAATTAATAAAATAAAAATAAGGATCATTACCAGAAATATTTTGCATATTTTGTAACTTTTTCTTAGATTTAAATTACTAAAAGATAAAAAATTAAAAAAAATAAAAAAATAGCAAAGAAGGGAACGTTAACGGGATTGAAATGGCAACGGGACCAAAATGGCTGGACCGAAAAATCCTGCTTTGGAAGCATTTGTACTAGACATTCTACGAAAAAGCTTAATTGATAAATTAAATTTAGAGTCAAGAACTGTAATCGGCTTCAGTACGCTAAATGCAAGCAAACGGCATGTTAGAAAACTAAATTAAACGTGGGCTAGTAATTTAGCCTGTCGTTAAAAAAAGAAGGTAAATAAATAAATAAAAGAAGGAAAGATTTCTGGGAGGAAAGATATATATTGTTATATGTTTGTTACAATTTTTAAATTTCTCTTTCTCTTTAAAAAATAAAATAAAAGACACTATTTGTAAAAATTAATAAAACGCACCAAAATCAAGTAATTTAAAATAAAAATTAATCTTCTTAATTAATAGCTATCTATAAAAATTTTATCACTCTTTTAAATAGATTCTTCATTGTAGTTTTCGCACTCTTTTTTTAGTAAGAAGCCCTTTTTTTTCCTTTTTCTTTTAAGAAATTGCTGTTTCGAGATGACATAAGAAGTAAGAAAAAGATGACATGATGAAGGTAAGCCTCTTTCTTTATTTAATTTTTAATTTTGTGTTTCATAATCTTTTTTGTTTATATATACATATAAGAAACATATGGGTAAATCATAAAGCTACCTAATTTAAATTGCTCATTCATTTAATTGAGAGAAAAATAATAATGTAGATTAAAAAAAAAAAGAAAAAAGGAGCTTAAATTTTTCTCTCCTGTTATTGATCAAAACAAAATTAAAGAAAGAGGGAAAAAAATCACTACAATTAGGTTTCTAGGTAATATCTGACAGGTCGAACGTTTATTCATGCTTTTATAGTTAAATTTCGTTCTTTTTTTTTTTTTTTTTTTTTTTTTTTTTTTTTTGTAATTTAAAAATTTAGTTGTTCAAATAAGAAACACAGGTCAGCTTTATTACCATCCGAGGTGAATTTTACCTGCTTGTAAAGAGCATATTTTATACCAAAACTTAAAACAAAACATTTGTACTAAAATTTATATGTGCCTGTTCTTATCTTTTGCGAAATTATAAATTTTGAAGTAACTCCTTTTATACATTAAGAATATTGAATAACCTTAACGAATTCCAAACATTAACATATTAACTTAAATTATAATGTTATACAATGCTTATTAAGCTTTCCACGGTTTAACAATTATTGAGATAATTCCGTTAGAATGTTCCATTGGAAGATTTGTTTCCAAAATTCAATTAGAACGCTTGATTAAATTAAGCATCGTCTGTTAATTTCAAATTAAATTAATTTTCATTGCTGCATTCATTGCTTTGAGCCAGATAATAGAGGTCTTAGTTAAAAAAAACCTTGTAAATTTTAAAGGAAGCGTTTTTTTATCTTAATTTATGTAATCAAAACTACATGTTTTATTATTATTTGTTTGAACATTAAGGGTTTGAAAAGAAATCAATTTCACAAAACTAGGAAAATATAATGAACGGAAAAGGAATATTTTTTTAGTTATTATGATTGTTATGCATTAATGATATTTTACTAGCATCTTCCTTTATGATACCTAGATAAAGTAATGATTTAATTATGAAATTTAAAATAAATTAAGTTAAAGAGTCTTGTATAGGTTATTTTTTTCCCGTAAAAGTCTCATTCCCCAAGTTATTAATTCCTTTTTAAAATAAAAAATTTTTAATTTTCAAAAATAAGAAATATTATTATTATAATCCGAAATAGCAAAATATTAAATACCAGTTTTGCAATTTTAATACTGATTGACTTATAACGGATGGAGAACTGGTTATTTATTATTTCAGTTTATTTTTTGACCAAATTAATGAAAACTCACTTTAAATAAAATAGGTAATTTAAACTGAAATATCAAGGGAAATGCAGTTTAATAAATATTCTAAATTGATAATTCTGGATTGGTGATTCTTCGAACTATTAATTTAGTATTTTTTTTCTTGGCCGATTTTTAGGAAAATTTATCTAAAGTAAAAACGAATTAGTAGAATGCATTGAAAAATCCAAGAGGCTGTAAACATAACATCGTTCCTCAGTATAAAAGTATGTTCAGTAAGCTGACCTCACAAAATGTATATCTGTACCAATGTTTGATGTAGAAATTTTCTTGTCTTCTGAGTCAGATTTAAAATTACACGTTTATGAGTCATGCGATTGCTAAATGGTTTCAAGAATTCAGGGTAGGGGACGATGAAAAATATTATAAAACACCTACAATCTGGGAGGAAAACTTATATGTATGTAAAATTTTTTATAAAAATGAGTACAAAAGCTTATAATTTTAAAATTTTTATGATTTAAATGAGATAATTTAATTAAATTTTTTAATTATAGATTTCATGGGGCGAAATTTCTATCCAAAATATATGGAGGAATTAGCATGGAAAAGCGAGTAGCACACGTCAAATAATTCTTTCCCATTGGTGTGGTGGTGATGTTAGAAGAGCGATTTTGGTACAGTGGTTGGTACCTCCTATAAATAGGGTTACAACTATATAATTCTTGTATAAACTGTGTATCAAAGGTACGAGAAGTTTATTTTGTGTGCTTTTTTTAGATAACTTTTGGGGGCTAATGTCTTTTGCAGAACGACTTTCGCACGCTGCAATAATAAACTTTTGTCCTTGTTATTCATTAATATTACTGAAATAGAAAAATTATTTAGCTTTATGTCGTCATTTTAAATTATAGGCAATTTTTTTTTATTTATTCCCACTTTTAAAAAGAAACAAGAAACATCTCATTAACTTTTAGAGTGTATAATAACTTAAAAATTATGCACGATTATGCACATAATATAGGTATGATGAACCGTAATAACGTGCAAATTTAAAGTAACTTTAAAAACGCATTAAATTGAACCACATTTCTATTAATTTTGAATCATAATATCGTATAAAGACCGATATGGATTAACTTGCCTGATAATACGTTTTGAGAAAACTGGGTTCAAAGTTAAACCTTCATATCCATACCTTGGACCCTATTATTATGCTAATTTGTTTAAAAAGTATTATGGTGTTAAATTGAACAGCCTGCATGTTTAAATCAAAGTATCGCGTGATCAAGTTTAATAGCCATTCATTTATGTGATTTTATTGGTCAATTTGACATCATATAAAGTTGTAATGAAATTGAATGATATTATGGTTCAACACTTTACAAAACTTTTAACAGAGTATAGCTGAGCCTTATAATCTTACTATATCTGTTGTTAACTTTCTAGACATGACGGTTTTACAAACATTGAAATTTTCAACCGCGTACAGATATTAAATGTTTTTAGAAATTACCAATGACAAGTAAAATTCATTATGCCATCTCAAAAATGCACCTTAAGTTTATCCTGCTAACACCTATGCTTAAAAACTAAAAAAGAAATAATAATAAAAAAATTCTGAGTAAAAAACTTATAAATGATACGTAATGATTAAATTCTTTGTTTTGCATCTACATATTTGACAAAATATGCTGTTTTGTGGCGAAATTTCATATGAATAGGTTGCCAAATGCATAATATGTAAAAGATAATTACCTGTTTCAATTGGATAGTGGTGACGCGCACGTAGGTAAATCGTGGCATTCGCTTATACCACGATTCATAAGCCATTAAGCTATAAAGCCACTCACATGCATGATGTACTCGTACAGGTCTTGTTTTCACTTACAGATATACAATTAAATCTTACCTGAAAAATGATTCAGCGTGATTATAAACCAAGCCTAATTGCTGTAGTGTTAATCAGCTAAGCACAACCACGTGATTAGGTGCAATCATGTGAAGTCACATTGTTTGGCTTAATATCATATTCTTCTTGAGCTGCAAGCGCAAGTACCTAATTGGTTTTGTTGAATAAAAATATTGCTACTACTAGCCGCCTTTGGTGATCATCTTTGTCATCTTCAGAAATTATCCTGTACAACATATAAACTCTAATGGTAGCCAAGCTGAATAAAGGTCACAATTATACTTAAATATTCCAATTCTTTAACCCATCCCCCAATCC